TCCTCTTTCGAGGACATATAGTTTCTTCTTTTCATTTCATCAAAGCCAGGTGTTTAATGTTGTAGAGAAGACCTCCAGGAAAAAATCACTTCTGGAGTTTGAGCAATTTTTGGATGCTCCACATAAAGAGCAAACAGCCTAAACTGTCCAAAAACTATGCATTAAGCAACGCACAGTGAACGGGGTCAAACGTGCACATGCACGGGCTGCCATGAAGGCAACCCTGTGTGTTTTTCTCCTGAAATAGTCAGAACGCACATTTAGCCCGTGGTGGCCTGGTGACAGAGGTTGAAAATATCATCTTTGCTCTTTAGTGTTTGAGCAAATGCCGGTTCAAGTCAGGAGACGGTCAACATTGTGTCCTTTTATGGCCCACCTGAGCACATACTTCCCCGCTCACGTGTATACCTCCTCTAGCCTAGCGTCATCCTGCCGTCCAGGCCACGAGATGACCGCCGGCTAATCACGGTCACCCACTGAATCTTTGACACCTTTATCAGGAAGCCAAGTTCCTTCAATCCAGGAAGGAGGAATGGAAAATAAAAAAATAAGGATTTGATGATATTCCCGACCCATCCTATAGGCACCAACAACCCAACGCCCAATAAATGACTTTGCTGATATGATACGGCACTATTTGTGTTTGGGTTACTAAATAACCAAGTCGGTTAGGCAGCCGCTATTGCACAGACGGCAAGTGCTAATGGCCCACCGCCATTAGTTATTACCATAAAATCAAATGAGTAACCCAAGAGAAACATTTCAAGCACACATTGTCCAATTAGTTCTGATTGAGGTAAAAAAAAACGTATTATAGTCAATTTGTTGTTTCTTTTGTATCTTTACTTCCAAAAGTTTTATTTTTATTTTTTCAATTCTCCCCCTCGAAAGCGAAGCAAAACATTTGCTGAGTTTTTTTTTTCCTCCTCATTTGTTTCAAAGTCAACAAGCTTCACTAAAAGAGTCATTCCTCTGGATTAATTTACACTGATGTGTCATGTTGGCCGGCGAGTTCTGGCAGAGTCATGCTCCAATGGGAAAGCAGCCCTGTGTGGACAGCTGTGTTCTTATCACTAAAGACATGGAAATGACTGACCGAGCCTAAAGTTGTCTGGTGGGTTTCTAAATGGCAGACTTTGTTTTTGTTTTGTTTTTTACAAATAAATGAATAAAACTCTTACTTAAAGGATTTCTAACAGTTGTCTAACAGTTTGTTTTCTTGTGGATGGTACAGGAGGTGAGAGGCATTAGCATTGTGTGTGTGTGTGTGTGTTGGTGAGATGGTGAAGACAGGTACCGACATAAAGAAAGATATAGGCTGAGGTGTTGAAAGGGCAAGAATGCGTATTGCTGTCCTTGATATATCCCTGTCTCCCTCCACCCCCTTTCACTCCTCCTCCAGACACCACTTCAAGGCCAAGACTCTCTATTTGCATAGAGCTAAAAAGGGAGCTGACAGAGCAGGGCAGGTGGTAACGGCCAACGGACGCTCAGGAAGGAGGACCCAGCTCTGACACACACACACACACAGACAGCCACCCGGCCTCTGAACACACACCCTCCTACTATCACACACACACTCAGACACAGCTGTAACTCCAGCAAACCCCACGGAGGAGGACCTCGGCCTGAGCGAGGGCACGACCAAAACTCCAAACTGCCCGCTGGGATCGCAGAGGTCATTTTTCTTTGACCACCTAGAAATGCATTCACCAGTGGGAAGGGAGTGAGCTTATCTGAGCCCGCTCGCTGAGGATCATCTGACATCCTCAACATTTAACAGGTAAGCTGAACCTTTCGCGGCTCTAAACGTTGCCTGGAGGCTTTTATGCAGTTTGTGACTTGCAATTGCTTCACTGTTAAGTTGGAAAAAAAAGTGGATTTACCTCTAATGTATATGCAAATGTTTTAATGTATTCAAAGGGAATCTTGTTATTACAGCAAAATCACGGGGGTTGTCGACTAAATCTAGAATAAGGAGTAGAATTCTATGCTAACAAAGGATTCCTGAGTTCCTTAGGCATTTCCACGTGCTCGTCTGTTTCTGGCTCAGCCGGCCTCATATTCAGTTTAACCGTCTTCTGCAGCCCCACTTCCCCCCACCCTCATTACAAGCTGCAGGTAGATCGAGTTTCATTTACTTTTCAAGCTCAGAACAGGTAGTGCAACATCGGGGAATACAGTGGGCACAACACACAGTGAGGGACAAAAACCGGCTGAGCCTGACACAAAGGATGACAGATAAGAGGAAAAGAGGCGACTCCAACGCTTTACATGACAAAAAAACTATTTGACTCGCATGCAGATTAGCTGTAATTTCTTAACAGGTCAGTGGGCCAAACGAGACAGGTCCGCTGATAGTGTTGAGGGATCATAAAATAAGGTCCAAAGCAGAAAAACAACACGAGAGCCATGAGCTATAAAAAAGTCCCTCCCTATGTTTAAAGTTTGCATTTGGGGTTCGGCAATGAGTTTGACCGAGTTAATATTTGACTCTTTTGGAGAGTGTAACAGCCGGAAATTCCCAGCCCAGCAGCCTTTTCTGGAGTGCCTTTCCTGTATTTGATCATTGTACATTTTGTTTGGAGGTGATGAAAACATTGCTTAACTGGGATTTTTATCTCCCACTCTGCAAGATCTGTTATGTAAACAGACTGGATTCGAATTTCGCGAATAATTTCACATTTCATCTACTTTATATTTAAAACTGAAAAACAAGGTGTAATTTTTCATAAAGAAGGCCGGATAATGATGTCTTAAGCAGTTTTACTTTTAGTTTTTTTTTCTTCTTTTTTTGGGGGGGTTAATTCTGAGTGTTTAGAAGCTGGCGTTCCTTCTGACCGGCCGGCAGATTAAAAACTGTAAACCTTTAACAAAGAAGCCAACTTTGTTACTAAATCACCAGAGTTGGATTAGATCTCAGAGGTCACGTCGAGCCCACTGAAACTGGAGAGTAGCAGTTTCATGTCGGCACTTCCACCGTTACGCGTCGAGCCACAGCAGAGATTAAAAATATCCACACCGATCCAGGAAGTGTGGGTTCAGCTCGTGGGGTGGCTTCCCGCAGGTAGACGAACCAGCTCCCCGAACCACTGGAACAGGTGAACCTCCCCATAGCAGGTTGTTAAGGAAGCAGAGGGAGGGCCTGATCGATCACTTACAGCCGGGGGAAAAAAGGCCCACACATGCAGACACCGCCAAAGGGAGGTTTTGAAAACTGACTGACTGCCGTAATCACGATTACATTAAAAAAAATATGTCCTGGGTCTCAGGTGTGCAGAGAGGTTTGGCCGCGCTGGAATGTCAAGGGTAGATGGAGCGATTAGGCAGAACAAGCGGGTACTGTGTGCACGCAGCCCAACCGGGACCAGATCAGCCCCGGGGGCGAAGGGAGAACACCTGTGCTATGACATCTTTCATTCCTCATCCACAAACACACGGCCTCCTTCCCATGGCGGACGCTTAATGGCGGCCTTATGACACCAGCCGGCGGTCATATTACAGGATATGACAAGACGCCACGCTGCAAACGGCCTGGAGGCCTGTGGCCCCCTCTGAGCATACACGTGCACAACGAAAACTTTTGTCGGTGTCTGAAAAGTAGCTGACAGACAAACTGATTCGAACTAAACCGGCCTCCCCACTCAGAGACGTTAATCACCTACTTAAATCTGCCTTCGGCTGCAGAACTCTGCGGCCACTTTTCACCAGCTGATGGGTGTTGTTGTCTCTCCTGAAAATGCTTCACAACTGCAGAAAAAAAAAGAAAAAGGAGAAAAAAAAAAGCTTGCGAGTCTACATGAAACATATTAACACAATAAATATCGCTTCAGACTCTGTGAAGTCTTTGGGAGGAGATTTAGCCTTTGTGCCAATAAAGAAGTGGAGAGACTGTCGCTGCTCCTCGGCTGACATTTAGCTTCCCTTTGTGGTAAAAGGTTCACGTACAGAGAAGAATCATCAAGTCTGGGTAAAGATGATGTGTTATATTCACAGTTTGGGGGTGGATTTAATAGTTTTTATTGCCATTTGATGCTAAGGCTCCGTTTTTCCTAACATTTCTGTAAAAATACGGGACAATAAATGTCTTGAGTTGCGCTTTTTTTGGGAAACAAAAACAGAAGCAGTAAGAAATAAATGAATAAAATTAGATGTCAAGATGACAGACGCTCTAAATTTGTTTCCCTAAACATACAGGTGGGATTTACTAAGCACTAAATTTGGTTTGCTGACCCTGTGTCAGCAAACCAAATGCTGTTTTATTATCCTGGGATCTGAATACAATGTGTGCTCTTGAACAAAGAAAGCGCTTCTTTTATTAATAGGAAAATTATGATCAGTTCTAATACAACATTCAAAATAACGTCAATTGACACTTCTGGTAAAGTCCACCACCTGTAAGGGTGTGGTCAGCAGACTTTTATGGCTCAAATGATTTCTAGTGAAATCAAAGGTTGTGTTTTTATGATTAGTCTCTGAATAAAATGTTTTTCCTTTTCGGAAACTCAACTGAGGACACCGTGTTTATCTAAATATCCTACAACAACCATGCTGTACTGACAGAACCGCCCACACTACAAATGTGGGTGTTTGTTTGACCTCCAAGGATCAGCTTTTCCTGACCTTTTTGTATGTTCTTGTTGCTGTTTGTTGAGTTAATCCAATACAATATTACACAATGATTTTGACCCATTTGACTCATTTTTGCATGACTCAAGAGACAAAATTCCCAACTCACACAATATGATCCAACCAGCTTTTTCCCCCCCTTTTTTTTCATTTTGAAATGAGAGCAGATAAAAACGGACTTCAAACATTCAATTGAGTTGCTGCTATTGTGGTCAGGATGACAGGGAAGTTGTCATTGGTGTACAATCTAATCTTTTGCCTGTCTTTCATTTTCTTAACACAGGATTTAGACTGACAAACAAGGAAGAAGACACCAGGCAGTCTAGAGACACAAAAAAAAGGGGGAGGGACAAAGGCTTGAACTTGTGAAAATGGAGCAGCGCACCCACCAGATTTGGCACATGCAGGTCTCCTCCCAGGAGGCGTCCGGGGAGCTGCAGAAGAAGGTGTCTGTGGCCGGCCAGCCGGAGTGCTCCATCTGCTACAACACCTACGACAACGTCTTCAAGACGCCCAAGCAGCTGGAGTGCACCCACACCTTCTGCCTGGAGTGCCTCTCCCGCCTCATGGCCGTGTCGGTGGCCGACCACGAGGGGGGCGGCGGCAGCGCGCGCCTCTCCTGCCCCTTCTGCCGCCACCCCACCACGCTGCCCGAGGAGGGGCCCCCGGCCCTGGCCACCAGCCGCGAGGTCCTCTGCAAGCTCCCCAGCCACCAGCAGCGGGAGGAGCCCGTGTGGCTGGAGGGGGAGAAGCTGTGCTACAAGAGCTCCGGGCAGGACGTGCCCGACAGCCCCGCGGCCTTCTGCGTCTGCATCGACATCGGCGCCAGCAAGTCGCTGGACGCCCCCGTCCAGACGCAGCGCAGGACCCGCGGCGTGCTGAGCGGGCTGGCGGACTGGAAGAGGATGGTGCTCTTCGTGGTGCTCATGGTGCTGCTGGTGGTGGTGGTGCTGTGGCCCCTGCAGTGCGTCTTCAGCACGGGAAACATGCGCTGCATCAGGGAGATGCATCCCCCCCCACCCACGCCTACAGCCTCCGTCCCCTCTTTCCGCTCCATCAGCACACCTGGGCCCAAATAGGAGCTCGGACGACTGGACTTCAGTGTAAATACAGTTTGTGATGTTTGGCACATTCGTGATGTTTTTTTTGTTTTTTTTTGTTTTTTACCGGGATTTCTTTGTAAATGATTGCACTTTGGTTCAGTGTGAATATCCATGATGACCACGCCCGACAACACCTCAGATCGTCAACTTTCGGCCGAACCACAGCCGATTTGACTGATACAGAGACTGCAAACACAGATGAAGAAAGGAGAAAAGTCAAGACGCCACCTTTTTGCACTTTAAAATGGCAACCTGTTGTGATCAAGAGGAACTTGATGATTGACCTGGTTTGATGGGTTGGGCTGCAGATGGGTGATTTGTTGCACGTGCCTGATGAACATTCAGAAATGAGAGTGGAGACCTGTCGCTGCGTCCAGGCAGCGGAGTGAGGCCTGAAATGCTCCCTTTTTCCTTATGTCATTTAAACTTTGATTTTGTCAGAATTTCCCACTGGCTACAAAGAGACTGGATTTAAGGTGTACCAACTACAGACTTTGTGTTGTGTGCCTTCGATTGCATCCTTTGACGTGCCCCCGTTTACAAAACTATGACAAAAAGTGAGATTGAAATTCAAATCGTGATAAAGCAGTTGTGCTTTTCAGCGTCATTATCAGCGGGAATGTCTTTCTGGTTTGTCATTTTCTCGCTGTTTCCATTTATTGTGGCCATGTGTTTTTTTTTCTTCATGTCCAGACAGCAGCTGTGGTTAATTCCGCTCAAACACACAGCTCCTGACATTCTTTATAAAAAAATAAAATAAAACAGCATGAGTCAAATGCTGGTAAACAAACTGCTTGCTGTTCATTTCCTCCCTGTGTGGACCTTTGACCTGTGACTGTAAAAGTAGTGCTTCCTTGTGCCCGAAAATGTCTTTATTTATTTATCTGCTAGGTGCGTCATAAAGAGGAAAGGTTAGGCTACGGGAAACCCCAATTTACTCAATTATTAAATTTACAGCACAGGAGAGTTATAAGACGATTTAAAGTGGTCATAAACGTACAACTTCCTGAAGGCCAATTCAAACTGCCAGGAAACACGGTTAAACTTTAAAACCAGATAAAGCTGAACGAATACAACCACTTGCTAAATCAATTATGACATATTTTTGCCAAAAGCACCAGAAGCTTTCCAAATTCTGTCAACTATTACTGTTCTTTGAGATTAACACGTTAGCTCCTCTCCAACTTCAAACAGAATGAAAAGCATTTTTATGTGAGACAGCTCAAATGCTAAAGAACTTCAACCTAAAGCAAGACGAATGATTGTTCACATTTCCCTCCAGCAAACTTCAGTATTAAAGTACTAGTTATTTCACCAGTTAATATATTTTTCAGTGCTGATGCTTTATATCCTTTCTCTCCTTCCAGCTCACACTGGCGAGCACATTTCCCATTCAAACGACAAGATGTTATTCAGACACCATGTTCTCAGCACTTTTTCCTCTCCGATGATTGCAACCTGAGGCTAAACAGTCCGACATGTGAAAACCTTTTTCACTTTTCCCAGAATTATAACGATTCCCATCACCTGAGTTGATTCATAACAGAGGGGGGGAAAAAATCATGTGCAGTCTTACAATGTGCCGTCATAAAGTTTTATTAATCTGTATGACAAACCATTTTGAAGCAGTTTCAGTCAGCTCATTGCATCAGCAGTCGTAGCCTATACAGCACAAAGGCGTCTGGGTGCAACCGGTACAAGACAGGAGAGGAAACTTAACAACATGGGAGCTCTTAGAATACCACTACTCACTTCAGGCTTGCTGCAACCAACAGGAGGAAGGAATCAAAACAAAGTCACATCAACGTGTTCAAGTTCATTTAAGAGGACTGACAAAAAAGAAAACACCATGTCACAGCTGCAAACCTCTGCAGACACCGATTCAGACTACATTTACTCATCAAATGGTAAAATTACACCAATAAAAAAATAAATCAGGTACAATACAAAACGCAAGAATGAATAAAACAAATCAATTTGAAGAATACCAGTTCAGAGAACGAGAAAAACAAAAAAACAGTAACAGCAAAAATCTAGTGCACTACTAAAAAAATACTTCCACAGCAAATGGACATCCACACAGCCCGAGGCCAAAGGTTCAGCAGTTTCACACTTTCAAGTACTGATGGTTCACCAAATTACAAACTATCTGACCCAAAGAGGCATTATGAAATTAAAAAAAGGAGAGGGGGGGGTTCTAAATTATCCACAGTGAATGATCAGAAACAGGGAAAAACTAATGTTTCATTTTTCATTCAGATATCACAGTTCAGAAAGAAAAAAAAACATTTCATGTTGGAAAACATCAAGTAGTGCAGCTTTTCGACGCATACTGAAGGCCTTCACTGACAAATGGCAGCAATGGCATTCAATTCATAGACCAGAGCCTGTATCACAAAGTAATAAGTCGTGAAAATGCACGGCAGCCATTTACACCAGTTAAAAGACCCAAGCTGTGAGACAGGTGTCAGAATCAGTAGTCTGTGCTCGAGTAAGCCTTCCAAAAACCATAAAAAAACGGTTTATCTCACAGCAACATATGGCTGCCAAAGGTTACATTCAAATGTACACAACTGTTTTATACCTGTTCCAGGAAAAGGACTGAGAATTATTACCTGGGCTCGGTCTGATGGGCTTGAATGAAACTCCAGATATAACAATTTCTGACTTTTTATATAGAGGGTGTAGAATAAGAAAAGGTTTCTTTCTTTATATGTAAAACAAGCGAGGCAAGATGTCACCGGATTACTGTACCTCGAGTCAGCCACACGTGTGAAACGGCCTGCTGTAGTTTGCATGGGCTCAGGGGGACCTCTTGTGTTGCTCTGGGATGTCTGGCACTAGGACGGCAGCAGCAGATCCTTCAGTCCCAATCTGGTCAGATGCTCAATCAAACCGGGATAAATGTGTTCCTTGTCGGGTTCCTCGGCGCGACTTTCCTGAGCAGTGCTGAGCAGGGTGCAGAAAGCCTGCCGTAAATAACACTGTTGCTGAAGAGCCGTTAGGTCAGGTGTGTGTGGTACGCATCAGTCTTTGGGTGGGTGGTTCATTTCAACGTTTTCCCATCAGAAGCTCCACATTACTTTACCTATTCACGGTTCTGTCACTGTGGCTGATCAGAGGATCTGCTGCCCCAAAGTGGAGTATTTTGGTGCTCGTCCCCAGGCTAAAAATAGCCAACAATCTGCCGGCGAGCACAGAAAGCTCAACACGCCTCAGCACCACCGTGCTCCTTATCACATCAATGACGTCGGCTTACTCCCTCTGCTATCATCAAGCCTGGATTATCGCCATCTTTTAAATCACTTTTTGGAGACAAATCCATTCTTCAATCTCAGGCAGATGGCCATCTGGCCCACTGTAATCACCCCTTTCCTTGTCTCCTCGACGATCTTGTCTGACAGATGTTAAACAACATCAGACCTGCTGATTAACGAGGACAGCCAGTCAAACCCGACCCAGAGACATCACTCATTCAGGATTCCTCGCCATCCAAATGTGGACTTCAAATTATAATTAGAATTGAATATTTAAGTCTGGCTTTGGCGTGATCACATCAAAAATAATCCTCCTCTACAAATATACCACATATATTTAAATAAGCATTTACTTTTTATGTTACACAACCATGAAAGCAGATATCCATGAACGAAAACAGAAAAATATGGAAAGAAACAGACAAATGAACCCACAATGTACTCATGTCCCAAAAATCATCAGTAATCAGGAAAAAAAAATCCATTTTGTCGACACCTGATTTAAATTCCCAACTGTCTCCAACATGCTTTCATAATCAGACATAACTTAAATAAAATGTAATAAAAATAGTCTTTGCTTTTAAGATTAATTAAATCTAAAAAGAAGAATCTGAGTATAAACACAGGGCTAGATTGCCCTTCCTGAGTCTCAGGACATTGTTGCAGGTTACATAACTGCCCTTGCCATCACTCAGCGGCTGCATTAATAACCACCACAGCTGGAGAGACAAAGGGCAGCAAAAACAGTCTAAAGTCGGAGTTCAATCAACAGGCTGCAAAGACAGAGAACGAGGGATAACCAGCAGAGTGATTTCAGTCAACAAGCCGACAAACAGCTTAGCTTTGAACTCCTCTTAGCTCCCGTGCAGCCGGGTTTGGTTCAGCGTGGGACAGCTTCACGTTTAAAACTCATCCCCAACCCCGAGGAAGTTAGCTTGGGCTTCCGGGGTTTGGAAACAAGCAACAGTAGAGATGTAACAGCAGGTGTAGGCAGCCAAGATTATAGAGAAGTCCTGTCACAAGGCACTTGTGCTCTTTACGAGTGGAGAGGCTGGAGCAAAGACTGGAAGAAAACAGGAGTAGGCAAAGCCCCTCAGTGAGGCTGTTCTTCTCCTTTGCAGGGGTCCAGCGGCAGAAGGAGGGGCAGCTCGCCACCTTCAGGCCAAGTCAAGGTCCACCGATGTGGACTGGAGTGTGTAGCGACACACTCCGTCCCGGGGGATCTTAGATGCTGACGAAGAAACATCCCTGCTGGAGCTGCACCAAAAAAAACAGAAAAGCATATCTAATAAAAACAATCACAATCTGAAGCAACAAGGCACCTCCCTGATGATCCCAGAGTAAGGGGATCATTTGCATTTTTCATATGCAACGCTTATAATGAATAACAAAAAAAAAACAACTAAAGAAACCAAGACAAAGAAAACTCAAGACAGGAAATCAAACGGCTGATCTTGGCATTAAGGGAGAAATTCTCTCGTCCAACTAAACAAAAGCAGAAAATTCATTCAATTTGGTTGGTTTACTGATGTCAGATACAGTTAGCATGTGTTTTATTTAAACAACAGAAAGGGTTTTCTCTACAGAACTCTGAGTTCCTGTTGGCTTATCTGCTGTGTTTAGCTTAATGTGTTATCTACCAGAAATAAGTATTTGTTATCAGTTTTATTTAAATGTTCTTTTTCAAGCCACATATTATTCATAATATTTTTAATTCCTATTTTTTGACGGGATATGAAACAAGGCAACATGACCATGACCAACTATGGTCTGAACCGTGCTGAACCAAAGACCTTTAAAAGACCTTTCTGGCTGATGAATGAAACTAATGAATCACTCAACTTCAGTCCTCCAGCCTTTATATATTTTTTTAAGTTCCAACTAAAAGGATACAAAGAAACTGAACAGTTGAACGGGCATACGAGCTCCATTTTTAAACACAAGGACTGCTGAGAAATGACTGAATCAAAAATGTAATTTTTCTTTGACGCACATTTGAAAAAGGCTCAAAGTAATGAAAGCTGAATTTGTATGCAAAGTGTGATGGCCTGTGACTCACACACATTGACACTGATACTTGTCACAAAGAGGGGAAAATGATCCAACCTTAATATAATATGAACCTAATCTATTCTTTCGTGTCTTTAATATGGAGCAGCAGCAGTTCTTTATGAGCTCAGCCGCTTCTGGTCACCCTATAATTTTAAACTTGAACATAAAAGATTATCCTTTTATGTATATGAGGGAAATAATTGTGACTCAGAGGAAACTCAGCGGTCTCCTATCTGTGGAAAAAAATTCTCGGTCAGTTTCAATTTCAGGGGAAAATTCAGATCCACTGACACATCACCCTTTTCCATCAAAAACTGCATTTACAAGAATCAATAGCCTGAATTACAACTTGTATTAAAACCAAATTTGGTTTCCTTCAGGGTGACAGTCATTTCCGTTCCATGATTAGAATAACCGTGTCTTCAGTAGAAACGTACTCAGGCAAAAAAATGCCAAGACAATTTCAAGATTGAAACCAAACACTTACAGGGAGGCATACAGAGAGAAGTGGTGGTCCACAGCATCAAGTCTACCTCCTGGTGTTACTGCTAAAAGATGTCTGAGGGCTTTTGAAGTTTATGTTCTCGTACACACTAGTAGAATCATCGTTTGTCAACCTATACAACACACAGATAAAAGACACTCAAATAAAAGACATGTTTCAAACATCCCCTCTGCTTGGGCTCTGTCTCATCATCAGACGGCGTACTTACACAGAAGAAGAGCGCGAGGACGCCATGTTGTGTTTGGACCTTGAGTTTGTCATCGGAGGATATTTGATATTGGAATATTCTCTCTCTTGCATCTTATTTTTCTGAAAAAGGACAGAAATCAGTCAGCGTCTCTTAGATAATCTGAAGCTTAAAGTCTGTTCGAGCCTTGGGATTAAACTGGGGTCAAGCACAAAGCTAAACGTCTGACATCAGGGCTCCACGCAAACATGTCACCGCATTACACCGCTGGTGTAAAGCTGTCAACATACATGTAAAAAAACCCAATGCAGAAAGGAAAATCTGATTTAATCAACCAACTTTTGAAATTCATCAAAGCACAAAACATACCACGTCTGTGACACCGCGGTTATTTTTTACTTGAAACCGGAAAAAACTAAACAACTTTTTACTATCTGTTATCTGTGTCCATCTGAAATGGTGAACTTTTATCTGGCAGAAACATTCACCTGAAACAGTTTTTGAAAACAATCTAATTCAACAGTTGTAGGGAAATTTTGAGCCCCGATTCATTCTGTATTTGTGGGAAAAAAATCAACCATTTGTTGAACTGAGCATTAACTTGATGGTGGTAATCCACCATCTTTTCTATTTGTCCTCCTTTTTTTCAGAAGACGGTATAGGTTTTAGGCTTCTGGTGTTGCAGAGTACCTGCTCCTCTGCTAGTCTTTTCTGAGCCGTGTCGATGTATTGCTGCACCGCCATGTAGATGAACTTGTACTGGGCCTCTGTCTGCACCATGCCCGATCTCTGCTGCCGTACCCTCTGGATGGTCTTTGGGATGTCAATGTCACAGTGGAGACCTGGAAAACACAAAATCCAGAAATTACAAATGAAACAGAACCAAGATTAATGTCAAATCCAAGTTTCACCACTCAGATTCTTACCTTGGCGGTTAATAATGTCAATGAGGATATCAATGACGATAATGGTGCCAGTTCTGCCGATGCCTGCACTGTGGGGACAACAGAGATAGAAGCCAAAAGTCTCTAAGCTGAAGAAATGTTTTTAAGAGATATATAATTTGCTAACTGTAAAAGTGAAAGCGGGAAAAACTGCTAATAACAAAGTGCCTAAAGAAACCATCTAAAATTTGATCTGTGCTAAGTCATCTGTTGCAAGTAGAAAACAAATAATTTCATCTTGAGATACTTGCTTTTTTTATGCTTAAATTATTCAAAGACCAATTTTAAGAGGCATCGTAAAGAAGGCAAAAACAAAACAAACAGAGAAATCACAAAATATTCCCATTGAAAATGACTTGGTAAAAGAACTGGACTGATAAGGGGGAAAAAAAAAATAAATCTTTATTTGAAAAAATATATTAAAATACTTTTTATATTAAAAAAAGCTTTCAAACAAATGGAAAACTAGTGCTCCAGATCACGTTTGATGGGTCAAAGCTGTGCATACCCCGTATCATTTACATCCCTTCTATACAACAATAAATCAATCCTGTAAATAAGTTACTGACGTTTACTGTTGAGACCAAATGATTGCTGCGGTGACATAAACATAACAACAATTCAAACAAAAAACAACTAAATAAAAAGACCAATATGATCAGAAGTCAATCCTATTCTTAAAATTGAGAAAACAAACATGATCAAAACTTGAGCAAAGAAAATAACAAATTAATGAAAAATATTGGATTCTTTCTGTTTCCTTATGTTGACGGCTCTGAGATTACTTTTTTCTCTGGCACATCGGCACTGGACAAAATGGGCTCACGTATTCAATTTATCAACTCAAAAATTCTGAATAAAAACTGTGTGCGTGTCAGACCTCCAAACCCACTAAAAATGGGTTGCGGTCCACCGACCAGTGTTGGCATCTTTGGTCAGATCTAATGGACCTGTTGTGAAGTGTTGGCTGTACCTGCAGTGGACGACGATGGGTCCAGCTTCTTTAATGTAACTCTGAGAGCGATTGACCGCCTCCAGGAACCACAGGACACCACCAGGCTCATTGGGCACTCCGTGGTCTGGCCAGCTCAGGTACTGATAGTGCCAGATGTACCTGGGAGGCTCTTTCTACAGTGGGGTTAAAGAAATGTACAGGATTGTGATTTTAGAAAAGCTCACATTGCCTGATCCATGTGACGCGTTTATGAGCTGGTGAAGAAAATGTATTCATGGTTCAGTTTAAGCAAAAGCTCTGACAAATCCATGGAAAATAGCTTGACTTTGCAAATTTGAGGGACCAATTTCTAAAATCACAATAGTTACAAAATGCCATCCTGTAGCTGACTGGCTCTTTCTTCATGGCTTAATTTGACATAACCTTAATCTCTGCTTGACAGACCTTGTTGCTCAAATCAGCATTATAGAAAGGAAACAGCTCTCCTGAACAAGTCTCTGTTTTGGAGCTGCATGTGCAGATAGCTGGAAAATTATTCCTGTCCACCTGAGTCAAAAGTACCTTCAATAAACTAAATGTGGTGCTGATGAAGTGACACATAATCAGACTTAATACGACTGCCTGAGCTTTTTAATGAAAGTCTTGCTTGGAGGTTCTTAGTCAGGCTTTTTGGAGAGTCAGACTCATCTAACCATAAGATATAATATAATAACCTAAACTTTTAATCATAATAAATTTAGTCTCCAAAGTTTTGTCTAGACAACAAAACATAAATATTGTTCAAACTTGACCAGTTCCATTCTGGATGGATCATTTGTTCTTTAAATCATATTAAAACAGTGAGAGCTTTATCAAAAGACACAGCTTCTCAAAATAATTTAATTTTGTCTGACTGTGGCGGATTTAAAACCAACATGACTAAGAAAAAAAATTCTTTGTGTCTGTTTCCATCTTGTTCTGCAACCATATTTACCAGTTGGACCATTTAACACAACATGATGCAAGAAAATGCCATTTCCCAAGTTTATATCCACTTTATTTAGATGACATTTGTATTCACTCATGTTCTTGGGATTCATTAAGTTAATCCTCTCATAAGTACAAGCACTTGGTGTTACACTGTGTGTATGTATGGTTTGACAATCTGATCCCAGGTCAGTGGGTCAGCTCAGACGGAGCACACAACTTTCCCTACCCGGTCCAGACGTGTCACTTCCAGCTTCCTCAGGATGTAGTCTTGGGCTGGCTGCTCGTCCACATTCCTCACCAGCACCTTTCCAAACTCCTTTGTGCCGTGGAGGTCCGGCCAGTAACGCACGCATTTGTTCTAAATCGCAGCAAAACCACAGAGGGAGAAAGACAGACAGGGTGGAAGGTATTAGACACTCTGAAGAGCCTGCTCATCCCATGAAGCTTTTCAATCAGCTTAACTGTAATACTATCCCAGGGAGCCATCTCCACAGAAGCGCACGTACACACCCTAATCTGTGCAGACACAGTGACCAGCCGAATTTCGTGGAACCGGTTACTGCTGTCCAGCAATACGTTCACACGGCCACATAAAGACACATGCCAGTTTTTCTCACATACTTAATTTGATGCTATCAAACTTCTATGACTCAATTTCAGGTCAGTCACAAATAAATCAAATCTCAGCCCTTCATGGAAGCTACGTTTGTCATAAATCACGATTGCAATCATCTGCTGATGTCATCCTGATTTTTCCCCCACTAATTACAAGCGCTGCATTTCCTCCATCACAATTCATTGCAATATTCTGCAGGTCTGAAAAGTGGGAGTGTATGCCAATAAAAAAGGCTATTCACTTAATGAGCAAAAAACACAACATGTTTGGGGTTCTAACCCTTTTTTACTCCTGAAAACTCCCAGTTTGCATTAAATCACAACTTCTTTCTTTATCGGGCGTTCTAAAACAAGATTTAATTTCTAGTATTCTTTATCTTTATGTCCTATTCACCACTTCAGCAATTCTGGGTTCGTCCACCCAAATTTGCACCTAAAGCTTGGCCAGTAAAGAGAGAGACCAGTAAATATGTTTTATAGATTTTTAGAACTGATAGCTTGAGGGGATTGTATAACAGAGCAGGCCACACAGCATGGACAACAAAATTAAACAATAATCATAATTAGTTAATCATAGCTGATAAAGATAAATGTGAACTACGCTACCATGTTGCCACGGTAGCCATTATAGTAACTGATCACTGATAACAAGGGAAACATTTGAGATGTCCGCTCTCCCACAAAATTTGTCCCAGTGCATCTTTTCTGCAAACTGCTTACCCTTCCTCGCTCCATTTCCTTTGTGGTCATTACTATGACGTGTGTATTCTCCTGATACACCATCTTCCAGAAATCAATGACTGTGTTCTGGAGGCATCCTTGGGTGGCAATGAAGACTTTCCCCTCTTCCATATGGCGCTCGTCTTCAAGCATGCTCTATACGGGTGGACAGCATGCAGCTATTATACACCAGTATTTTTATTGATGTTAAAATAAATATCTTGAAACTGATAAACATTTTGCTGCTAAGTGCAAATTTTCCATTCAAGGCGAGGCCCTTTAAGTCACAATTATCTGTAGCAATCGCTGAATTCCACTGCTTTATTGAAACTGAACACAGTTTCTTATGCATTTCTGAATCCTTGTGCTGCTTTCTGAGCAAACTCACTCTGATGTAGTTGGCGTTGATGTAGTCTGAACCAGGAACATCTGAATCTGTTTCTCTGATTACAACACGAGTCGTGTCAACTGAAACCAAACAATTAAAAAAGGATTTTTGAACAACAATGTCAACAACTTCTGAGATCCTGCAGCTAATAAACAGGCGGTAAGTTATCAAAGCAGAATCTTTATGCTCAGCTCTCTACGTTGTCTCTCCGTTTGTGTCATTCTTTCCACAGGAAGTTGGAGAGACAGGAAATGGCAGGTTGCGTCGTGACTCACAGGGGAGGATATTCTTGTATCTGTTTTTACTCTTGTTTTCTGGCTTCTGTCCTTCTTTCCTGGGATACAGCAGCTTGCATTCTTGCTGCTGAAGTACCTGAAAGTTGACAGAACAGCAAAATGATTTTTCTTTGTGTGATTTTTAGAACAAGAAAGACAACAAGAAAATGTCGACATAAGACCACCAAACAGTTGTGTATTGGTGATGCACTCATGTTTGCTCTGCAAAAGTGTAATTGGCTTTCATTACACCAGAGGTCACCCTGGAGTGCAACAACAGGAACATTACCTTTTAAAAATGCTATGTATGTCATACCATCCTGTTTCCTCCAGTAACAACAGACCTCTTTATTAATACTTGCTAGGTATGGCCAGATTATGTAAAAAAAAAAAAAGGACAGTCCCTTAACTGAAAATACAAACAGCAATAGTAGGCCAAATGTCCAAATCCAGTCAGACTAGTTTACATGGTAACACTGGTTTCTATTTTGGATTTGAAAAATATCTTACTGTTGCTCATCTGTGATGGTTTCAGATTGTGATGAAAGGCTATTTACACAAATCTGAAAGTGGTAAAACAAGTTGACGAGCAGATTATCATCACAAAAACTATTTTAATCAGGGAACAGAAGGTCAAATCACTAGACAAAACTGCACTGTGGAAACTTGGTACTGTGCCAACAGATAACAGATAATTGTCACTGACTTCCATGTTGAATACCCAAGAGAATTTACTTTAGATTAATCACCTGCCAGTTAGGGGGAAAATTGCAAATCATGAACACGAGCACATGTCAGAAGAGAGCATGTGCTGCACAATGAACCGTTAAAATGACTGACATATTAAAGGCGATATGGATCTAAACACAGGGATGCCTCTACAAACCTCAAATTCTTCCCAGAATCCTTGTTTGGGTTTCTCAGAGCTATCTGCTACTTTGTTGAGTTCTTGTACCCGATTCTCAATGTTGGCTGCATTGATCCTTGTGGCATTAAATGGCTGTTGTTGGGGGGAAAAAAAGGTTAAAACAACAGAAATCCATGTAGCTTCATTTTTTCTATTATCCATGCCTTGTAAGTGCTATTAAGGATTCACCAGATTTCCGTCCCACACCTGTTTGAGGTGAACTACAATGCCACTTGTTTCCACCATGGGATTCTTTTTGTAGTGGTCAATCAGGTCGGCCAGAGTGTCAAACCTCTCACCACCACCTACATCATATTTCCCATCCTCCTGAAAATGAAAAGCCAATTTAATTATACTAACAGCTGAGGAGTTACTTCAAGGATAAAAAAACTGTGACCTTCTTCCAAACGCTGTTGGGGTTTTAAACATAGTGTGAACTGTTAAATCAGTTGCATGGATTTGAGCTAATGTTTAAAGACTTCCTTAAATGATTTATCTCACCTGGTAGCGAATCCTAACATGGGTCACCTTGGTCTTGCGGTCCACATTCTCATGTTTCTCCTCATTGGTGAGAACGGAGAGGACAAAGTCACCCAGAGTGCTCTGGCTCTCTCGTACCAGAAAGCTGCCAACTTTGCCTTTTTCTGTGAGCATTTTCTCTGCGTCTCTCCCAGAGAGGCGTCCGTGGTACCATCTAGATAAGAATGAGAGAATCTGATATCAAAGCATGGAAACAGAAGAAATTCACAGGGAAACTAAAAACTTAAAGGATGGTATAATAGTCTGCTGCCAGCTCTAAATCCTGACATCTTTGAGAAGTTATCTCACACACACCACATGGTTAGATGAGAATCAGTCAGTAATTACTATGACTATCATTCTCCTTAAGTGATGTAAAAGAGGCTAAATCTTTAAATGTGGATATATTAGCTGGCTTCTTCTGCTGCATTGTACAGCAGCTCGTAATGACAGGTAGTTTGCAGTGTGGTAATGTTTGAAAAACACTCAATTTTCAAATTCTTTTCAGACTTGCTTTGCTCGGTCTTTTTCCTCCAGCTACCAAAGACACGCCGAATCTGAGCATCAGGCTGGATGCTGTTCCATAAGAGACAACATTACAAGACAGTAAGAAGAGTTGAGGCAAAAACCTTTTGAACTGTGAGGGAGGATTAGAAATATGTTTCCTGTTAAAGGGGAACATGTCCTTTATTGTATCTTTGGGGTTTAACTTATTGCATTTCTATATATCCACGGTGCAGGTAGACTCCCACTCATAAGTGTAACTCATATTGCTGCAACTTCACACTTTTACTGATGTTAAGAAAAGCTGTGCTGCAGTTTTTTTCCTCTGTGGTGAGCAAAAACAAGAAACATACGCTGACAAGAAGCACATGTAGAATGGAAAAACCACATAAACCAAAACCAAAGATTGCATGTTGTTCGTAGACCTAAATAGAAACAAAGACATCCTTTGCACTGTGCAGGCGAATGTAACCTGCTCAGCACAAATATATAGGGGATGATTTTTGCTGTGTAGATTAGGGTCTACGTTTTACTAAGGCTACTCTTTGAGTACTTGCATGTATGAGAAGCCTTAAAGAAGCAGTTTCACATCTAAAAAGGAAGTGCTTTGGTGTGATCCAATGCAACTGCTCACATCTGATGTACTCTCAAGGACGATGGCTAAATACAGACAAAAACATCACTACTGTGTTTGTTCAAACATGAATTCAGGAATGTTGGGAACGACTTGTGCCTGTGGATGTGAGCAGGATGTGAATCTAATGAGTGAGCGTGTACAGAACAGTGCATTGTCTCTTCAAACTGGATGTGTAAACATCTAGGTGCACTGGTACATAATTAATGAGTTAATGGCAGATTCTCCACTGCCAGTCCATTAAACGCTTTACTAAGAGGTAATGTGGCCAAAGGCCAGGAATTCAATAGTTGTGTTTACACAGACACATACACATCACAAACAAAGCTTTCATGTCCAAAACCTTTCTCGTTTTTTATCTTAAACTTTTTTCAATCAAACTTTGTGTTTAAAAGTGGTCTATATTCACTCAACTTGTTCAGATGCGACAAGTTTACTTTTCAGATTTTAATGATTTATCTCTGTATTAGTGTATTTTTTCTAATTGTTTTTAAACTAAATTGTACACAGCTGCAACTTTTGCAACTTTTTAAAGTTGCAAAGTGATGTAAAAAAAAAAAAAACTAATTCTGTGCACATCATCAAACAGAGCTGCAATGCTTTGCGCACGCTTTTGCTTTCTAGGGAGTGACAAAGCTTCACAGATAGAGTGGATAGATAGAATTAAGACCCCATTGGGTGTTAATGGTGTGGATGTTCTCAACTGTTTCTCACTGCAGTATGAGGTTTCACAGCCTGACGCCCATTGAATATGGAACTGTCTGTGTTTGAGAATAAGCCCCCATGCTTTTACAACAACTTTTGATCAAGCTGAAATCAGACTTACATGTTTGCATGTGCAAATCTGCCAGATTTTAACCACGTGCAACAATGCTTTGCTAAACGTGAGGCTGTCTGATGCCACTGGAAGTTTAAGTTCACCTCTCGGAGGTGGGGTCCTTGCAGTTGAGGGGATACTTGAGCTCAATGACATGGCCATTCCTCTCACGCAGCAGATCCTGTTGTTCGGTGTAATACTGCACCAGCTCGGCCAGGGTGGCAAACTTCTCGCCTCCATACAGGTCGTAGAATTCTTCTGTGTTCTGAATCTTGATGTGGGTCACCTCATCGTTACGTCTGAGCAAGAGGGACAAATAACAAATAATACATGAATGAAAACAAGGAGGACTCTCAGTCACTGTAGTTTTTTGTGCAGCATGAGAACATTTTTCCTGTTTCTAAAAGTCCCTTTTTAACTGCAGAAATGTAAGCGAAGAACATACAGAAAACACCCACACACATGCCCCTAAAGCACACATTCACACAAAATCCAGACTTCACCCACACTCAGAAAGGCCTAAATACTGTGAACAGGTCCAGCTTATCAAGCCATCTGCTACGCCTTATTATCAACAAACCGTGCTGAAGAATACACAGACATCACATTTTAAGATCATATTATAGTTTTATATATAAATCACATTTCAATCTGTGATGTAATAAACCAGCTACAACCTACACTAGCTACAGAAAAAAATGGGGAATATTGATCCATTAATACAAAAACAGAACATGTTTACACTTAGGAAAATTAGACTGTCCTAATATTTGTCAGTTTTCATGTCCAATGTATTTGGATGAAGGCTCAACTGTGATTGCAGCATGGACATGCATGCAGCTGGGGAGCATGAGAATGATAAGCCAGAAGACATTTGGTTCCACTTTGCATATTCAAAGTCCTCTGGCTTGTTTGAAAAGGTGCACATCCACTTCCTAATGCACAAACACACACACAGCTTTGATCCATAAGATATTTGCCTGGTACCAGGAGAAGAAAAGATAGGCTGCTTAAGGGCTCAGTTGCTTAATGAACCTCCATTATGCAAATGCACCTCTCCATTCGCCATCTCCAGTGACTTTTGCTAACATGTTTCATCAGCTGAGATAAACAAAACATTCTGTAAACAAATTAAGAATGACGACACACCAAAACAGATTCAGAGGCCTCAGAGGACTTGGACAAGCGGTTCGCACTTTCTGATTTGCAGGCTGAGATACAACAGCCTGCTTTCGCTGTCAAACTTATTATCAGATAATGGTGATATCAAATGGCACAAATCCCATTTCCCTCCATCACTTTTCTTGTTGTCCTAATAAATTTAAAATGTTCCTTTCCCCTTCCTCCCACTAGGCATGCTATAAGTCCTCTCCTCTATTCTTGTATTTATTTGTCCCATTATCCATCTCTCCCTTTATCCCTCTCTCCCTTTTCGGGTAATTGCTTTATGGCTGTGTTAGTGGTTGATGGCAGGGTGCCACAGGTCCATGGGCCCTTTACAGGCCCCCTCAACTCTTTGACCAAAGCCTCCTTTTCTCTCACAGTTTAACACTATTAACTCTGGAATGAGGCAAACAACACCCATTAGATCTTCATTCACTTCACGGCCTCACACCATGACACAGATAACCTTCATGGATATAAAGCAATTTGATCAATTTTTTTTAACAAATGGCGGGAAGAGCAGCATCAGTTTTGCAGGGCTCTGGATCGCTGCTTTTTGTGCCGATACAGACAGATTATTTCATATGACGATGGCAGCGTCATATAAAGGAGCACCTGACTGGATAGTCTTCTCTTTTCTTCAAATCATATGGGACCCCAAATTGACTAAATCTTCACTCATCCTTGAAAAAATAAAATCGTTTATTTGCTTCTGAACTCTGTTGCTTTAAAGCAGCCAGGTTAGTTAAAAAACACTCTAGGATGGTAATTCTGGACCCCAGAGTACTAACCGGCTGCAGTGCATGACCTTTATTCAACTGTTTACCATTAAGACTACCTTAAAAAAAAGAAAACATGGATACTTCCATGTAAATGTGGACACATGCTGAATCTTTATGTTTGTGAAAATGCCCTGTTCAACATGCTTATCCGCCTCACATGGCATTGGATGTATCTACATTTAGATCTATTCTAATTCAGTCTGTAACACTGAAGTCAATCTTCAAAGATGGACAGTAATAACATCAGTCCAGGAAGTGCATTGGTTAAGAATAATCGATTATGATACAGTTCCTGCACATGACAAAGTCTTATTGACAGAGAAGATTAAAGACCTTCCACTCATGGCCACAACAACTTAGATCATTTTCAGAAGGCAGAAAAACTAGTTCGATTTAGAGGAAGCCCCTCTCCAACAATGCTCTTTTTAACTGTTTGAAGCTCGGCATTTTTTGATCTGCCATTTCTTTCAGCTGTAAAGAATATGCCTAAACTAGCATAGCTGAAACTCAACAATCTAATGATGTCTAATAACTATTCTAACAACACTGTAATGTTGTAATGAACATATTTTTTACTGTAAACATTGATTCATCCCAGCATTGCACCTAATTGCATCTTTTTTAAATGGAATCAGTGGCAAAATCCAATGCTATTAAATTGAACCGAGCTAAAATGAACAAAGAAATAACTGTGACACTATAGTCGTATTATGCAATGCAAGACACCAGAGGAAAAAGCAGAGTCCTGATAGTGATGTTAGCACAATGGACGTCACCACAGTAGTTTGACAGGTAGGAGAAGAGAGTATGCATTGTAGAATACTCTCTGGGTATGCAGCCAATTTGTCCAAAGCCGCTGCCGTAGTCTTTCCCACTCTTGGATTCGTTCCAATATGGATGGACCATCTGTGCGGCAACAATTGGAACCAGGGAGGTATGAACTCATTTCAGCAGTGCCGTTTCTGTGTCCGAAAAATGCTGGACGGGAGAGACAAGGGTCACGGTCTCTCCCGTCTTTTTGTCCAGCAACATCATGTAACCCAAAAAAATAGAGGGGTAATACAGCTCTGAATCATCCTCTTGTTTATTTTCTGTTGTTTTTCCCTCATCGCTTTGTTGATCCCCTGCATTCCTCTTATGTCCTGTTCTGATTTCTGCGGGGAAGTTGTTTTGACTGCCACACTTTCAGCATAATCAGCTGATCATTGGGACAAACAATGCAAGGAAGTAGTAACTGGGTGTCAGCAGTGGTGTAAAAAGAGATCATTACAAAAGGGAAGAAGTATTTCAACAAGCAAATACGGGGATGCCACATATTAGCCCTATTTAAGTTCGTAATAACGATTCTGATGCTGAGATGATTCTCAGCAAACTGACCTTCAAACTGAAAAATAATTTAGCAAAGAACATATATATGAATCAATTTTGTGTTTAAACTTTTAACTTGTGCAGCAGAATACTGGGAGGTGTTTCAGAAAGAGAGTTAAGATGGATAAAGTTAAAAAAGACTCTGATCTGGAGAGCAAAAGATGCAACACTGGGAGGAGGGCGCTGCTGTATTTGTTGCTACCAGGGATGAACTTGATGACTCTGGCCTTTTGCGTGACACTTTGAGGGACTCGCATATTTGTTGGGTATATACTCCTTACATTTTAAGCACATCACAATGTCTTTAAATATACACCATGTTGGCAGTTCTCAACTTATAAGCTTATAACCCCTGTACTAAACGTTTGATCTTGTATACACTCCTGACATTATCGTTTGTTTTGCAAACTTTCACCATGGGCTGGTGTTAGCTGACAAGACGTGACTATTTTAAAAGGGGAAACAAAAATGTTTGGGTGATACACAGTCCAAAGGCATGACATCATAGGACTGTCCGTCTGTTCCATTATCATGAATCAGGATCACCTGAAGTAATTTCAATAACACACAGCAAAAGTTCTCATCTGGAGTTCAGGATAAAATTTCAAGGGTCAAAGGTCAAATGCAACTGTGACCTCACCACACAGTCATGGACAAACTATGACAAAAACTGATAGCAACATATGAAAGGCTGAAATGATGATGTGATGACATTTAATCTAAAACAGTTGAATTCCTTTTTTTTTGGACGACCTTATGTTGCACCAGACCAACAGTGTGTCCATTATCTCAACCCATATAGGGGACCTCTTGTTCTCAAATAAAGAGCAATCGTAAATCTCTTTGATATTGGGAGGGGTCAGTTTGTACGGCAAGTCTTCCCAAAATAGTTCTGTTACATTACTACTGTTAGTAGTTTGTCTTATAATTGGACGACTTCTTATGAAAGAAAAATACAATTAGAATCCCATTTTCTTTAATCTTATGACCACAGTTCACATCACAAACAATATATGAGCCGATTATATCTATGCCTATGCAAAAATAGATCTTATTAATCCAGTTTTTCACAGGAATGGAGGCCAATGGCTGATGTCATCGTTTGTTGTGTTGTGTAAGCTGCTGTGGAAATGAAAAATAAATTTACATAGTTTTTTTCCTTTTAATGAATGAGTGATCTTGAAATGAATAATTCAGTACAATTATAAAGCTAAAGAAGGGTTTTTCTGAGGGGTGCTGAAAGTCACTGGAAGAGACTTAACGTGCATGAAGTAGATGAGAGATCCATCTTGTGAGGGCTTCAATAGTTAAAACTGTAAAAATTCCCTTTGTCACTAAATGTGATTTGGTATTCACATATTTTACTGGTTGACATGCATCAGTGACTGAGAATGACTGAAAATCAATTTTAATGATTGAGTAATAATTAAAGTCCAACAAATACTATACTCAAAGATTCACTATGATGTTGCTCTGTGCAAAAACGAAGTCTTCCAAATCCAGCTTAGCATTACATTATAATAGGAGGATGGAAAGAAATCAGTTTGCACTGTGGTAATTTGCCCTGAAAAATTCCCTTTTAAGATTGACCTCAAACTTCCCCTTTGGGTTTTCAAAATGCAAAAAAAGAACACGAAGTAAAAACTTTCCGACTGAGCAGAAGTTGCATTCAAATTCTAGTCAAACTTTTTATGCTTTAAGGCTTAACTTTCTTCCTCTTTGGGTTTTATAGAAATCGGAATTGATTACATTATCAAATCCTCAAAAAAAGCTCTTATTAGCATTTCAAGCCTGCAGAGCAGCGGCTCTGTCTGACCCCAACCTTGTGGATAAGAGAAGAAGAGAGGGAGTGGAGTGAGGAGAAGAGAAGCAAAGACAGAGAGAGATACACAAATAACAAAAACAGACTCCTCCAGCACTGTAAGTATGTGCACATTTATCGAGCGGGTTGAGTCAGCCATTAGCAATAGTGGCTTGTTTTTCCTTTCAGCCTCACAGACTTGTATAAATTGTATATATTAGGGAGAGCTATGGAAGGATAATATTGCTATCACCGGTTGCTTGCAAATTAGGTTTGATGAGATAAGTGAATTAGTCAAGTTACACTTGAGAGAAGATTCCTGAAGAAGAATAACAACTGATTCATCATTCTTAGGCATAATAAAAGGTACAGTTCACAGGAGTCAAAGCAATAATGGATAAGCAAAGCTGCTTAGGAGTGGTGCATTTTATTGCTTACAAATTAGCAATTTAAGTTCTAAACAAAGGATTTTGTCTGTGCATTTGTTTTCCTTTCATAGCTTGCATACTCTGTGCAATAATTCTGCTTTATCCTCCTTTTTCCTGCGCTCACAGTGACCTACCTTCTGGAGCAGGTGGTTTGGCTTTGCACACCGGCCACTTGACCTCAGTGCGCTTAAGTCTCTCTGTGTGTTTAAGTCTGTCAGGACCACAAGCTGTGGCCACAACTCACCCAGACAACCTTCTGGTGGTTATTTATGACACCCTGCACCACAAACCGCAGGCGGTGAAGGTCAATGCTTGAACAGGTCCCCCCGCTCATGCACATCATTTAAAACCCACTGCCTGTCTAACTACCCTGATTCTTACTTTCTCCCTCCATCGCACAGCCTCCCCCCTGCTTGTGTCGGTAGACAGCTACAGCCACAGTAACAAATGCGCCTGGGCTTTCTTCCAGGCATTTTGCAGACTGATGTATCTCTTAAAAGCTTCCGTTGCCAAGGAAGAGCCACTCTTCAAACTCTCTCTCCTTGCATTTCATTTAGCTTCCTGCTCTATGTAATCACCACAGCCAAAGGGCCGAGTCTACTGACAAGAAATTTCACACCACCCACATTCAAATATCTGGATTGTTCATAGATGGGGAAAAAAACAGGAGTGCCAATTTTGACTTTGTCTTACATTTGACTCACTACACCCAGTGGACCAATTTCAAGCTTCCATTCTATTTTGTGGCACAGCATTACTAAATCACGCATTCCAAATGTGTTATCTAACATAATCCTAGAAACAGTCACACACAACAACTTCTGTTTAAATGCCATCTATTCACTTGGAGACAAAAAGCTGCGTCACTACTGACCCAAGGGAATGAATTTTGTGGAATCTAGGGTCTTGCTGCCATCTAAGTGGTAAAGGACACGCTTTTATCTTATTAACACAGACAGGCCTTATTCTCAGAGTGAGAACAGACCTAATTCATGGTCGGTCTGGGTATGGAGCATTCACCTTTGCACTCTCAGAAGCATCTGCACATTTAAAGCTTACTCATACTCGTATGTTTCTGGATTCACTTTTTTGCTTTGATTAAAAAAATGACCAAAATATCAATAACTCTAGGCTGCTTTCCACAGAGATCCTCTTTCTTCAACGAGCATTCAGCAAGCCTCTCAAAATGATAACAGGCACAGTTTGTTTGTTCTCAGGGTTGAACTTTGAACCGGTTAAATAATGCGGCTGCTGGCGAAATCTGACACAGTATAAAAAAGTATTGGCAGGTATTACCTGACAGAGAGGGTAAAATCCCCCTTTTTGCTTTTGCTTGGCCGTGCCAGGAAACTGCCGTGGACGCCCCGGGTCAACAGGAGCTGTTCTGCCTCGATTCCAGTGATGTTGGGATGGAACCACCTGAGAAATTGTAAAGGGCAGAAAAAGTGTGCAAAACAATGAAAAAACAAAAACAAACAGAGGTTGATGATTTCACATGGAGCAACAGAAAGTGATGACAGAGCAGTTGATTTTTAGTCATGAATGTGAATCCAAATGTACACGAGTTTGAGGTTTTGTCCTAGCGTGAAGAGCACGTCATTATCCCCAATGAACTGGTAAAATAAACCTCATGACAAAAGCTTGGAAACTAATAAAATAAAAAATAAAATCTGAATGACATGAATAAACTTATATCAAATGTGATGCATTATCACAGTTTAAATATGAAAGGAAAATATTTAACTTTAAAAGCCCCAAAATACTGGCAAACCATCCTGTGCAGTTTAGAATAAGTGAAAACCAAATTCTGTGCTACTTTAAAATAATCTATGACAACATATTCTAAATAAGAAACTAAATAACAACAACATGGATCATACTTGAGCCCTGCTGGCTTCTTTAAATAACAAATGGTTTGAAAAATAGAGCTTTAGAAACATTCTGATTATACAAATTCAGTAGAATATACTATAATGAACTGTATAATGTCTGTTAAATTAAAACAGAATAAGTTGTAAATGAGAAAGCACATGGGTATGTCTTGTCCTGGTTTGAAAGGGAAGGACACTGAGATTTACACTGTGCAGAAGGAAAAGCTAATAATTACATGTTACTTCCTCTGCTGCAAAACACTTCATGCAAATATTTATTACATCCACTTCTCAGGTATGTAGACCGTTTTTTAGAGATAAACCAAACACTGTGGGACTCATACCGCTAACTGTACAGTGCAAAAAAAAAAAAAAAGAAGTGTTTAATGCATGGCCGACTAAATTATCCTTGAAGAGACAGCGATTCGTGCCCCATTGAGTGCCTGCATGTAAACTGTTTGGATTTACAGCTCATGTTTAAACTGGCATTAGTGGCTTAAAACCCCCTTACTACTGTGTTCCTCTGGTGGGTAATCCAAAGCACCATTTGCAATCTGGGGCTCCCTTTGTCTCTCAAAGTGGGAACAGCACGAGTACAAGTCGTTTTAGCTGTATCAGCGACCAGAAGAAGTAATAATCATTTTCAGATAGGTTTCAGCACAAATTCTACACAAATTCAATGAGTGTGACTTCTTAACTAATGCATCTGGTAGGAAATAATACAAAACAACTAATCTGTGACTGAATTAGACACAAAATATGCCCAATCAATTCTGTAGATTCAACTGTTTTTAGTGAAAATACTATAGTAACTATCTAACAGTTAAAGTTGTAGATACATTCATTTTAAGTCCCCATTCCGTTAGGAAGTGATCATTGTACTAATAAAAAGGTAGATTTATCATTATTATAAATGAGATTTCTGTGACGTCATCACTGAATTCTGCCTGCTGCAGATAACCCGCCAAAGTTTGATGTTTTGACCTAATAAAAATAGAATTTGTTTGAAAAAAAACTCTCTTTAAGGCCAACTCATTAGTAAGACTTTTGACAACCGCAGCAAAAACCCACTCCTTTTTAGCCAGACTAAGTATGAAAAACATAGGAATTGAAGAATGACAAGTGATTTTACCAATGGCTAATGATGCAAAATAAAGTGAAAAGCCCTTAAATTCGATGTTAAAAGGAGGGGGGGAAAATAGTAACAAATATTTCTTGAGGATATGAACAAATGCGTCATTGAGATGATGCATCACAAAACAATAAACATAACCTTTCACCACCTCCCCCGAGACTTTACAAAAAGCTGAACACTGATGAATCTAGCCCAGCGAAGTGGAGGCAGCCAGTGACACACGAGTGCCGTCACCCGGCTCACGCTGAGATGATAATATCTGAAAGCTCCAAAAGGGAGCGAGCACTCAGGCGTTTCTGTTTTTGTGCACTGTATGACACAAACCCATGACAGTGAGATAAAAATACTTGTGACAGCTCAGCCGATCTTGTGTCACCTTCGAGTGGGGAATACAGAGCCAGAACCCCCTTTTTGGGCAGCGTGCTGCTGCACAGTCCTACATCTCTGTGCCTGGTTTGACCCAAAACTTGAATTCACCTGTAAAAATGACATGGGGGCACAACGCGCTGACGTTTGTCAGAGCAACAGCTTCATATGACGGGAAATGCAAGGGCTGTGTTGCGAAATCTTGAGGTTTGAAATGTGCTTTTTGGGAGCTCTGTGTTACTGTTGTGTGCAGCCACTTTCTGTGTGACACGCTGATCAAAAGTGACACTGACTGCTTGTCAGTCACAGTGCAGCTTGACCCGTTTTGACTTTGACAGAAAGGAAACACGAGCAGAGTGAAAGAAGAGACAAGTGGCGAGAGCCCGACACGGCTGAAGAATCATTGATGATGTCAAATGAGTGCAAAGACTTATCTAAAAAAGCATGACTGTTTACATCAATAAAAAGATAAATTTGTTTTGTGATTGGTGAATATCATCTCTTGGACGTAATAATCAAGTCGGAAACAAAATGCCTTCATTTGGTTGATAACACTATCGCTCATTTGCTCATTTCAAGAAATGAGGGAGCAGATTATTGGATAAATGTTGCAGACAATAATTTAATCGGGAGAGTAGTTTACCATAAATGACAGGCTGAGCAGAGAAGTTGGGCTTTTCAAAGTAAATAGGAAATTAATTGAAAGCATTTAGATCGCAATAAATTACAAAAATCTATAAAAGACACCTCAACGTATACCCCACATTATACATCAGCAAAGGAAAATATCCCTGGACTGTTAAAAACAACAAAGTTGCATTTATTATACAAACACCAGATTTCTTTCAAATATTCCAATGATTTTAGAAAAATACAAAAAACAAACAAACCAAAGTGTGGATGCTATTTAACGCTAATAAAGACATAGCGTAATGGTTTGAAACATTTAACACACATTTGCAGGTGAGGAAATGTACTATTTTCTCTTCTTACTTGATTACTTTTTAAAATATTGTATCCAGCAAGAATAGAACGGAGTGGTTTTTGGTTTGGAATATCAACAGGACCTGTTTTCAGATGGATTTGGCACTCAGACTCCACAGAGCCAGAGGTTTGAACCTCCCCGCTGAAGTAAGCTGGTTTTCGTCTGGGTTTTTTTTCAACATCTGCATAAAGCTCAGTGTCACAGACAGTTAGTGGCCCATTTCTGTTGCCATGAAGTTCCAGATAAGCAGAAATGACTCAAAATCAACTATTTTCTCGACTGTACATAAATTCATTTAAATATTTATTTAAACATTGAACATAGTCGAAGGTCAACTGAATCTAATTTTAAATTATCTATCAGCATGATATTTAATTTCTCACATCTATAACAAGCTTTTTGAAAGGTGGTCAGGAACGAAGCAGCTCTCCTCCGTGGGACCTGACGAAAATGGTTTAAACCAACCTCTGACCTTTAAATTGCCACGCTGCCAGTCTGATGGGGTCAGATGGGATGCCAGCCCAACCTGCAATGAACTCATCCAAAGCGCTCACAGCCTCAAGTACCAGTTATTAATACACACAGAGCTGGACGAGTCGTTATCATTTAATTATATGAAGCTGACAAAAGGCTTGTTTTTCAGGGTGTTTAGATGTTGCTTCAGGCAGGACAGTTCACTTATTAGTACTTCAATATCTATATTCAATATCAATATTGAAATATATTTTCTATCATTATCAGTTTCCCCATCAATATATTTATTTCAATATGAGAAGGTGCTGCTCATACTCTGTTCATTTGACTATATTTTTACTATTCTCACGTGCTCTCCTTACTAGGTCAGTGTGCTGAGGAGCCGTTGACGGGTCACAGGTGTCAGCTGGTGGACAGATTACTTGTGTATTGCTTTTAATCCCACACTGATTCATACAAAAAAAATAAAAACAGTGGGATAAAAATGCCTCGTGTCACTAATCCATTTTAATCCCTCATGACAGTCCTGCTGTCACTCACCAAATTATTGAAACAACAGCGATTGGCTGCCATCAAACTCAAACACGGAACCAGTACTTTAACTGCTCGACGGTTTCCTTGTAAACAGTTGACAAAAAGTTTACAAAAAACTGCAACAAGAAGGTAGCTTTCCTCTAAAGTACTTCTAAAACTCACAACAGCCTTTTGCACGCTCCTGGCCTCCTCTAACCTTGCAGCCACTTTGAAAGGAACACACAGATCAGTGGCCTATAAAAGAAAACTTGTTTCTCATGGCACACATACTTCTGCAGAACTGTAACCTTTCACCTGTTACTCCTCAGCTCGGGATTTGGTGCTTTGAGGTCGGAAATCCATAGCAAACTCGCTAATGTTCCAGCAACCTACAGCATTATTTTAGAGAAGAGGACGCGTCAAAGTAGTGAGACGGAAGGAGAAGTTAGAGTCAAGCAGGACAGGGTCGTTTTTGCCCTACCTCACCATTGTGGTTGAAGCCAGCCACAGTCCCCTGCTTCAGCAACCTCAGGTCTCAGTAATCCAGCGACTGGGCGCTGTTACACAAGGGAGGGTGGGAGGGAGATATGGAGATGCAAGGAGGGGGTGGGGTTGCTTGTAAAAGTGTTACTGGGTTAGACAGAGTGAGACAGAGAGAGTGAGAGAAATGACAGCAATGGGGGGGGGGGGGTGCATTGTTAGAGGGCTAGACAGAAAAACACAGAGTGTGTGTGGTAGGAAGAGCTGGCAAGGGGGCGGGCGCCTTTTAATCTGGGATTAGGATGAGCGTGAGCGGGCCTGATACCAGCACCCGTCGGTGCTATCAGCGGCCCCCCCGCCTTCCCCCCCTTTTCCACCTCAGAGAAAATGTGACAGCCGCTGGCACACTGATACAACCATCCTAAAGCCTCCTTTCTGAGCCTCGCCATCACTCTCTCTTTGAATCCTAACGGGTCAGGGACTGGGTTGTGGCTCGGCTCCAGAGCCTGCTCTGTGATCCTGGAGCTAGCACAGCTTCCTGTGGCTCCGACACAGGCCAGGCCAGGCCAGCACCAGGTGCCAGGTCTCCCCAACAAGGTCCTGGCTATCTTGTCGGAGGCTAAATACAACAGCTGTGATGCCTGTGCCTGGGAGATTACATGTGTTGTAGTTACACCGGATCATAGTTAGGCTAAACCCTCAAATCCAGCCAATTCAGCACTATGACATTAGGCTATTAATTTGCAAGGCTTTGCAGCTGGGTCAGAAAATAACTGCACAGAACAAAAGCTTATCAGAATTTCTCTGTAATCTGCAGACCAATGAGTGCATACATTTACTGTGGCTGCAAAGTACTTTGAATATATTCATAGAATAATGTCTCAATTGTAGTTATTATTGAGAAATAACACCTTAAGGCAGCAATCATAATCATGCAGTTTAAAGATAAGATTTATATTGCTAACTTACATTAAGACATCATACAAATTGAAAAAATAAATCCTATAAAGACCTGACTCACTGTTACATTGTTAAATAAAGGCTACAGATCCAGTGGAAACTATGAACTGAATGTTAAATTCTAAAAATGATCTTAAAAACCACAAATATTTGTGATTATGCAAAGGTAGAGAATCTAGTAAGTATCATGCTGCAAAATGAACAGTCCCACTGTTTTTCCTACATACATTAACACTGTGGTCATCAATACACTGTTTAGATATTTACAGCATTGCCTTAATTCCGCAGCTAACATTAAAACATCCAACTCTTTTCATGTGGGGATATAGAATAAAAGGTCATTGTGCCATCAAAACAGCTCCCAATTTCCTGCCAAAGCTCCACCGAGCACTACACCTTGATACCCAAAATAAAAAGGGGAAACTTAATTGTGTGAAATACAGCAGTTAAACCAGAAGGTAGGGCAGTGAAAGCTTGGTTTGGGCATCGTACTAAAAAAGACCATCTAAAGCTTGGCACGTTTCTATGCGTGTCTCTGCCGAGTCCAAATAAGTTAGCAGCCCAATTAATCCTCCATTTTGGGACAGCCGCACCAAAGCTTCCTACGGATTGACATATTAAGAGTCCAGTTTAGCTAGACTGCTTTTAACCAGTGGGGGGCCAGATTTTCAATACCCAGAATTATACCGTATTTATCACAAATTCTTAATCTATACTTATGCTTTCTAGTGATTGGGCTGGGATGCTTTTTCCACTTTAAACACAGGCAGTTTCTTTAGTCTGCCTACACTCCAAACATTGGCAATCACATGACCAACATTTGTGTAAATTCATCAAGTGCTACTCAGAAAATACTTCCCTGCTGGTTACACAACTAATATCCCATAATGCATGCATTTTTAATGAAACTGAGAAGATTATTTTTGCAGAGCACTGTTCATGAGTCCTTCCAGACGAATGAACAACACAGCCTCCCTGCACAGCCTCATCCATTCTCCACCTCCCTTCCCGATTCAGAACATGACTGCAGGAGCAGGCGTGACTCAGGGCTTTCCAAGAATAGGATTCCCTTTGACAACTAGCAAGCACGCCATTTCCCTGCATCTGGCCCTGGGCAGCAAGGGGAAGAGAAACGGAAACAAGACAAAGACGGCAAGTTTTCAAAAAGCTTGAATTTATCTGACGAGATGTCAACATGGAGGAGCTAAATGAAATGGATGTACTGTGGGAGAGACAGAGGCAGCTGAGAGCCGCAAGTTGCCTCAGGCTGGTTGGGGGAAAGAGCCCCACTGTGCATCCAGCCAGCTCTCTATCCTCTTGCATAATGTCTCAAGTTGAATATAGCCCTAGTTGGCTATTTAAAGCATGCATGTCTAGGCTTGCTGAAAAAAAGGTGATATACTTAGTAGCCACAGCACAGCGTGAAAGCCTCTGCTGGGGTTATATTGGTCACACACAAGGCGTCGACTGTGCATTTTAAAAATGAAAGTTATTTTTAGTCCGGCCGGAGTGGCAGGAGTTATACTTACACGAGGTGACAAACCGGCCACCCACATTTGATCACTAGAAAGTCAAATTCTGTGTGTCGGGTAACTTTGCTGAACCGGCTAAATGAGCAACATTTAGTGAATCACACCACACGTGTGTGCTTCTTTTGCTCATGCGTACCACCAGATGCTGAAACACTACTATTCAAACACAAAAAACAACTACTTGTACCACAGGGTATAGAGTGTATGAGGCTTTTTGGGTTTACATCGAGCAAACACGACTTGAGCAATACAGTAAAAGTGACAGGTTAATAAATAACTCATGTATTTCCACAAAACATGTATAACTTTATGCTATACAGACAGTAGGACAGCAGAAGGGACAAAAAAGGTTTTACAGATCACAATTTTATCATTAAAGAACAACACACAAGTTAACTTATCAAAGAAGACTTTAGTAGGTTCATTTTTCTTTCCAGATATGTTTGAAGGAGTTTCACTAATATTCAAGCAACAGTAACACTAACTGTATAAACCAGATTAACGCCCAGTTTGGACAGAGATGTAGCTCTGACACGTTAAACATCAACTATTCTTTGTCAAACAAAGATAACAAGTCTTCCAGTTTTTCTAACAGCGCTTCCTTTCATGCCACAACAGACTGTGTGCAAGAGAATTGTGATGTTTTGTCTCCTTTGCCAAATGCATTTAGCTATGTCTGGAAAAATTAATAAAATGCAAAGCACGTTTCTGAGGGAGGGGGGAAAAAAAGGACACAAGAGTGGGTTCAGAGCACTTCTGGAAATTTTTGCAGGGCTATCTTATTCCTCCACATGTGCTGTTGTTTTCCTGTCGGCTTATCGACCAAACTGACTCACTGCTCTCAGCTGGTCAAAAGAGTTTCAGTGACAGATGAGGTCTGTTCCATAAACAAAGCAGAAGAGGTGGTTTCCTATAATGGAAAGTCTGTTCTAATGCAAAGGTCTCACTTAGCAGAGCGAGTATGGGAAAGCTTCGTAAAGTGATTCATCATTATGCATTTCTGTGGCCGCACGCTGAACTCAACACACTGTGTAAAATGCTGTCATACTGAATAACAATAAGGGACATTACAAAAGTTCCTTTATGACTTCACATCTTCACTACAAAAACAATCGGCACATAAATAAGGGGGAACTCCAGCCCTCCCCAGTGTTATAAAGAAATAAAGTCCTTCCCGAAACAGTGAATTTGACTGATATGATCACTGAGCATGTCTGTTTTATTAAGATGGGACTCATTGTCGTGCTGTCCCCGGCGGTGTTTCAGCTCAGGAAGTACAAAATGTGCCACACAACAGTCATATGTGTGCTGACCACCCATTAACCATGGAAACATCTTCTGGCTGGTCTCAGTGGTTTTTCTTTCTTTGTTGTTGCTTTTTTTAACGTATTCTGGTGGCATTGGCACCTGAGGAGAGTACCTATACGGACATACATACATACTCTAAATCTCAAACGCCTCTCAATTAAATTGAAAAGTAATTCCATAAATTAGGTGAGAAATTCTCTCTCTACTCTGAGATTTTTTTTTAATCCAAGTGCAGCATCATAAAAAAATCAGGATATATCAGAATATGAAAATGTGACTTGAGACTAAAAGGGAAAACTACTTTATTTAAAAAATTTAAGGCGAAAAAAATTCATTGCATCAAAAACACGTGTGAAATCTAAAAAACTGCCGCTCTTTTGCCTCAACATTCTCTTTAGGCTTTTTCTAACCTTTGAAAGTTAAGGCTGCCTATTGAAAACACAGCTGCGTGTCACACGCAAATGTGATACAAACACAAATCTGCCACTTTTTCCACCCATATATACCGGCAGATAACGTGTATTACCTGTAAACTCTGACTGCCAACTCTGCATTTTCTAAAGTGCACATCACGCACGCTGCTCCAGAGACAAGCTCAAACATTTCATAGGTCACCTTGCACAGAAATCAACCATTAAAGTAAACCATAAAGTGTGTAACCATGTGCGTTTGAAAGCATGGCTAAATTTGACTACTCTATAATATTGAAGTAATGAAATAAGCCCTATAAAATACTCTTGTATAAATATATATATATATTGGAAAGCCACAGGACTAGATTTCTTTACTGGAAACAAATACATAAAATCAACTAGAAACCTGTATAATTTCTGATTTCAACTGAGCTTCCTGTAGCTACTGACTCCTCCCACAACATGTAATCTCTGAGGAAGATCTTCAAATCATTACAAACTGAAATGCCAGTGTTGAATTGTACGCAGGGAAAGGCCCAAAGGACAAACACACACACTTAAACACATGCACATTTAAGTCAACAGTCGGTGGGCCGCAGACAAGGCTTCAGGATTAAGAATATTTTGTGATCGATGGTAGTTTTCAGTCACTTTAAACAGAATGCTTTACAATGTTCATTTAAATATTTAATTTTTTGGGAGAGAGAGAGAGAGAGAAAGAGGGGGTTGTATCAAATATTGCACTGTGTCATGGCTTGGATTCATTGCAAACTTTGAGTCAACATCCCAGACTATGTACACACCAAGAGAAACTAATTGAACAGGAAGAAATCAACAATTAATGGTAAAAAAATGCAAAAATCATGAAAACATCCTGTTATAACGGGGATGTGCATTAACACCAGCCTTAATAACTGAGGAGAGTGAGCATACAGTGAAATGAGTCACAGCATGTATTTTTCAGACTTAATAACACCTAGCTGGGGCAGTTCAGAGCTAAATGTTTCTTTTTGTGCAGCAGGTACTTAGAAACTACGTCCTGTCAACGCTTCAAGCGTCGACATTTGTCCAAACGCCGCAATGGAAATCACTTCAAACTTAAACAACGCAATAAACAAGCACAACGCGCAGCTTTAGCGGAATGCCACTAATAAATTTGGGGAACCGGGGGGGGCCTGAGGGCGTCGTGAGTAACGGGGGGTCTGTTAGGCGACGGAAAAAGTTGCGGCGCCCCTGTTTTGCCGCCAGTCTCCGGCCGCTCGCGCAGAGGTAATTATCTGCCCCTCACGCGCAGCCCGGAGAGCCGGTTCAAAGTGCGGGGCGGGATAGGGGACAGTTGCAAAAAACACGCTCCACTTTACCTGCGGGATGTCATAGCAGTCTGCGAAAGTTGTCGAGAGTCCTCGGACGGTCCTCTATTCCCTGTGCTGGGGCGCTGTGAGGATTAAGTGCCCGGTGCGACCTGACTGTGGCGCTACACATGATTACTGACACGCCTTCCGGTTGGTACCTGTCAAAACAAAGGCCTTTTACAGAGGTAAAACATTACATCTTCAGCTGTGAATTTCATGTTGTAGATTAACAACTGTCCATGAGAAACATTCCTTTTTTAAGTGGTGTTTTGATATAATTTTTCTTTAGCCAATTTTTTTATTTTTGTCATTTGCATGGGCTGCATTTGATAGCATTTTTAGACTCACTTTTTCTTGTCAAACTCTAACCGAATAGTGTTTAATCTCTCCCACTGGACCTAAAAACGTCACATCCAAACGTCTATTTCCAAATTGATAAGGGCTTTTGACACCTGGCACTATTTAGGAGATAAGTTTCACCCTGACTCCACTGCTGAAACATGCATCAGCCATGTAGCACTAATACCATATTATATATACATTCATATTGACTGTTAGATTCTTTGTTCCAGTTATATTAAGATGAACAATATTTTCACATTGAAAATTCGAATGTAGAAAACAAAAGAAAACTTTCTCTTCTGTTTAATCATCTTAGTCAATCATGCAGTGACTAAAAAGCCCTGCAAGGTATCACTGTGCTTTTGTCAACCTCAGCTATTGTCATGTGAGGGATAAGACTGATCTATACCTCCTCTGTTATATAAACAGAGTAGGGCAGCCTCTTAGCTCTTCACAGCGGTGTGTGTTGGTGGTGCAGGCGAAGAAAAAGCATTGAGGCAGAGCAGCATTGACGTCACTTGCCTGGTTGTTATCAGTGTAGGTTAATCTACTCTGGGATAGATGGGCTTATGCAATTGTCTGTGAGCCCACAGGCTTTACACTTATGGATTTGCTTTTGCACTGTTAGACTAAGTGTGCAGCTGCAGCCTAAAGACAAATGTGGAATTTCAAGTAGATGTTTTTTTCCCCCCTCTATCTGTCATACTGAATGCATTGTGCCTCAAAGTGCATATTGGTTTGAACATATGTTTAGCTCTGGTGAGCAGCTGAAAATGACCTTGTTGAGTGAGCCTGATATAGATTTCAAACTGAAGAGGATGGGAGAGGTAAAAGGTAGTGGAACAACAAAAACGTCTAGCGCTTGATGCTAGACATGATAAAAGAGTAAGACATTTTGAAAACAAAGCCTTTGTGATTTATTGGGGAGCGTGCCCTCTGTGTATTTTGTGTTCATTCCGACATTGATCACAGCATATTTTTGTGCTGGGCGTTTTTTTTCATGAACAAATGGGAGAAATTGTTTTTGGCTTCCTCATGTGTTTGACAAAAAGCTGTGAGAGATTATGCATCAACTGCACTGGGGGCGTGGTTACAAACCGTTTCTAGTTTACATGTTTACAATGTAAAGTTGACTTATTTATTCACATGCATGTCTATGGTGAAATGTCCATTGACATTAAGGACTGGAATACATCAGTATGTATTTTAGAAGGCAGCTTAATGCAATCACAAAGTGTAAAATAAAAGGTTTTTTTCACGTTCAGTCAAGTTCATTACTGAATCGTATTGCATAAAGTTTAAATAAAACATATAAAATGACAAAATAGATTAACAGAATTGAAGTCACAAATTACTTTTCAACAACTTTGCCCGAGGTGTAGTTTCCCCCATCATTGTAAGTGCATGCAAAAATTCATGCAAGGCAGATTACTCAGTTAAGTGAATACTTCAACTCCTCTAATCATGTTCCCACAATCAGCAGCCCTGAGCACCTGCCAAACCAAATTAAGATAAGTGAAACCTGCCTGGCAGAAACAGACCAAAGGAAAACAGCTAAGCATTTTGAGATAAGTTTCTTGTACAACTGAAAACTAACGGGTTTGAAAGAGCGGCATTACAACATAACTTTGAAATAGAAGTGCTTCTTTTAATCAGAACTTTTCTCATTAAGTCAAATCCAGGGTTTTTGTCAAGGATGACAGCAACTATGTATGAACAGCAGACTCCAGAAAAAACAAACCTACACTTATCAAAATGATATATATTGTCGTTATATGTTTCCCCCCAAGGAAAATAATCAATTTATGCCTAAAAACCATGGAGTAAACGGATGGCTTTGTTTCAGTGTGTATAAAATCTATCCCCATGTCACCCCTCTCACATTGATCCACTGCAGTTCCACAGTTAAAATACAGCGCTAACATGTTGATTTGTTGGTTCACTCAATTCATACTGAAGCATATAAACATGATAAAAAGACTCTATACTAGATATTAAGCACATGTAGATTTTGTCATGTCTCAGACACTCCATTACTGCTTTCTCCAGAATGACCACAACACAGAAAAAAAAAAACTTTAATGTACTATATCTGAACACAGGCTGTGTACAGATAAATACACTACTTTGATAACAAGAAAACAGATAGTGTGTCAGCATTTGCACCTAACCTGATACAGCTTTTATTTTAGTTCCACATCAATTTAATCTCTGTGGAGTCAGAATGTTGTGCAAAGCAACTATTCCAAGTGGACCAGTCAACCTTCAGGAAGGCTACAGGTTAGAAAACAGGATTTGGCTTTGGGTTCTTCTCGGCCTGATCATCTAAAAAGGGATCAAGCATAATGTAAAGAGTGAGCACAGAAGAGACAGTCAGATTCTGTACTCACACATTCAGTTTTTGTCACAGTGCAGACAGATTTCCCGGGGGTCATAAAGACTCAGTACAAATCCCAGAAATGGAAACCAGGATGTTCCATCTACCCTGAGGTGACTCCCGCTTTTGGGTGCCGGCCTTTGACCTCTTGTGGCATGAAACTCTTAAATTTGCCTTTCCAAATATGGAAAAATATCTGAAAAGGAAAACAAAGAGGTCCTATATTCAGAGTGATGCAACTGGACAGCTGGAGCCACAGAGAAAAGGCTTCCATTGCCATGAGGACATAAAAATTGTGCTGGAGGGAGTTTCAGATCTCTTTATTTTTACATTTCTTAGAAATCATCAGAAAAAAAATCACAATTTGGCATGACCAATCCCATCCATGCCTTGTGTTTGTGCCTAATGTTGTGCTCTGGTTGCCAGATGTGATTAAAAGTCACACAGAAGAGACCTGAATTAGTTGCGTTAAATAATTGTATTCTTTTGTTTTGAACAAGCTGGATTCCTTGAAGTGAAAATATTCCGCTGGCTTTGTGCTTTTAGTTTCTGTAAATCTGGTTTCCTTAGAAAATACCTTGGTACTTTCAATCTAAACCAATTAGCTCCCCTGGGTGCCACCAGGAGAGCGATCTTCTTCTTCCCCTTCATTATTTAGCTCTGGATGTCGATGCTGTGTTTTGTGAAACCCTTTAATCAAACTACCCTCACCTATTAACGTGAAAATGATGTTTCTCGAGCACCAGATTTCAGATTTCATGTGAAAAGTCCAGAAAAAATTGGGATGTTCAGAATGATGTGTGAATTTGTGCAGGTTTTTTTTCTCTTGAAAACCAGAATTATATTCAGCATTAAAGCCCTGGAGATCAGCATTGGTAGAATTGCAATTCAGAGATGCGTGTATGTATTATAAATGATATGGAAAAATGGAGACATAAATCAATCTGAGCACAAATGCCTCATCTACACTGATTACAGATTGCAATTCTGACTTGCAACCCCACTGCTTGCAGTTGACAGAGGGGAAAAAAAGCTGCCCTGGAAATGGAAATGCCTGCAACGTTAAACCCTTTAACCTCTTCTCTTCTACTCATTCATTTAGCACCGATACCATAATTGGGGACTAATTTGTAAATGAATGAAATACATTGCATCTTTGAACCATCTCCTGCTAAAAAGAATTTAAAAAAGAGCTGATAGTTAAAGCTCAATGTTTTACTAAATATCCACTTATTTGGTTTAGAAAAACTCCTGCGAGCCTTGGTTAAGGGGAGGGTTGCCATGGGAACAGCTCGGCTGACATCATGCAATCCAGGACACTAATTTTCATCATCTAGGCACGGGGATGTTTTTTGGGTGATGTTTGTTTGTTATTCTGCTCTAAACAAAGACAGCTGACGTGCACAAGGGTTTCCATTTGGTTGATGTTTTATTTCATGGTGGTAGGAACACAAGACAAAGGTCATAAAGTTAGTAATGTTCAGGTCATGCCACTCTTACTTGGTGCACTGCCCTTTGACGAGGTTTGCGTAGTCAGACAGTAGTTTACAGAGGTCAGAGGAGGATAATCCACATGTAGACATAAATAGGGAGGAGGAAACAGATTCAGAAACAGTAAATAGATGATTTTTTTTTTTCTTTGTAAAAAGCCAGATGGAGCATTTGCAGAGGCCCTCTGGGATATTTTTTTTTAATGCAAGGGGATTATTACTAATATAGTTATCATTATCATTAGGTATTACTCATTTACATTATTGGAATGAAGCTAATACACTGGCTAAAGGAAACAGTTATCTGAATGATGTCCGTCACCTGCTCACAGTCAAGGTAACAGGTTATTAAGGCAATTCATAGTTTCCACCCAAAAAAACAAAGACCGCAGTTGTCTTTATTGTTCTAGAGTCCATCCAATTACACAGGATTCTCTCAATTATTACGTTTCCCCACCTCGGTGGGTCAAATCCAAAGAAGTGTGTTAAAATGAGACCAGTTCAAAGTTAGAAGAGTGCTGGCATATGAAAGTGTCTCGGGACACCAGAAGGAAGTTCCTGGTCTGGCGTGGACACCTAGAGCTTGAATACACACAACATCATTATAGTTTAAGGGTAATCCCTCCCCCATGTACAGAAGTATGCCATTCAGTGGGTGAACAGACAAGTCAGACATGGCTCCAGTGTATATTACTAAAAACGAACCTCCACAGGTCACACATTTGCTAAATTTACACTTTAAGATCGCAGGGCTGTACAAAAACAGGTCGCTTGATGATTTAAAGGAAGGAAACATAATTAAGAACTTTTAAAAAAAAAAAAGAAGAACAAGACCATTTGATACTCAACCACAAACAGGCATGATTTTGTCTTAGAATATTGCCAAGTTTCTCATATCAAAACAAGTGTCTTTAAGTGGGTCATCCCGGCTAACTGCATTTAGCAAAAAAATGACCCCACTTTGCAACAGTCCACTGAAAGTTACAGAATTTGCACCAGTATTACAAACCCATGCGTTGCTATCTTATCTCGCGAGTACTGTAGGATTATGTATCTTTTTTTTTCTCCGTTTGTGTGGCTGTTATGGCTTCAAAAGGTCAGAAGAACATACCAGTCTATCTCTCTCTTTCATTCAACAGCCAAAAAAAGAAGAAGAAAGAAACGTGTTCCTCCAGGAATGTGAAAAAGGAAAATAAAACGAAGGCTCAAGCAGAGATATTCGAAGCTTTTCGTCTTTGTGTTGACAGCTGATTGTTGTTTGACAGCACTTCCCAAGAGCAGCAGTTCTTCTCACGATAAGCTCCGTCTTTGCCTCCTCGGTCTGTCTTTCTCTTCAGTCTTTGCTTTCAGCACCTCCTTAAGGTCAGAAATGGTAACAACTCTTCCCTTACGCACCATTCAAGTTCCTGCAAAACTACCTGCTCCCAGGGAAAAGGAAAAAAAAAAAGGAATACAGGGAATAAACAATCCTAAAACACTATTCCCAAGTCTGTACTTTCTGTTATTACATCAGTGGAAAAAACAAAGGAAAAAAAAAAGCCAGAAACTGAAATAATTCAAATGAGTTTTTCTTCTCCTTTTTTTTTTGTCGGAAGAAAATGTAAAAATAAAACAAAAAACAAGATTCAAACCAACACTGCAGAAGTGCATGCATTTATAGTGGTCAACATTAGCTCATCTGCTGATTGTAGAACAGAACGCACAATAGTACATGAGTAGCACAACTCTTGAAAGAGAACCCATCTTACATATTCACAGTCTCAGGTATTATTCATATAGTCTATATTTATAACATTTATATGATTCATTTCTTGACTTATGACTAATGATCTGGGCGTCACTGTGGAGCACGCTCCCTGCTCTCTCTCCGTCATGTCGGATCGCAGTGCTACTGAGTCATATTTCAAAACTAAAGGCTCTGATGGGATCGGCTGGAGTTCGTTTTTTCTTCTATTTTTTTTTTTCGCACTGTGAGATGGGGGGTTGATCAAGTAGTTTGACTATGTACTTAGTCACTGCAGCAGCTTGACTGATATTTGAAAAGTCATATTAGGAAAATATAATAGACTGAATACAGGATTTCAGTACTGAATTTCTCACTGTTTTACGCCCGCTGGCTGCAGTGTGAAAGAGCTGCACACTGCGGCCGGAACACACTCCGTGTTCCAGCTCTCATGGGGGGGGAATGTATGTCTATATATTCAAGAATGTATAATAGGCCATGCTTGGGGAATGTGGTGGGTAGATATGGCACCAAGACAAGGCAGTAACTAGAAATCATCAGCGAGGTCCATTATGTTCAAGTAATGAGTGAGGAAAACATTTTTGCCTGGTTGATGTTTCTTTTTTTTTTTTTAAAATAAAAAAAAAAAAAAAAAAAAAAAAAAAAAGAAAAAAAAAAAGAAACTGCTTACTGTGTACCGAGATGCAGATAAAAAAAGAGCAAAATATATAAAACAAAAATTAGACGACGTACTCGATCTCTTTTCATATAAAAAGCGATGAAAAGTATACAAAAATAGAAAATAATTACAGCAGGAGACATGGGCGCTATGGAGGGGGGGGGGGGGGGTGGGAGGGTTTCTTGTGTTTTATTCCATTTGTTTGCGGTAATTGTCTGTGGCTGGTTATTTGGCGGCGGAGCAGTGTAATATTTTGGGGCTGTTTAAGGCGTCCTCCACCAGGTGGAGCTCCACTCCGTCCACCACCACGTCCTTGATGCAGCCAACGAAGCCGGTGCTGTAGGCCTTGGGCAACCGACGGGCTGCTGCCAGCTCTTCCAGGCCACCTGAGAGGGGGGGACACACACCAAAAGTTACACAACTGTGAACCAGCTACTCCACAAAAAACTTATTAACAGACCTGCTACTTGAATCTGAAAATAATTACACCAAATTGAGACTAGTTCAACTGTATGCCCTCTACTGTTCCATTTCAAAGCACGGTCCAAAGGAATTTTCTCATTTATTTCTAAGAAAAATCCTATTTATGATTGGCAAACTCCTTTCACTGAACTTCAGAACACATCAAATGCTTTAAAATTCCCGGAAAAACGTTTTGGTCCAAACTACCAAAGCGGTTACTCAGCTTTATTCGGTTGTGATGGAGCCTTTGATATTTTACCCGATGATGCCAGCTGATAGATTTGATCGGTTTATTTTCCAAAGGACCGAGATCAGAGAGAATCAGAGTCAGCTCAGACATGTTCCACAATCAAAGGGGGTGTCATGTACAATGATGACTGAAAAAACAACCTCATTATTTTTAATTTGTCTGCATCTCCGGTGCTCACTGCCATGATAACTGCACAAATCTCATTTGTCTTTCAAATAGCGTGTAATGGGGTTTTATGTCGGTACGAGAGGTGCTCCTGTTTGTCTGCTGACTAGATATGGGCCCACTCCAAAAGATTGCTTCATCTGTCTTTGAACATTTGTTACGTACAGATTCGGAAAAAAAGAAAATGTCTTCTAATCTGTTCAATGTTTTATTTATGGAGAACAGGTGCTTTAAAACATATAAATATCTTAAAGACCTGGCCCCTTCACGTCTTTATATTCAGCTTCCAATGAGCCACTTATTTCTAATCTCCATAGTTATTAAAGGTCTCTCATTGTCTTTTATTTAATAATGGCTGTTGTTATCCATTTTCAGTCCTGTCTTTGTATTTGACGTTTTTAAGAGGAAGTTATTTTTCTTTTTGTTTGTTAACAAATCTAACACTGACCCAAAAATGATTCAAACCATTAAAGGAGGAACCTGTAAAATTCCAGCAAACACAGAGCACTCCAGAGATACACCAGCTTACTCTTCCGCTCATAAACCCAAAGACGAGCTTTGGGATGTCCTTCAAGAGGCCTGGATAATTATTCCTGTAAACGTCTTAAAGGAAGTAAAAGACAGCTTGTCTAGGAGGGGGGAGGCTGAGTTGAAGAATAAATTCAGCGAAGCAAAATGAAGACGTTTAAGCTCGTAAAAGCGGTACATGCATTTTCATAGATGTCCGTCCAAATTGCAGGAAATTATTGTTTTTTCCAGGTTTTGCAGTATATTGTTCAGGTAACTACACACCACACATGGAGAGGATTTTAATTGAACATATTGCCCCTAAAAGCAATTTTTTTTGCATGTTCCTGTTTTTTTGGCCTACACTTGATTTTGTCCACTAACTCAACATATCTAACTAGTCTAATAATCACCTTTTTTCAGGCCTTGATGTCCAAAAAATGAGGTGGGCGGTGGGGCCGAACTCCTTTAAGGTAAAATTATTTTTTTCCCCCATAAATGTTTTACTCGAAATAAGCCTTACACATCTGTCTTCAAAATTCCCTGAAATCTGCCTTTAATGCGCGTTTTTTAATGTTCAGCATGGCTGATGTCGCACCTCAATCCCCCCCCCCCCCCACACCTTCTCCACCTCTCTCTCTATTCCCTGTTTTGTTGGACTGCGAGTTCATATCCCCGTTGAGCTCTTTACATCCCCTGTCCCTGCCCCCATTAATCGGATTGCGTGCCTCCGAATCGGGAGTTGACAGGGCTAATTTCATGCGAGTAACAGATGAATTAATGATGAACGGTGAAAAGGGGGATTTAAAAAGAAGAAGGGCTCACGACGGGAAGGCCGTGCGGGGATTATATATTCTCGCTGCAAGCCCTGCTCAGCACCTGTTCCACTGCACTGCTTCCCCGCGTGTGCTCGTACGCGTGCACCTGAGTGCACCTCGCATCTCTTAAATGTCACTCACGCTGCTCCTCCTCTTCAGCCTGCCTTTACTCCGCTGTGCGCTGCGCATTTCAAGGAACAGTCAGACTTTACTTTGCCGCCCCATCTCCGGTGTTATTTCTGTAAAAATGCTCGGTCCAGCTGAGTCGTGTGTGTTTTCTTTCAAAGACCATTTTTTCAAATTCGTACTAAATGGAACTCGCGGTAGACAACGAGCCCACTTAGGTTATTTTCAATCCAGGAGAGCAGGTAACTTTGAAGTTGCATAGCTAGCCTTTTATTTCTCAATTCAATACCCGAACATTTTATTTTATTTTTTATTTTTTTGTATAATCAGCAATCGTTTTTCCTTGCTGGAGACCTCCCTGATTCTCTGACAAGCCATTTGAGTTTTTGCTCATATTTGGCAACCCTTCGCTTGTAGCTGGAATGCAGAAGTGCTGCACGTCTGTGAGCATTCTCCTAACTGTATAAACTGTGTTTTTTAACGGACAAATTCACGTTTGAACGACGGCCCTTTTATTTGCATGTGCGGGGGGCACCCACCTAACCAGAGGGCTCCATCTGTATCCAGCTGTGTGGCTGCCAACGGCGACGACCCCGTTACCGCTGCCTCGTTGCCGACCTGTAAAGAGCCATCTCGAAGTGCTCTGAGCAGGAGAAAAAGTAAAAGGGGAGACATTCAGTCAGAGGCAAACATGTCACTGTGAACAGCTGCAAATTGTGGTTCTCTCTAATCAGAAACATCAAGTCTGCACTGCTCCTCTGAGGGTGTACTGAGCACTCGCATAACTGCCCCTCGCCAAAGCACTGAATGGGTCTGCCTACCGGCCAACACAAAAACCCAAAAAGCCTCAATTTAGGCACTCCATTGGACTTTAGAATGCTGAAGACAACACCTGTTTGAACCCGCTAAATAGGGTCTCCAACCAAGAGAGTCTCATTCAAAGCCAGCCACAAACACGGGTATCTATGTCCCAAGAGAGCTGCTTGCCACATGACGTGATTTCCACCATCATCAGCATCCGAATAATGCCATCTTACACCATCTTCTATGTTATCCATGTCAGCCATGGGGAAGATTGGGCCAAATCCTGGTTGGAAACGGATGTAGCGCCCTTTAAAGGATTGATTATTCTTGCCTTAAATGATGAAAGGAATCTAATTATCCCCCATGCGTCCATTCGCAGCGCAGCTTTGGAAGCAAATGTTCAGCAGCGATAAAGCAAAGAGCATATGGAAGGTGTTAAATGGTTCCTTTTAGATTTTCAGGCTGTTAATTTGTTTCTAATGAAGAAATCCATTATCATGCATCACTGTGTGACCATAAGCATTGCATGCTTTGTGTATTTCTGTGGTGGTCATCCATCTAACGCACGCATTCTAAAATGGTTAAGACTTTATAATTATGTCCAACACACGAGTTATTCATTACGATGACACACAAATGGTGCAAGTTGGTATTACATTCGTGAATTAGGCTGAATTGACTCGTCTCAGAATGTGTGAACATCAGTAGATGACATGGTAAGGGCATCCACTTGGCAGTCAGTCTTGAAAAACACATCCCCACTGACACTGTGCTCACATTTTGGATCTAATTACCGCACGCCACCTGAAGCCAAGGAAGATGACGGAATGACCTTGTTTATTTCTATATCTTCACACATTTTCTTTCTCGCCTCATTTAAAAATATTTTTTTTCACTGCCATTCCGGTTCCATACCTGTGTATCTACGTCACTAATGCCCCCATCTCACAGTGGAAAGAGTGAGTGTACTCTGTTGAACGCAGCAAATGTGTAAGAATAGATACTATTTTGAATTTATTTATTCTTTTTTGTTTAACTCCTGCCCACATTTTCTACAGTGTGCCAATCGGGTTGGGATGTTACAGCATGTTCTCCCTTTTAAGTCACTCATTACCGTGTCTAAGCTGTGTCTTGCCTACCGTGTCTGCGTGTGTCAGCCTAACGCGTGACCAGGCATGGAAATAGCCTTAATCTGAAACTAATCAGAGTCATCTCAGACGTCAGCATCGCTGAGTAACAGTGGATGTATGCAAACGTCAAACAGAAACCGATATGATGCGGATTAAGTCTAATCCCGGTCTAACTGCAAAGGCTTCCGCTGCTGATCCCCGGCTACCTGTCATCTCCTTTTCTTACCTGCTGGCCTTGATGCGTGTCCAGCTGTTGGTGTTTACGCGCACGGAGGAGCGCAGCACCACGGGCTTGGAGCCCAGGTCGTAGGTCATTTGGATGCGCCCGTCCACGATGGCCAAGGCGATGTAGTCGGAGCGCTCCACGCCCTTCCCGCTCCACAGCACCAGGCCCTGGGTGGCCTCCGTCCGGATGCTCAGCTCAAATTTGTTCACCAGCAGAGCTTTCTCGCTAAGAGGAGGAGGAAACGACCAGTTAGCTGTTGGTAAAATTCATTCACTAATCCTCGGCAAAGCTGAGGCCAAATTTCTGCAGAAACACATTTGAGGTAATTTCTGACCCCGCCCATGATTTAGGATTGACAGAGTGTTTTTGTCTTTAGTCAAACGCCTTGTAGTGTGGGCTATGTGGTATCCTTTTAACAGTTATAGCCATTTTTGGGGGGAAATCAGGATGCAGACGGAGCTTCAGAGTCGCAGGAGGCTGTTTTGCTATTAGCTTTGGTAAATCCTACTGAGCCCCAACCGCACTGCTGCTCATTGTGTGTTGTTTAGGCAGCTGTTTGATCTCCTGTCTCCTGACTGGTACAGCTGCGGGGGGGATTTGGATGCAGAAACTAGGAGACTTCTATCTATCCCAAAGACCGACCGAAAAGCCGGTGTCACCGCAGTGTGAAATGAGTCTCCGCAGTAATGTGCCTGCGTGTATGCACACTCACCAGCACCATCACACAACCGTCCCTGCATTCAAACACACTCACAAAGGTTATCTGAGAGTCCAGTCAACGTCCAGACAATCGCCATCGATATTTTTTTTTATTTGTCAATTTTTGCAAAACCTTTTTGTTCGTCTGCCCAAAGTGACTAATTCCACCATCTTAAAAGGGTACTTAAACACAAATACAAAGAGAGGGTGAGGACACACACAGAAAGAAAACCAGTGATGTGGATGGAACAAAACAATTGCCGCACAAAATTGGAGACAAAGATTATAGAAGACAAACGACAAGACAAAGTAATCAGCATAGCAAACAGGCAAGAACGAGGGAGTGCAAACAGGACAGGAAAGACGGGGATAAAAAAGAAGCTGAGCATGGCACTTCTCCCTCAACCTGGAGGACAGACTCTTCTGTTAAAAAGTAAGCTAGATAACAGAAAAAAGGAACACAATGATATTTAACTGGAGGCATATAAACTGACAGCTCAAGCCAACAGTTATGCTGGTTCACCTCAGCAGAGAAACGGATAACAATCCAGATTTCAATCTCATTTCCTTTTTCAAAAACATGCGTTGCTAATTGTCAACCCCCTTGATCAAGTAAAGCGCTGAGGTAAACATAACCGAAAATAGTATGATTTTAGAGCATCGGATATTTTCTTCCCCCTCGAAGGAAGAAAGAAAAGTTGCTCAGTGAACCTTCCCCTGGCAAACCCTCAAAGACCGTACAGGGCCCAATAAATCTCCATCAAGGCAGCTTGTCAGTGTTAAGGTCAAGGTTATTAAAAGAGTGGACTTCATCATGAATAAAACAACACTGATACAGCATTCTAAATCTGATACACACCATAGACTTCATGGCGTCTTTTTCTTTTTGAATTGAAAGGATGTTTTTTTATGGGAGGTTGACACCTGATAGTGCAAACTTCAATTTAAACTCCAGGTGGCAGTAGTGATTAGAAGACTAAAACAAAGTACCATATTTTGTACAGGACACATATGAACTGGTTTGTTTTGGTGCCTCCGAATTTCAGAATGAACTAAGTTGTATGTATAGACGCATTTTAGCGTCGGTAACTGTCTCCCTGGAGAAAGATTTTGCGCTGATCGAGGTCTAGGGGGGCTTGTCTGGAGAGAAGGGAGGGAACGAACAGGTACTACCAAAAGTGAGATACAAGCAGACTGTACTAATATTTGAAAGCTTTGAGCGACTCACCTCTGGTCAGATGGGTTCTCCAGAGACTCGGGACTTAAAGGAGCAGGGGAGAAAGTCAACGGCATGCAGTGTAAGCGCAAACAGGCCACAAGGAGAAAGGCAGGGAGGGGAGGAAAGGAAGGGAAGGGAAGGGAGGAGTGTGTTGTGAGCCCTCTAGGTGACTCACATGGGTCTAGCTAAGACCCAGAGCTGCGAAAAGCATAACTTATCTGCTCTACTACAACATCGACCACCTCAGGAGTCGATAACGACTGTTGTGTGATCACAGGAAGTGTTTAGCTTAACCCTGATAACACCACAGCCAGGGAAAGAGGTTCTGTGGAGAACCACTTAGATCATGACGGACGCACCAAAATGCATTGGGATCAAGCATTTAAAAAAAAAAAAAAAGTGAGCATTAAGATCAAGTACATTCATGGTCAGTGTCCAAATGCTTGCAAATCCTGCTTTAAGTCAGCATTCAATTATTGAACAAATCCTTCATATTTATGGCGCTGCACGCTACGGCGCCGCGGCAATTACCTTCTGTCGAGGGATGGGAAGCAACGGATGAAAAAAAATGGGCTATTGTCAAAAAATGGGGTCAAGTGCCATATCAGCTGAGAGTCAGGGCCAGATTTGATTTGTCACTGAAATAATGGGGCTTGAGCGAATCGAGCTGAGGGAGGTGAAAGAGGAGGCTGCCGAGGACCGGAACAGAAACATCACTCCAAGGTGAGAGTCTGACATCTTGGCCTTCCCGGTGCTTAATGGCCTCAGAAGAAATGTATTAATTTTCTTTACAAAATTAAATTATGCTAAATTGATTGGTGCTGCACCAATGCTCTTAGATTCACACTTACTGCGGCTCTTAGAGACTGTGACATCTATTAAACTTTTGACAGTCTGGCTGCAAGGACCACTGTCCCCTCCTGCTAAGTGAGATTGATGCCCATGGCTACACACTGTGGGGAGATCTCAATTGGAGGTCTAATCTACAAAGGGAGATAAATCTGTGATTAACGTGTCACAGCCATTCAGCACAGCCGACTCTGTAATTATTCACAATTACAGTTCGAGATCTGGCAAAAGTGAAATGACAGAAACCCTGGCGTAGATTGGAACTCTGGGTTGATTCCAGTCGGCTTAATTTGTGCTGAAATCCGCTGCACCGCTTGGTAGGACTTTTTAAAAAGAGCCTGCTTACCGAGCTAATGAGCAGAGAGGAAGAAAAAAAAACCCTGAATAACTAAGTCATGACCAAGGGTTTTCTCCAAGCTACAACTCCACAAGCATCAGTAACTAGGTTAAGAGGTATTTAGTATATTATCCCTTTGGAGTTTTAAAGGGTCTAATTCATCTCCCACAAAACACTTATTGCTGTGGAGTGCACGGCAATTCACTAAGTTTATGAACGAGCTACAACCATGCGTAAATTATTGCACATTCTTTGTACAGCAGTTCATTTTCTTTGGTTGAGCACAATGCTTAACATGCACACATTCATGCTTCTCTTTGCTCAGGAGAAAAAGGAATGATCGTATGGCTTCGCAAATGTGTTCGAAAAATAATGAATTCGCTCAAATTAAATAATGGGAATGGAGCTCGGATGGGAAATCTGACTTCAACAGTCAGAGATGATTGCTGTGTGGAAATTAAGACTGCAAACTGAATGTACTTTAATCTTCTCGGTTGTGTTAACTATCGAAAATGGAATTTTTCTGTTGCTGTTAGTTGGGCTTGATTTGAAACTGGACAAACAGCCAGTCTTTGAGTCTACTTACTCTGGAATCTCATTGGTCAGTTGGCTTGAATGAAAAGGAAAGACAGTGAAGGACATTTACATGAGACAAAAGACAGGAGTGGACAGTGACAAGGGGGGTCAGACTGGAGGACAGGACAAAGGGACGCTGACACCGAGGACATACAGCAAAGATGCACATTGAGACGTGTAGCTGACAGAATTGGCCTGACTCTAGGTTTCATAGTGGGCGTGGGCTGAGCTTCTCCGAGGGAGCGGGACTATCTGCAGGCTGTGGCCCGGGTTTTCACACCTCTGAGTGTTTGTGTGAAGAGCTGTGAGATACGGAACCGTATGCCTGGTGTCGTTTCAGGTTCATCGCATAAACATTTTTTGTTTATGCAAACCTGGAGGCATACTCTCGATGGATGGAAAAGTCAGAAAAGAAAAGTCCCATCAGCTGCCTATGGGGAGAGGATTTCTTGGGGTTGTTTTTGTTTTTGCTACAGAAACCACTTTACAGTTGTGGCGTCATCTTTCCCCTGCTTCTTGGGTTGAAATAAATGGCAGCTGACACGCGTATGGGTCTGAGTTAGATGAAAGACTGAAACTATCAAAACAGGCTAAGAAACCTAATTGTGTGTATGTGTATGTGTGTGATTATTGTTCTATGCCCTAAAACCACGGACAGAACTGAATCTGCTCAGGGCGACACTGTGATTGCTAACTGTCTTGCTAATTAGTGAAATCCTGTCAAAAACTAAGCAGAACAACCACAGACGGGAGGCCGTGCCATTAGCAAAGTGCCTTTCCTCACCCTGCAGCCCTACCACTGATGATATCATCAACACTGTCATCACGGCTTACCAAAGGGAGGAGATGGATAGACGGAAGGGGTTATTTGGCTAATAGCTATAACAATGGAGATGCTTAGTGGAGCTGAAAGGATGGCGATGTTCCACTTGTCCTCCTCCTTACCTCTTTGTAACAGCATTGTGGTACTCGATGAATGTCCGGCCGTCAAAGGCGATGGCTTCAGTCTCTCCGGCGGACTTCTCGTGGATGTCTACAAAGGAGGGGGGGCACGGTGATGAATGAGGACCGCTCAGAGGATGACATCACACCAATCAATGAGAGTGAGGGTTCGGTTATCTGAGCCCCGGGGCGATGGGGTCTGGGCAAATGGGCTGGACGGGGGTGGGGGGGTGGGCGTTGGCTGCGTTTTAATTACCGTAAAAGGGACAACCGGCCACACGCACAAGGTTAATGGGGAAAGCAGTGAGTGAGTAGGCGAGACAGACCGGGCCGGCGTGAGCGCAAGCCTGTCAGGGTAACGGGAAGATGATGAAAGGGATATGCAACCCTTTCACTTTGGGAATATTCAACTGACACGTTTAATAATCCTCCATCCTCAACTTTGGAATCGATACGTACAGTACGGCCATATCAGATATCGCATGGGGAACATTTACATGACTGCACTGAAAAAAACACTGAAAAGCACTGAAAAAAACACAACTGGGATGAAGGTATGTAGAAGAGGAAAACTGCAGCTCATGTTTGAACCATGATTTTAAGCCAAAATCAAGCTGTGTCACATGACTTCAATCCCACTTTAAGTACGTCTTTAAAAGCAGCCAAAATGCTGTGTTTCCCTCCAAAGCAAAACCGGATAATCCTAGACGAAGAAATTGAACTGTTCGCACTGTTACACAGACTCTCAGTCCACCAATTACAGTCAGCCGCTGGATTAAGAAGAGCCCGGTCAAACCGATCCTCAAAACAGGAGTTTCTTAAACGCCGGTGTCCTCTTTCGTTTATTGACTCGCACCAGGAAAAACAAACCAAAAGGGACTGCGTGCGGGACGGCAGAACTCACTGTTTTGACAGTTGTCTCCTGAGAATCCGAGGGGGCAAGCGCACTCGTAGGTGTCCAGCTCAGGGCTGCAGCGTCCGCCGTTCTGGCAGGGTTCCTGGGAGCAGGGGTGGCCCTGGAACATGAGCACGTTGCTGGAGTTCAGGGCGTTCTCCTCCCTGAGGATGGGTGTACTCATCAGCAGAATCTGGAAACGGGAGACACAGGGTCAGAAAAGCCACTTGTGTAATTTGTGAATAAATTCAAGGTCAGATGTTATTTCAGCCCTGGCTGGAGTCTTGGAGTAAATTCAGGGATAAAAAGAAAAGAAAAAAAACAAGGGGTGCAATGAAAGCCAAAAAGTCAGCCGATTATGACACGGTGACGTTATTTCTGATACATTATTGGTTAGTTTTAAACTTTTTTTTTAACAAGTTTTAACGCTTGCGAAACTCTTAGGATATATCAGAAATCTGAGTCTCTATTCCTTTGATTTAGATTCTTCTTGGTTTAATTTGTTGCCTTCAAGTCCCAAATCACTGAAGCAAAAGATTAAAGCCTCTAATAACTCATTTTAAAGTCATAATCATATCTCTTTTAAGTGAAATATTCATTACTGTATAAGCAACAAAGTTAAAGTTTAGAAAAGTTGTCTGAAAGAGTCATTTATAAATTGATAAGAACTCCAAGAACCTCAGATATTCTGTTTCATCAACACAAAGTGAATGGTGATTAATTTTATAATAACAAAAAGAAAAACCCAGACGTGCCATTTTAATTTAGGAAAAATTCGTAAAAATTGGGCGACAGTAAGTGTTTCTTTAAAAAATGGCACAGAAGAGTGTGGACTACGTTTAGAAGCAAACAAATAAAAGGTCTTTTTCACATGTGCTCAATTGTTTATTGAGCCCGATTTAAAGATTCTAGGATTAAATCCAGCCAAGGTTTTTCCAGCCTGCACAAGCATTTCCACTCCAAAACAGTATTATATCTTTAATCCCTTCTGTTTATGTAATATTAAACTGTGTTGGACCTCTGCTCTGTGGGCAGTTTCATATCTTTAATGTGTTGGCTCAGTTGACTGAGTCTTTTTGTTAAAATCATCCTATAACATTTTATCCACGCAGCAGAACTCTTTTTAAAAAAGCTTTTTTCTTTTTTATCCTTAGGCTTCCAACTGCTGTCCATAAAAGGTGTGGAGTTTAAGGCTTTTGAGTATTCTTCTGAGACGATTAAACCAAAAATATAAAAAATATATCCTCAGGACAAATCAAGGGGTTACAGCGCAATTTTCGATTCGGTTAAAATGTTCCTTTGAAGATAGATTTCAACATACTAAACATGATACTAAATTGTGTTTCAGACGGTGGATGTTGATACACAGCCCATCAAAGCCCGAACACACACTCTCTTCCTCATTAACTATTCCCTGGAGGCCAAGCATGACAAACGTCACATTAAGCTATTGACGAGCTGGAAACAGTCGAGAGAAACTTTTCAGGAAATAGCTGAGGTCAAGTTTGTGTGCCTTGCCTTTGTTCTAGTGAGTTATTTTAGGCACTAAGAAATGAGCTTTTTGCCAGAGAGTGGAGGATAAAAAACTGGAAAGCTGTCAGGGAAAAGATCTGAGAACAGGCAAATGAAGGGACCTCAAAACGGGCCTTCTATTATTAGTGCGCGCTAATCCAAATGAGCAGAGCCACTTCTCGTCACAGCGTGAGTTTATAATGGAAAATTACCGAGACTGTCAGCGGGACAACTAATAACAGCTATATTTGACTTTGCTACATTATGTCTTAAGAGCCCCTGAGTCATTAAAATCCCACGGCACCACAAAGCGCGGCTCGTGTCCAGTTTGTTAGGACGAGCAGCTTGTAAACGTTTTACCTTTTGGATGGCTCCCTTGAAGCCCTCCGTGAGCGCGGCGATTCTGGGCAGCTTGCTGTAGTCGGGAACTCCACCAACAAACAGAGACTCTTTCAGGTTGAGATTAAAGTGCCCCTCCTGATGAGAAACACAAACAGACTTCAGTAAATGGGCCAGAGGAGTGCAAACTTGGGCAGACATTTTCTTAAAAATGTAGTCGATGAAAACTTAACATTTATGATAACATACATTGTGTGTTTTATGGATTTGCGACACCGAATGGCTTCATGTGATTATGTCCCAGGAGCACGAGATAAGTGGTAACCTTTCAGTTAAGATATCCAGAGTGGGCTCGATATCAATATACCGCATTTTCAGCCACGTACGAGGCCCCTGGGTTACCCCATTGAAAGAAGAATTCATCTGTATTGGAGTCGGCGGGATCTTTAACGGCGCTTTCATGCCTCTCCTCCACGTCAATACGTTTGACACATCGCAACACAACTGACTTCTGTTTCCCAGAGAGAGCGGTCAATTATCGCCTGTGTGACATAAAGAGAGACTACAAAGGAAATTCAGGAGCAGGCTCGACTTAAGATACGGATAGTTTTTTTTAAAGACGCCTCTAATGAATAGCTGATGAGAAGCCTTTCAAACAGATGCGCGTGGAGACACATTCATTGCGATTCATTTGCGTGTCGGACGGCTATGAAATTCGATTCTTTCCGCCGAACCTTGGGGACGGTTGCTTTGCATTAGCAAAGGTGATGCTTGCCTCTGTTGCGCGGAGGACCCAAACCGCTTCTGAAGGAAGGAATTAATTACTTTCCCTTTTACGTAGGGCAGTCATTTCCAGAAGGGCAAAACGGAGTTAATCGCTGGAAAAAATGATGGAAGGGGACAAATACACAGGCAAGCTGGCACCGGCCGGGCTTCGCTTCAGGATGGGATTTGGCTACGGGAGGCAGCGGTGCTTGGCCGGAGCCTGAGGCTGGGTCTCTGCCCCCCTGAGCTGCTCCTGACAGGAGCGGGGCTGCTACATTAGCCCGGGCTGCCGGACCCTGCTGTGGTCAATGCCTCCGGGGCTTTGCCAGGAGTTGACATCAGCTGTGGGGGTAATGTTTTCCACCTGAGGCTCTTCAGGGCCAACGTTTCTGCTCCACAACCCCCCCCCACCCTCTTCACTCCACTGTCAAAGTCACAGATGCTGTGGTTTGCTGTCGCATTTGAAAGCTTGCACTATACGGTGGAAGATATTTCTCTATGACCTAGTGAATTGTCATGCAATGAAATGTCCGATCCTGTTCAGTATCTTCCCCAAACAGGAAATAATCTGAACCGGCCGTCGGAGGGGCAGCTGGATGTATGGACCTTCTGATGTACGGTGAGTTTTATGACTTTGTGACTTTATGTAATAATGGAGGATTGCTCCTGCGTGCAACCCAAGTGAGAGCAGATGACAAATGAACAGCCCGGCTTGGCTTAGCACCTCATCATCTCCTACGGTACATAGCCTCCACGCTCTCACTTTTTTCGAGATGCACGCGGCACCGGTGTGATATCCCCGCCCACGCAGGACTAATGAACACGTCTCTTTGTTGCTTAAAAAACAATGGCCGTCTCAAACATGACTGCCTCTTCTCCATCTTCCCTCCCACCCTCTCCCACCCTCGCAGCAGATGGGCTGAGGTGTAAGCCAAACCGCGCTCCTTAAGAGCATCTCCTCTTCACCGATGTGTGTGTGCCCGCGTGAGCTCGTGAAACGGCGTCTTATTCCACAGATCTGGCACTTTCAAAGGTGCCCCCCCAGCTCTGCGGAAGGCGCCATTTTCCTCAGTGCTGTGGTTGCGTGGTGAGATGGGGGTGAGAGGACGTGGTGAGTGGCTCAAATGAAACACGGGGCTACGTGGTGACGGGGATTTGTCTCATTACCTTGCGTGATTTCTTATTTCCAGACAGCACATCATAGAGAAGAAAAGAAAATAAGGAGGAAGAGAGTTATTAGGGGAAGACTAGTATGTGTCCGTGCACAAAGAGGCATGCAGAGAGAGGCAGGTGCAAAAGCTCACCAAACACGCATTTACATATTACCTCATATACAGATCAGCGGGAGCGTAAAAACAGTTGCTGGATAGCACAAGTGCAGAAAAAATAAGTGCATAGGAAATGTGAGTTATGCATTTTGCATTATAAACGCGGCATATACAGTCGCAAGCTGTGCAAGAGTGAATGCAAATAAGATGTGCATCTACGAAGGCCATGCATGAGGCAGATGGTGCCATTTAGTGAAAAATGAGTAAAATAAATAAATAAATAAAGAATCGAAAGACTGCGAATAGTGCCACTTAACCAGACCTCATTTACAGACTGCTGCTGTTTAACGGGAGGAAAGGTATATTCCTTTTTCCCCTGTTTGTAGCTTTAAAAGTTGGTGTTTATTTACACTGGCAGGCAGAGCTGAGCCGTCTTTGATATGATGATTTCTCCCCGAAGGCAAATTGTATGCGTATATGTTGCCTTATGCCTCATGTGGGTTTCTCTGAGAAAGCCATACTGTAACTCTCCACTGTTTCTTGAAGCTAAAATAGGAGAGAATTAGCTGAGTGCCACACTGGATAGGGTATCTCTACAGAGCTCAATAACTAGTCTCCGCTCATCCCTTGTGTCCTCCCCTGCTCCCCCTCACATCTCTGCTTTTTTCTTTGCTCTCTTCTTTTAATAAGATTTTCTGCCTCTGTAGCTGGAGTAAAACACAATTACCATACAGATGATGGGAGGCAGAGGGGGAAGTACCGAGTGGTGAGACAAAAAAAAAAAAAAGCAGGCTGTTGAAGATGGATTTGACAGAGTGCATGTTCATAATCACAACACACACTGTTGAGTATAATTGGATGACTTAGAGACGTATCAAATTATTAGATCGCCCTCACTTAGAAGCATGTACCTGCTTTATTGGCCTAGGCTCTGGGTTCAAGCGTTTCATTATGCTCCTCCTGCCGCTGATATCTCCCTTATCTGCCTCCACCTCCCCAGACACCACTGCGAAGGCTGAATTTCTAAAACTGTCTGTGTACCAGCAGTAACGGCTGCTTTGGATTTCTGCATGCAAGACCAACTTATTATCTCCAGGAATTCAGGGAGATGAAAGGCAGAGTGTTAAAAAAAAAAGATAAGCACGGTTACAAAAATTAAGACAAAATTGTCTAAATGAAGCTTGACAAATTGGCCTTCCACTTGCGAAGCGCCTGCTTTCGCCGGATGCCCGACGTGGCATATTTTCAGTAAAACAAGCTCGCTGTGTGAAACAAAAACGCGCAGACTGTTTACAGATTCTGCGCTGCCTCGAGCTGCACCTTGGAGCGACATTTCAAGGGCGTATAGGAGCAACCAAGGCTTAAGATTGTGGCGTTGATGCGATATGATCTCGCAACACGGGCAGAAGCAAAGGCTGAGCGCGCCACGGCTCCGCTGGCCCTGCATGCTAAAAGCAAGAAGACCAGAAGCAGCAGGATCTTGTTAGAGGGCTGTTCCTTACTGCTGACTCTCCCATGACGCGGTCCTTCTGGTTAACCATGATCTCTCCTTTGCGCTGGGAGCGCTCCAGGTTGACCGTGTTCCACACGTTCAGCTGGATTGGTTTCTTACTCCTAAACCACACACACACAGACACAAATAAAACCGAATGTTAGCAAAAGAAAGCTGGAACAGCTCTAGCTGCGATCGGCATGTCCTTTCAGTCGGTTTTTCTGAAATTCTCCCGTGACCTGATAATAGCCGGTCCCTTTCCGAGGTCGTAGCGAAACTCCAAGATCCCATTGTTCAGGGACAAAGAAATGAAGTCGCCTTTGCCGTCGGATTTCTGGCCATTGTAGAAGATCAAACCGTTGGATCCGTTAGCCATGAAAACGACCGTCATGCTGAGTTTTTGACTGGAGATGAAGCACACACACAAAAAAAACACAAAAAAACTGTTAACACACGCCACAGTGAGAAACTTCTATGTGTAACCAAGCTATAACAAAGGTTTAACGCTCTTTTGCTCTTTTTAATCTTTTACTTCTATACAAACATTGTGTAGAGACACTATATCAACCATCCCTTATACCTCTATTAAGTTAATTTATGTAACCCTCATTATCAGGAGGCTGAAAGAAGGTTGAATTTGTTCTTTGCCTTGGGCACCAAACAAGCTATGTCTGTAAAAAGATTTTCAGAGTTCGTGTAACACTTCGTGGAGTGGTTCATTCTGTGAAGTGGGACTCACTGCAGCTCGTGCCCGTAGAGATGGAGCCCCTTCAGCTGCAGGTAGGAGTTTCCATTGAACTGCGGGATGTAAGCCCCTCTCCTCTCCACCACTGAAAAAAAAAAACAACACACAAAGAGGGGCGACTCAGCCTCAGTTTCTGTTTGTGTTGCTGACAGAATTGAAAATCAGGGATAGTGTGTCTTTGAGGGACCTGTCAGCAGTACGGAAAAAGATGGATTTGTGTGTGTATAGCCTTTGGGATTAAGACTTCCTCTGGATAGAAATTTAAACAAACACACCAAATAAAAGTAAAATCCTTATGCCAGACTGATTACATAGAGTGCCATTCCACAACAAAGACCCTTAGGAGACATGCGGAGTTTAACCCACAGCTGGGACCTATGAAATAATGCGGCCTTTGTATTTTGGCAGGCCGTTTTGCTAATTCATGTCTGAGCGGCGTGCCTCTCTCTCGCCGTCTGGAGTCATTAGTACAGGCGTTTTGCCATCCTTCTACAAGTGGCTCGACGTTAGGAATCATTCAAGTGTCACTCCGGGGTATGTGTTTAAAGTGCAACAACTACCAGACCCACATGATTTGATAGACACTCACACAAAAACACGAGCTAACAGAGATACCTATGCAGCTGGCAGGGAGGCTTTAATTCATAATTGGCTGGGATTAGCAGAGTTGAGTCAGGACGGAGAAGGAAGACAGAGATGAGAAAGCTAATTAGCTATTGTGCAGAAAACTACTAATGATGATGGCAGCACCATGGAAGAGAGGAGGGGGGGAGGGGCGAATTATGCAGTGAGCTGAACTCTTACTGGACTTAGAGAGATGCTCATGGTGGAATTTCTCAAGGAGGAACTTGGATTTTTCTCTACTTTTTCACCCACGGCCTGCCCTGAAACCATGATCAATACGGCAGCTGAGGGCAAAACTTTAGAGAGAGCTGGTCAACAAAGAGCAGCTCCACAACATTTAGGCCCTGAGCTCGAAGACAGTGAAAGGTTAGAGAAGCTGGACTTTTTTTATAGGCCCCCTTAAACCTTAAGTGCAACATAAATATGAATTAATAAGAAATGTGCTGTAGAGGCTGCCATGTATTCTGAAGAGGTCAAGAAACTCCCTCTAACCCCCAGGAGATGAGCTTGTAACTATGTCAGCATCCCAAAAAGATTGGCAAAACGAGAAAGTTTGTGTTTAACAGAAACTTCTCCATTAATGGGAAAATCTAACTTTTTTCCCTTAAAAAAATGTCCTATTTTAAAATATCTGGATGAAGTCAGATCAGCTGTCACGTTATAGTTAGCTTTATATTTATATTTAGCTGAATGATGGACAGTTTCAATCTGACGCCCGGGGTCATTTCTAAAAACTCATCAAACCGATTGAAAGACGTTCTCTTTTTCACATTTGATTTTCACCTGACATGTTCTCCTGGTGTTTCAAAGGTCTGTGTGAGGATGTGGTGCATTAACTAAGGAGAAGAACAGCCTTTGAGCTGTTCCTGTGAGTTTCAGAGCCTCCATCGTTTAAAACTTTTTTGGTAGTTTATTTTTTGCATAGTAACGATTACCAAATAAAATTGTGTGTGTGCGTTTTTCTGAAGAGAGCTGTACTCAATGCAACAAGAGCCTGACACGAGTGAGTCTTAGCTTTTGTTTGACGAGTATAAAAAGGGCTTAACAGAGCTGTTGCACTGCGTCCTGAGCCCAATTATCAAGCTCTGGGGTAATGTTTTTTAGATTTAGGGAATGTTATCATGTAAATATTTACATCTCGCCCCGTCAAAACCCTAGAAAACAGAGCAAGGCTGTAACAACGCGGCCAGAGGCACAGTTGGCCTTCTAAAAGATCTGGTGGAGCGATAACAGCTTGGGGTCAATCAGCTTGTTAGCCGTGATGCAAAGTGATCGCTGACCTGTAAAACGTAAAACACTGTAAACGATTGTCGAAATTGTAATTCCTGCCGCAGTTCATTTGTCCGAGTGGTATTGCCTTCATCGCTAAATTGTGATGATTTACACTATCGCAGGGGTGAAAGCCCTGAAGAAAGCAGGCCATTCGATATTGCCGGAACACCCTTGAGGAAAGTCCTTGACTGCGAATATTACGGCGCCGTGCTGGCTGACGAACGCTGGCGGAGTTGAAATAAAAAACCTCGGCTCAGCTGAAATCCGGGCACCCGCAGATGCAAACACTTCATATTATGACTCCGCTCACCTTCGGGCTCCTGATGAGTGGTTCTCTAAGCTACCTTTCCTTTTAACTGGGGTGAGTGCAGCCCTCTGAGGGGACGTCCGCCTGGCTGCCTTCTTATCTGCGAGCTCCTGTCTGGGCCTGACACTCTGGTTGACTGATGCTGCCATTAATCACCGCCGGCAGGGAAGACTGATGCGATTATTCATCTTATTGATTGCCGAGTAAAAATAGCCTTTTGGAATGGGAGCCACTCTCGCCCGCATGGCATTGATTTTGGTTCACCTCAATTTATTTTAATCACTTGCTAACTTGGACTGAGAATGGAAACTGGATGGAGGCTACTCCCATCTGGTTTTTCTAAATTCCCCGGGGGGGCGGGAGGTCGCATGTCTCTCTTTTTGTTCGGAAAGGCAGTGACAGTTTATTCGCTTTAATTCGCGGCAGCGGGAGCCAACGCCTACAAGCGCTAACGACAAAAGCGAAGGAGGGGACGACACGATGAACTTCAAAAGCAGGTGAGGCGTGATCTGGCCTTTTCCCCAGCATCGGCCTCCTTCTGCCACGCGAAACTGAGCACCACCAAACAGGTCTGAGCACAACACCTGTGGGTGGAGAGGCGAGGGAGGAAGAGAGAGGAGGAAAGCTGCCGTTTCACTTCTGCCCTCTGACTAACAAGCGTTGCCGAGTCGATGCGGTAAAGGGCCCGACGGGGCCAATCACCCGCCTCAGTTCTGCAACACATCAACCATCTCCTTCCACTCTGAAGGCTCACCCCTCTTTTTGCTTTTGATCTCCTGCTTCAATTTAGGGTGTGCGGAAACGTCACAGAGAGGAATGCAAAGGACAGGGAAATATGCGAAACACCAAAGAGGGTCTACTAAGCCATCTCCACTCCAAAATTATGTTGCTCGGGATAAAAAATAAAACAAAAACAAAAGAACTGAGCTTGATACGGTTTAGTGCTGGATTACCTTTATCGCAGTGTTTGCCTTCCCGGCCCGGAGGACACTCGCATTTGTATCCTCCCTCTGGCTTGGCGTGGCACTTGGAGGTCACATGGCACTTGCTGGGGGTGCAGGGATCATGGATGTCAGCACACGTTGGACCTAAGAATACAGAAATAGGAAGAGAAAAAAAAGAAAAAGAAAAAAAGATCAAATTCCAACATTCTTAACCACCATCTAACACAGGTTGTAAAAAAAGGACCTGGATGTGTTTGAGGATTTCATGTGTAAAAAGGGGTTGATTTCTAATAGGATTTGGTAATATCACACGTCCAGATTAAACAGCGCGGAGCCTCCCCACCATGCAGATATGTTTCCGGGCCAGTGCACACTGTGGGAAAAAGCCCACACGTGTCTGGTGGATGATGGTTTTGCCCTCTGCCACAGCCCATCTGAGTTCACCCGTCATTACTCCAGCAGCCGGAGCCCACGGTGAGGAGAGCGCGTTAATGAACCCCATCCCCGCTGAGCTCGCTGGGCGCCCCTGTTTCTCCACTCCCTGGATTTTTTGGAAGCTGCCTTTTATCCTCCGCTCTCATTTCTTCCCCAGCACAGCTCCTCCTCATTTCTTCTTCCTTTCGTCCCTGATGCTCTCACCTCCCGCGTTTATCCGGATGTTCAGACGGGTTCTCCCTCTGACTATAGCTTTCACCACCTGATAATTCATTCTGTTCCCTCATCCAGAAAGGCAATCAGGGACACTTTCAGATTGACATCATGACAGAATTACACTGAATGTAATACGGCAGGCCCTGATCCAAATCTCATTCTTCGCAATGTTGCCGACATAACTTCATCACTGCATGACATCATAAGGTAAAGGGTAATCTATATCTTTACTTCCAAAATCTCTTATTACCGAAACATAAAAGCATATCTTATAAATAATGTTATAAGATACTTTATTGATCCACATGCTACATTCCAGCATAATGGATTTGAGGACTCAGATAAGAGAGGCTTTCATCACCGCTCACCTTCCCCCTTCAGATGATGAACTCCTGTACTATCAAATATCAATAATAAAATATTTAAAGCATATACTTGGGCTGGGAAAATTAATCGCCTGCATGACCAGTGAAGGCAGTAACCTCAAAACCCTCAATTGGCCTAAACGCTCTCCACTTTACATTCTGTCCGAGTTGATTATTTGTTTCTAGAAAAGAAGACGAAGTATAGAGAAGACAGCAGAAGAGATCAATGAAGGATTAGATCCTACATTTTTTAGTTGGACTGACACGTTTGGTGGTTTTTGGCATTTACAAAAAATCCCCTCCAGTGCTTTTAATGGGAGCAGGAGCTGTACTCCTAAATTAGCCCGTGAAGCTTATGACGGATTTGTGAGTAACACGTGTCCACAGAGAGACCTTAAAGAGACGCTTAAAACACAAAATGCTGGAAAAGTTTGTAATACGCTGAACTCCATGACCCCTCAGGATTCTCATTCTGGCTGTTTAACGCTTTCTCGTCGCCGTCTCACCCCAGAATCCTTTGCTGCACTTGCAGTGGAACCTCCCGGCCTCCTTGACCTGGCACTGAGCGCCGTGCCTGCAGGGGTTGGGCTGGCAGGGCTCGCCGCTGCACTCCACCACGCCGCTGCTGTTGATGCTGTCCCCGCCGTTCTCCTGGAGGCTGAGCATCCGGTTGTTGACGTCCAGCAGGCGGATGCAGCCCGTCAGACCCTTGTCAACGCCTGTCCTCTCCTTCACGCTGAAGAGCACAAACACGGAAGGCTGTAACTGCCGTTCTACAGACTCTCACCGAACCTATCGTACCAATCGATCTTTTTTTTTAAAGCAGTTTTCTTTCAAGAAGAAGTACTATACTTAGTAAAAAAACAGCAAAGAAGAAAGTATACATTGATTAATACAGATGTAGTTCAGGCAGTAGTATTCTTTTTACACACAGTAAGGATATCCATAGTGGAAAATAATTATTTGGCACAATATACACACTTGAAACCTTCATTTTACAGAAAAGAAGTGATATATTCTGTTTCTGATTATTCTTCCTGCGGGAAATATCCTCATAACTCAACGTTGTGGAAATGTCTTACTCCTTCCTCAGCTCCTTGGTCATCCCTCCGATGAACAGGTCGGTGTCCAGGTTGAGGCCCTCTGTTCCCCGCGGGCTCTCGCCCTGGATGTGCTTCTCGTTGTCCACGCTGAGCGAAGCGTTTCGCCGGTTGCGGGACACCACGAGCTGATGCCAGCCCCCCTGACTTATCTTGACTTTGCTGACCAGGGTGCCCGTGCCCGACCCCGTGTTGAACCTGAGAAAGGGATGGGAAACGAAAAACGAAGAGGAGCCGGTTTAGTGCATCCAAAAAGTCTGCTCGTTTTGCTCATCTAATAGGAGGCTGGAAGTAATAACCAACCCCATCGTGTTACTGTAATGAAGCAGTTTCTCATTTAAAAACAGATCTTTTCTCACACCCTCATTTTCATTCAACCTTTTGTGAAATGAGGTTTTGTCGGGGAAAAAAAAAAAAAAGAGGCATATTATCGCAGAAAAGAGCCGTCATGTACGTGCACCTACACACATGCTCGTATTAGCCCAACCTGAGAGCAATTATCTGCCACAAATAATTAGTTCTTCTCCCCACGTCTTGGATTTGCAGAGACGTGGGTGTAATCTCACAGCTGCATTTCTGGAATTTCTGCATAGCTCTCTTTGAAAGAAAGTGAAAAATGATATGATTTCGTTTGTTATTGATTTCATTCTCAACAGAGAAATCTAACCTGGAGAGACTGAAAAAATTGTTCATGGGTGGGGGTGATATCCAGAAGACAAGGTAAGCAGATAGTGTTCAAAATAACAGGTTCAAAGCAGATATGGAGTAGAATGCGTAATTAGTCTATTCGCATCTCTTCTGAAGAGGCTGGCTCTCCCAAATGATTTCCATTCAAGCAATTTTGCTGTGGGGAAAGCGATGAATACATATTATTACTAATAATACTCAGGAATTCTGTGGGTTTCTGGCAAGAAGATTGCCCATTTGCAGAGGTCTGGCTCAGACTGTGGTTACAGATGGGTAGAGCTGGAATAGGAATCTAAATCAGCCCATAATTGCATTGTTTGTTTTTGTTTTTTTTTGCTGTTACTTTTTAATAATCTTAACATCTTTTTAGATAAGTAAACATGAGGACGCTATGAAAGTTGATTGCAGGTGAGGACAGCTGATTGAGTTTACGAATGCTCAAGTATTGCCTAAAGCGAGGTCCTAAATACAGATGGGTTGAAGAAAAGATGCCAAGCGTCAAAGATAGCAGCACGGGAGACAGGAAGGAGGAGAGGCTCTAATCTCCTTCTATTTATAATCAAAGGAAGGTGAGATCACAGGCACATAAAATGATTGAGGACAGAGGAAGAATCAGTACATCCATTCGTATCTTTACAAGGAATCATAAAGACATCATATAAACACCTTCAAAACCTGCAGTATATCCATTAGCCTTCACTTCATTATGCATTTCTGGAACTTCCCTTCTTTACATGTTTACTTGCTGCAATTATTTGCCTCATTATCTTCAGGGCTGTCTATTTGTTTTGGTCTTATTTACATCCTCTCCCAGCTGCTGCAGCAATGACCATGTTTCCTCATGGGGATCGTTAATGTTTCATCACATTTTGGGATGAGGATGGATTGCGGGGGATAAAACCACCTATTAAATTCAATCTCGCAAAAGCAGCCGAATCAGCGGCGGGCAAGGTCGCCGCCCCCCTCATAACTGAGCCGGCCCCCCACCTGAGCTCCACGCTGCCGTTGACCAGAGCCAGGGAGATGAAGTCCTTCTTTTTCAGCTGGCCGTTGAAGAGCAGGAGGCCGTTCATGTCGGAGGCCCTGAACTCCATGGCGATGCGGACCGTGTGGTAGGCGCTCATTTTCTGGAAGGTCATGTAAGACTCGCCGTCAAACGACGGGATGAAGTACTTCTTCGCTGTGGAGAGAGGAAGACAGAAAGTTACCACCATAGGACTTGCTTTATCTCGGTCAAACAGCTTCAATGTGCATACCTAAGTGTGAGGGATAGAGATGACTCTCGATAGAAAAATAAGCCTTTCTGTCAGTTTATTTTTGGACCTGATGTTTTTCCCCAAACGAGTTGAACAAAAGGTAAAACGTCTAATCAAATTCACAAGTACCCAAACTAAATTAAATCTTAACTCTTATACCCAAACTCTCCCTCAGGCTCCTTTTCTCCCGGTCCAGCTGTCTTTGTGTCCATCTATCCCAGGTCAATGGCAGCTGATGAGCTGCCTTTTTTATTTATTTTTATTTTTTTATACGAATGCTTTGATTGATCCGGGGGAGGCTGTGTGTGCAGTCTGCATGTGAGTGTGGGTGTAGATAATTTCAGTTAGCCACTCTAACTCAAAGACACAGAGAGATTCTCAGCAGCTAATCCCTATCAAGGCAATTACTGTCAATTATCTTAAGATGCAGCTGCACGAGGTCGCTTCTCATTCCCCAAAATCCCAAAGTACTTGAAGTGGGAAGAAACAAAAGAGAGTTGTGTTTCTCAAGAAGATTTATGGATTTCTCTGCGGCGCTGATTGGTGAACAGCGGTTGAACATCTTCAAAATTCTGAAACTGTGTGAATTATTAGACAGGAGTTTGAAGTGGAGTCTACGGCGGGGGGGGGAGGCGATGCCAGGCTCACTCACACCTCATCCCTTTGTTTCTTGAGCTCAACAAAGAGACATAAACCTGACACTCTGTCCACCGCGCTGACTGCTGCTAACTCGTTGAAGTTTATATCACCCGATAAATCCACATCTGCAACCACTTAGCACGTCATTTACATAATCCAGCGCTAACTGAAAGTCATTACTCCCACAGCCATTTCACGTGTCAACCTGCACTCACTTCAATTAGTCACAACCGCAACATGACAGAAAAATGATATATATATATATATTCCTTTTAATTTTCGGTGATTCGTTTCCGCTTTTTCACTCTATTTACAAAATGGTGTGCTGCTACCTTGTAAATACATTAAAAACACGATGATGTAACTTAAACGGCTAAACATCCTGACTGGTACGAGGGAAAGTAGAGTGCCTGAAAGTCTCTTGTAGAACAATGTTGGGTACCAGTGAGTTCTTTGATCTTGCTGCTTGTAACAGCAGAAAAGAGGACATCGTAGGTTAAGTCTGATTTCATTTTATTTTATTTTTTTTGCTATTTGCTTGGATCTATGTCTGTTATGATTTAACGTATCAAATGCCTTTTTGAGATCCAAAAAGACTGCGCCTACTATTTCCCCACTGTCTATTGCCAACTTTATTTGTTCAACAGTTTGCTGTATCCGTTGAATAATGTGGTTGGAAGCCAAACTGTGGAGGATGTAAGATTTTATGATACTGTATGTACGCCATTAACTGATTGGAGACAATTTTTTCTAACAGCTTAGAAAATACAGGCAGGATACTTATAGGCCGATAGTTACAGGCCTGGTCTTGGTATCCTGACTTAAAGCTAGGCATAACTCTAGCCTGTTTCCAGGGTGCAGGGAATTGCCCATTTATTTGTTTCCACATTATAGATGGATTTCCTTTGGCTTCTGTTATTGTGGATATGTAATATTCTATTTTTGCATTTCTTACATTTTTGTGAAACGATTTCTTAAACTTTTGTATATGTTGATATCTGTGTTTTATTTACTTTTAAGTGATTTCTTCAAAGCCATGTCTCTCTCTTTAATCAATCTCCTGATGCCATCATTAAGCCACGGTAAAGATCTTTTTTTAAAATGTTTTTTGAGGAACTTAGAAATGACTTCTTCCAAACTACTTATTATTTCTTGCAACAGTTGTGGACATCCTCATTTAAATATTGCTCATCATTACAAGACAAAACATACAATAACATATTCATTTCTTTTTTTTTTTTTTGCTATTTGCTTAGATCTAAGTCTGGAAATAAGTATATATATACATAAACGCTGCTTTAACTCACCTTTCTCACACACTACCCCCTCTCGTCCGGTGGGGCACTTGCAGCTGAAGTCGGCGCCGTCGTCCTCGCAGCTGCCCCCGTGCAGGCAGGGGTGGGAGTCGCAGGGCCTTTGGTTGTGGTGGGACAGCCGTCCCCGGATGGCCGTGGTGGCCGGCGGCTGGGTGGCCGTGGAGGTGCTGACGGGGGGCGGCGTGGTGACGGGCGGGGCGGCGGTGGTGGTGCGCCGGCCGCCGGCGGGCCTACGGGTGGTGCCCGGCGGGCGCCGCGTGATGAATGGGGAGGTGGACGGAGCCCTGGTGGTGGTGGTGGGGGCCACCGTGGGCACTGCAGCTGTGGTGGTGGTGGTGGTGGTGAAGATGGGAACAGATGGCAGGCCTAACCGTTGAAAGGAAAGAAATGATTAAGAATGCAGAGTCCGTGGCCCTGATAAAAAGGTCACGGTCCACCGTTCGCCGTATATTACCGTTATTGATGAATCTAATATTCTGGTGCTCTGGCTTCTTCACAGAGATGCTCGTGTCTTTGGAGGCCTTTAACTGTTTCAGCAGGGCTCCCTCGACGTCTTCCAAAGTGTACTTTGTATCTGCAATAAACAAAAGGTAAAAGCACTCAGGACAAGGTCTCTGAGGATAACCTCGGAGGCAAACTTAGAACTCAAGCTTCTGTAATGGTACAGTGAATATATCAGACAGCCATGTGTATGACAGGCGGACAGCCTCCGTGGACCACTTGTCCTCCAACCGTCGCCTGTCCGACTTATTTCCAGATGAATCGCTCTCATAATGTTCACCACAGATGTTTGTTTTACAGGCCATGGAGGAGCACTACATAACAGCAACCATCGCCTCACATGAAGGATATGAAGGACATTAAATGATGCTCATAAAAAAAGGAATAAAAAGAAAGGACAACAGAGGAGTCTGCTTTTGTGTGAAATTAAAGGAAGCTCAGGACACAGTGCAGTATTCGCAATAGCAAAATCCCTTTGAGTCTTTTTTAGCACTTTGTAGGTTCAGAAATGTGTCAGAACTGAAAATAAAGGGCCGTGATTACATAATTGAAAGGCGACTTTCACAGCAGCGCCTTATAAATGGTCACACTCCCTGCTGAGCTACACATTTCACTGGAAAAGAACAAATAAGTGCCTGTTTCTGGTCATTTGATATTGCACAATGCAAGCAAATGCAAAAATGTGTTAAGAAAACAAAAGAAAGATCAAATTGCAGCCAAACAGAAGTGATGAAAAAAGTATGAAATATTTTGTTTAGATTTTTTAATCCATGTGGAAAAATGATCATATAAAAAAACAAAAAAACAAAAAGCAACAAAAACAAAGAATCCTATTAATTTGAGAGCAAAGAATCACTAAACACCATGAACCCCACTCCAAATGGAAAATAAGTTACAGTCGTCACTGAGAGTGAAACAGAAACAGAAGCCATGTTTTTAGACCCGACACGGCAGCTAGTTCTGCAGAAATATCAGGTTGTCCTTTAAAAAATGTCTCACATGGCTAATTTCTGGCTTTTGTGCTGTATAGAAAGACATCTTACCGGGCCTGAAGTGGGCGTCTACGATGGCCAGGATGGAGTTGCTGGGTGCCAGGTTTCGGACTCGAACGCTCATAAAGTCTCTGTGCACCTGCGACTTCCTGAACAAGTCACTGAGCTGGAGTGAGGGAAAGAGTGGGAGGGGAGAAGGGACAGAAACAAGAGATGATAAATGAGGCCGGTAATGAGCTTAATGCTTTCATTCTACAAAGCCGTACAATATCTCCGAGGAAGAAGGACTGCTGCTCAAATTGGTTTGTGGAGTGTAAGGCCAATGGGTGGGGGTGCACACAGTTCGACATTTAGCCGGCTGCCATGGCATTAATTTCCAGAAGATTTCTGGAAGAGCTAAGATAAATGTCATGCTATCCTGACATCCTGATTGGCTTCGCCTCCTGCTGTGTGTGTATGATGTAACGGCCTGAAGAGCTCTGTGAGGAGGTTTGTCTTTTTTTCTTTCTTCATGCTGATAGTGACACTGAGTTTGCCTTTAGCCTTGAGTCTCCACCAACGTCTTAACTAGGAATTGGGCCAGAAATGTTCCCTCGGTAACTTAAAAAAGTTGCATCAGTCGGAGTTTGCTCTTCGTCAGCGTGCGGCTGCAGATGATTCACATTCACAGAGTCAATGGAAAGAGAGGAAAAAAACCTTTTCATCATACTCATTTGAGCTGCTGGTTAAAAAAAGATTTCTATCACACAAAAAAAAGATTTCTATTGCTAACATTGAGACTCCTCCTCAGTCCCTGCACATTTTACCAAAGGCAGGCATTTGCACTAAATCCATTTACAGTATCATATTTCTTTAAAAATAAAAAAAACTATATTCAGACTTGAATCAAAAATAGCTTTGTACATATTTTCCAATGTTGTGTCTACTATGGTTTTTTTTTTTTTTTTTTTAAAAATATGTGATATGGACTAAATTTAAAGCGCTTTAGACTACATTCATTTTTATTCTTTACACTGATGTCCACACACACTCCAGTGACCACTGTGGAGGAAATGTGGGGCTCAGTATCTTGCCGAAGGACAGTTACACTAAAGGAGATAAGGATCTATCCACAACCGTCTGATTAGGGGGATGATGCACCTCTAAATGTGGTTGGCGCCAAAGGAAAAAGCTGCTGATCTGGTCCACAGAAAAGTAGGAAGTAAAATCCTTCCAAGCTGGATTAGAGGCAGAAGTCACCGTGGACAAACTCTGCTGGGTACACACAGATTTTTCTCTCCTCTCCACTTTTCTCTCACGTCTCTAAAATCCTCCAGTGATGTCCGAGACGTGCAGCGTTTTGTTCTTTTGGCGCACGCAGCCGTCCGTACGACTATGCTTGAGTGCATACGTGTAAGTGTAGCTTCGTGAGGACAGTCCGTGCTCCGAGTTTGTGCTGGAAGACGAAGAGGGGGTGGCTGCTGTCAAGTGGCGCACCAGGCTTCAAGAGACGTGCGGGCTGAGAGCGTTAACGAGCACACGCGCACGCAAATGGCTCTGAGGTAGAAGATTAGGTCCCAGCGGGGGTTAGTGACACTGATTTAACAGCTGGTACAATAGTACTACGCGCACACAGACACACACCGGTTCCTATTTCATCCAGGGAGTAAAGCTCTGGCTTGTAAACAGAGATATTTATTCAAAGGTCTGAGCTCCGCAGAGAAAACGGACAGTAGGAAAAAAGTCAATGACATGGGCCAAACTGTGATTACTGTTCAGGCTCTGTGCATTCCTGGCTTTGGTTTGCCAACAGCGACTGGCATTGAGTGAATCCAGAGGAAGCAGTTATCCACAGAATGTTTAATTTCTGTGAAATCTTTAAAAATCTTAATTAATCTTGCACAAACAAGCATTTTCAAACCTTATTTAAACATCTTGCAAGCAGCTAATGAGTCGTTCTCTGCACAAAAAAAAAAACTTTAAAACTAATATTATCACGCTTGAGGAGTTTGAGAACTTTCTGAAATTCCTAATTAGTCAGCCCTTTATGACATTAAACTTTAATGCTTCAAATGCAAAGACACAGCATGAAAAAGGAAGAAAACTGAAAAAAGGTCAAGTTAATACGAAACCAAAGCAAGGAACCACCATTATACAGAAAGCTTCGTTTTCTTTCGACTCACCTTTCTCGGTATTCCATCTCCATTCATAACCCTTTATAACAACACCTGATGTGACAGATTGACAATATGCCCTTTTTTTATATTGAAAATCAAATATCAGACGAGGCACGTTGCCTCCCTGTGATATGATATATGCTCACTGCAACCAGCAAATATGTTTTTTTTATTTATCATTGTTATTTTTCTGCTATCAGACATCTGATGAGAGAAATCACTCCGGCTCAGTGTGGCAGCTTTGGAGGTGTCAGCTCTGTACGGCGTGCGGTGAAGCCTTCCTGAAGGAGCTGAAAGAACCTGCCTCTCCCTGCTCTCCGTGGGGAGTTTCTCTGTGACGCGACGCTCTGAATGTTGTTTTCAACGGGGCTTTTGCACTCTTGACAAGAAAATTCTTGGAAAACAGTCGAGGCCCAAAACCGGGAGAGCTTAAGAACTGTCACGAAAAAAACAAAAAAACAACAAAAACTGCTGACTGAGCGGAACTCCGGCAGTACTTACGGCACTCTCGATGCTGCGGGCCGTCTCCCCGAACAGCTCCGACTTCGGGTCCTGCATCTCCGGCGTGTAGATGATGTCCTGGCCATCCACCTGGTCCAGATGGAGGAAGCCACTGAACTTTGTGGTGGCTGTAAAGAGAGGAGTTGGAGAATGACGAGGTGGCCCCGGAAGCCCGCGGAAGGCTTTAAAAACCCTTCTCCTTTCTATCGCTCGGTTCCCGCCGCCTTCACACAGAGCTCTTTTTTGGGATCGTGCCAACTCGGGGGGGGGGTTAGTGATGGATCGTGTGTTTGTGTGCGTCTGACAGGGGAGGTTAGTGAGTGTGTAGCGGATCACACGGGAGATTTACAACGGACTGGAGTTTGGCTGTTAAAGGTGAAGGTGGTGTGGCGGTGGAGGTGTCGTGGAGGAGGGGAGAGGCGAGGAGTGAAATGTGAGAGAAGAAAAGGCAGAGGAGAGGAAAGGTAGAACAATGGCCCAGTTTTACCAGATGGAGACTCATCCCAAAAGCTGGCTGTGCCATGGTAGGCTGGGTAAAAAAGACAAGAAGTTAGACGGACACACATATGCACGAAGCAAAACACAACGCACGCACGTGCTCAGGAGAAAGTGGCTTCCTCGGAAAGAGGCCTCGTCCCTTAGAGACAGCCTCCCTGGGCAACCTTGGGAGGTCATGTTTAACATACATCAACACTAGGCTGTTTCCTCGTAATGCTGCCAGTAAAAAAAGGGAGTCAGGAAGAAAGCTGAGAGTCAAGGGGATTGCGTGTGTGTGTGTGTGTGTGTGAAAGAACAGAGGAGCTTGCGAGGCGCTGATGCCGGTTTTCCACGCCGCTCGTAATCAGCAGAACAAATTGCCCAAATCAATCATGGCTGCCCCCGCCTGAACAACGGCAGTGGGGACGGGAAGAGTACTTGTATGATTATCGTGAGAGATAGCCGTAATTGTCTCCTTAATGCCGCCAGACCGATGACTGACACAGCCCGGTTAGAACGGCACGAGATGGGGCAGCAGAGGCTGCTAACACACCCAAACACACACCCAAACACACACACACACACACACACGCGTGGCCTCTCTTGTATTCCCCCTGTCCCCAGCTTGTCTTTGCAGTGCTTTCACGGGCGGCACACATCGATTCACATGTGACCGTGGCCATAAAACAGGAGCAAATGGCTGCACTTTGGCTGCCGGGAAAAGGGTGAAGAGAGCGAGAGGGACAGCCGGGGGGGATCGGACTTTAAATCTGGAAAGAAGACAAACATCGGAGAGGGTGATTTTCCAAACCACTGCCATGACGGATGTAAAGAGAGAGAGGGAGGGAAAAAAAAGAGAGATAAAAGGAGGGGACGGAGCTATCTGATCCTAGTGAACTGTTAAATGTAATGGATTTATCAGACTCCCATCAGCATATGGAACAGTTTACAGTGTCTGGAGCTTAGTGTGCCATTAACTCTTAATTATCTTTTGTGCCATATGAATGTAAATCGACATGTTTAAATGTAACACATGGAGACTATTGTTTTTTTTTTTCTTTTTCAAATCACAACATGGATTACCACTACATCTGCCACTAATTCTGAATTTGCTTGGGTGATTTGACAACGAAGAAACAAAATAAATCTGCAATAGATCTTGAATAAGGGAGTGTGTGTAGGAACTTTCACCATCTGATGTCTCAATAAAACGTGGACCATGACCAATTCTTTTTTTGTTCTGTGACAGCCGGGCAGATGTCAATACTCTGGACGGTACGCCGAGATGGTGGCCGATACTTGTGAGATGTGTCATTTCATTTCTAATGAGCGGGGGAGCGGCTGAGGCCCTCTCAGGAGAAAATGATTTGGAGTATTGATCAACCAATCGTGCTTCCTGCTTTTATTGGCAACACTTGAGCTGAATGAATTATTGATCGCCGGCGTGCTGTCATTGTTAGCGCTGATAAATATTTACCACCTTTTGTTGCTTTGTTATAACGCTCGTCCTTCGGCTTAAAAATGGCTTTTACTACCAGCTTGGTTTGAGTTTAAATATTGAAATTCGCTCAGTTCCACTTCTAACCAGCTATCAATTCCCTGAACGGTACAAGTGGCAGAAGACCCGTCTGGCCTCCTGTGCTCTCATCAGGTCGTCACTGCAAATTCTGCCGCTTTGCTTTGGGACTTTCAACGAGCCAGAAATGGGGCTTCACGCACTAATTTGTACCCTCAGCCCTTTGAAGTCATGACCTAGTAGTCCGCCGGGAAAAAGAGAGAATCCCTGTTTTCACAATCAGCCGCTAGGACAAACTGAGACCGAGGGATGGAGAAGGAGAGAGCAGAGAAGCGGTGGGGAGAAAGGAGCCCTTTATCTTTATGAACTGAGTGCGGCAGAAAGCACTGATTGGTACTACAGCACTCGTTGGCCTCTGGTAGTCTCAACGCTCCTTGAGCTCAGCCCCCGGAGAAAAAAATGAACTGATGCAAGACCGGATTGAGATTGACTGGGTTGGGGTGGAGAAAAGTGCGAGATATAGCTCTAGAGGAAGATCCGCAGACGTGACACTCACAGATACAACGTGTGTGTAAAAAAAAGGGTAAATGAAATATAAGGAAAAAGAAATAGACATAAGAAGCAGGAGCCCATATAATACCGTACAAAACCGCACTGACAAAACCTTGGTAAAAACTCAAGAAAGTGACAGAAATTAAGGTGGCATCAGGAAGTATTGGCAAAATCTCAAACATCAGAATGAATGTTTTGCTGTTGATGTTTTTTAATTTCCTGCCACTTGTCAATTTGATCATTTAGATTAGGGAAAAACGGAAAAACGCCACCTGTTCTGCTTCCTGGAGGCAGATGGTGTCCTTTAAACTCACTCTTTCCAAAGGAAACATCAAAAACAGATAGATGTGTTTCTTATTAACAGACCAGCTCATTAAAGATGCAATACAGAAAAGAGATGCCTCCGTCCACTCAGGACAAACAGACTGTCTCCCCCTGCTGGCGGTGGCAGTAAATACAACAAATACTGTCAACACGTGATCCAGGAAAAATACAGAACTTCCACTGCTTTGTTTTGGAAATTGTGACTCTTCCAGTGCATTTTTGATATTTCTACCATCTTGAGGATGAATGAGATCTCATAGATCTCTACCTTTGTCACTCAGGGCTCAACTCTTTTGTCAAAGTCCCTGCTCCTTGTCTTTGCTCTTCTTCTCCCCTTCTGCCTTTGACTTGGAAAAAGTCATTTTTGCAACATATTCTAAACCGCTCTTACTGCCTTAAAAAAAATCTGAAGAAAAGAACAAAGAAAGAGGGTGGCTGGAGGTGCCATAAGCGAGAACACATCGGTTTGTCAGTTTTTTCCCCAAGTTGACACGGGAATCTTTGGAATTGGATATATATGCTGTCACAAACCCTTCTAATGCTCATCTGAGAGGAATGATAAAATGTAGCAGTGGACCACATAGAGGAAATGTTTCACATAATGTGTTTAATTCTTAGCTATTTAAAATGCCCTCTCTAAAGCAAGCATGAAATTTGATTATATCAGACTTTAAATAGTACTAAACCTGCAGATGGGACTGCGACTACCAACAAATACGACCAAAACCCCAAAAAGATGTTGCAGACGAAGAAGCGGAGGGGGAAGAAAAGAAACATCAGCAATGGGGAAGAGGAAAGTGTTGCGTGTGGACTCACAGGGGCAGTTGGAGCCCTCCGGGTTGCCGGATGGTGTCTTGCCATCGGGACAGCAGCCAAACTCGGTGTTGTCGCAGGATGACCTGTCCTCGGCCGCGGGTACGGTGGTGCTGGTCACCACGGGAGCTGCAGGGGGATATATAATTTCTCATAACCATTCATGAAACTTTCAGAAACTTTCAGAAAATTCAACCTCGCTTATCTGTAAAAACCTAGAGGGGTGCTACGACCCAAAACCTGTAGACTCCAGAGTCCGGTGGCACGTCTTAGTGAACCCTAAAAAGTTTCTTACGTTGTTATTAAAAGGAAAAATTTAACTCCCTCGTCTACAGGTGTTTGTGTGTTTTCAGTCGGCTGACTAGTGACTGAATGCTAAAAGAGGCATCTGTCAGGGGTGATTATATGGTATTTTCATGGGCACTGATTTTATGGCTGGAACTCATTTTGTCAGGCAGAGAACACTTAATGGGCACTGTTGCTAGTCTTGTCACACAGAGCACTTTAAATGATAGGGGGGGTGTGATAACTGCTCTCTGCTGACTGGCTGACAGTTACCCTCAAGGCATCTCAGCAGGAAAAAAAAAAGAAGAACATACAGTCATATTTGTGTTAGTATCACAGTATATCTGGCAATCTTAGGACATAAAAGACATAAAAGTGGCCGGGCTTTCTCCATCTGAGCAACCGCAGCGAGCCGCCCTCTTTGTAATGATGGTGTTGGTGTGGAGGGCGTGTGGCTGGAAGCGGTGGAGTTTACGGCCGCACAGATATTAGAAATAATCGGAGGGGCAAAGCGCTGGCGGCTAAACAACTCGTAAAGACGTCACCGGCGAGGGACGTCCTCCTCAAGGACTCGTGGTCAAGGGACGTGAGAGGGGAAGGGAGGAGGACAAGGTTTATAGGGCATCTGCTAGTGTGTGGTCTGCAGATTTACACACGCTGGGTTGAAGAGGGAAGCGCTGGTTGGGAAAACGGGGCAACAGCGAGGGGAACTCTAGTGAGATCTATGAGAGCTGCCAAAGAAATATGAACACACAGGCTAAAAGTGCAGATTTCAAAAGAGCAAATACACTTCAGACCTCACGTCATACTCAGATAGCGGCGTGTCTGAATTCTATCAACTCAGTGACATGAGAGAAGCGAAATAAGGCAAACATGCACCATGAATAGAGAAAATACTCCATCTGATGTTGATATTTGCACTTTCAAATCGCTGCATCTCCATAAGCCTCGACACCGAGTCATGCGCATCACCGCTTGGGGCTCAGGCACACGTCTGTCCACGCACACAGACACAATCAAACACGCACGGCCACAAGAGGACCCGCAAACAGCCCCCATCCGCCTTCCCCTCACTGAGCCCATCACCTCTGGTCAGCCTCTGACAAGAATAAATCTAAAACTCGGAGAGAGGAAGCAAGCGGGGGGGGGGGGGGAAAGGGGGGCAGGCTGCTTAGGTGGAGCAGACTGGCCGACGCGGCTCCATCGGCCCCATCCTGTCACCGGGAGCTGTCGGGCGAGGAGGATGGATGGATGGAAAGCAACATCAAAAATAGAAAAAAAAAGCTCTGATTGAACAGTCCCAGCCGCCGCTTGTTGTCTGAGCGGAGGCCCCGGGAACCGGAGCGGCCCCTCGCAGTCAGGAGGGCATGTCGGGAAAAATTTGAGACTAGTCATGTGACAAGCTACAGTTTTTCTCAACGCGCGCTCGCAACCCGCAACCTTTCCAGTCACAGCAGCCTGTCAGAGACAGGCTCCGGGGATCAGGCCAGCGCTTTCATCCGTCTGGCCTGCTGCGGGTGCATTTTTACCGAGCCCGGGTTCGTTTTGCGAGCTGTTTGAGAGTCGACGCGCTGGTGGGATGGGGGAGATAGGATGGGTGGCGTGGCAACGGTGAACCATGCAAACACACTCCTGTCTGTCTGAAACTGAGCATTACACCTTACACAGGAGTGAATCTCTCTGACTCTTTGCCTCTTGCGCACACATACACAAAACATGTCCAGTTTGAGCTGCTAATCAATAGATAATGACATGAATATGTTATGATTTCAGCTAAAGCTACAATATGAATTCATTCTACTTGCACTTTGAGAAAAACAAAAACAAAGAAGAAAATGGGTAATGAAGTGAAAGAGCAGACATTTACCGAAAGGCTCATCTGCCCCACTGGATTCTGGAGTGATCCCACTACCCACTTCATCTTCCTGCCCCTCCTCCTCGTCGGGCAGGGCGTCCCCGCTCGGCTCCCCGCTGCCCGAGCCCTCGAATGAGGGAACTACAGTCGTAGCGGGACTGCTGCCAGAGGGGGGGGCGGCGGTGGTGGTGGTGAAGTGGCGGTTGTTGGATCGCGCATGGTTAAGTTTGGAATTGGCGGTGGTGGCTGGAGGCTTCTCCGCGACCCCTGGCTTGACCGTTACCGGAGACGGGATGGCCCACACATTGTTAGGGTGGAAAGGGGCGGCGGTGGTGATGGTGGCTGCGGCGGTGGTGGCGGAGGGAGTGGGGGTGGGTCTGTCTGCCGAGTCGATGGATTCTGGTGAAGGGAAGGGGAAGGAAGCAAGGAATGGATGAATGGCTGAGCAAAGATGGAAATGTTTGATCTTGTTGCACCTTACAACTGAAAAAACAAAACCACTAACACATAAATCCTGTCTGAATTATCTGGATGACTGTGGACTTGTTGATCATCTAACCTAACAATTTCATCATCAAATTACATGGAAACAAACCAAAGACATTAGGAACCATTGTTTGTGAAAGCAAAAACCCTGGAATGCATGAGATGTTGAGATTCTTTGACGAATTTGAGTGGATATGGAATATGGCAGAAGATGGCATGCTTCCGTCAGACTTAAACGCACTCCAGTGTTCTTTTAGTGGATGTCCCGTTTCCCCAACAGGGTCAACTATGCAGTTCATGTAAGTGCCTTGTGTGCGGTGTTTTTGAACTCGTGCAGGTACCCATATGGCGTGCATTTGAGTGCACATATGCACGTTTGAATGTTGGGTGCTGGCTGTGCCCAGGCCTATGAATTATATATCCGTATTCAAATGCTGCCCTGCAGTAGCAGAGCTTTAATCACCAACAGCCAGCGCCTCCGCTGATGAATGATTGATAGAAATGGGGCAAAAAAAGCCAGCTTTACTCCGGCTTCAAAGACGCTTGGGTGCTTGCTTGCGGAGAGCACGAGCATCCGTCAACGCCACCACAAACACACGGCTGTCAAAGGAGACACGCAAACAAACAAGCGCACAGAAAAATTGAGATAAAACAGGAAAAAAAGAGAGAACTCCAAATGAGGGAAAGACGAGCCTTTGTGCAAAGGGACCATCATCATCTATGCAAAAACCTCTGGTGCAAAAGCACAAACTGTCTGTGATGAAACGATAGATGGGACAAAAACTCCTGGGGGAGGGAGAGTGAGCCGGGGCAGGAAGATGCTAAGTGAGAGCATTTCAGACTGAGCTTCGGAAAGCAAACACCATCATAAGTCCTTCGGTATAGATGTGTGTCTTGGTGAGTGGGTGAAGTCAGGAAAAAAAAAAAAGCCTTCATGATGGATTTGTGCCTAATTAGGATTCACCTAACATTACAGTATGTGTAAGACTTAATTACACTACTATAATCGGTGACTCGATCGGCAATTATTCATCGGGGTGTGAAATGCGATACCCATTGAGACAGGAGAATGCCTGAGAGACACACAGAAAGTCGGCAGCACGCCGGCTGGATATTTGTATACGCAGAGATACGGAGTGAGCTGCAAAGAGGGGTGATGCTATCGCCAAAATTGGTGGCGTGCGTTGCCTTTCTCCTCGACTTCACCTGTCTGTCAGGTGCCAAGCTTAGCGTCAAGCGGCTCCCACCCAGAAAAGTGCGTTTGGGTGTGTGTTTGTGTGTGTGAATGTGTGTATGTACTCAAGCTCTGTGACACGGGATAAGGTAAGAAAAGCGCAAACGTCTGGAAAAGCGAAGAAAAGGCCTCGCAGCACAGTGTGTTCAGCCTGTGTTTCTCTTAATCTGATTTAACAGTCCATTTGCCCTTTTTTTTTCACTTGCTTTCCTCTGAAAACAACAACGGACAGTAATGTCACAGTGCTAAGAACGGAGAAAAAAAAAAATTGTCATCTTGGCTTGCTTCAGCCGTGTGGTTATTGTTGAAAGGCTGTTATTAAGATTGCGAGTGGTGTCATCCTCCCTCTGTGAGAAGGAGGAATCCGGAGACGTGCGACCGGAGACGGATGACAGGCGAACCAAAAAAGCCAGGACAAAGAAATGATAGGGTCAAACTGTTGAAAGGGGTTTGATCGCACAGAGGAAAAAAAAAACAGGTTAACAAATCAGTAGAAACAGAAGAAGAATAAACACTCGAAGGGGCGACGGAACACTGACCAACACATGCTGCTGCTACAGACCTACAGCTGACCGCCCCGTATGGGAAAGGCAGGTCAGCGCCAACACGGTGCCCATTCTGTACCAGTGCCAGCATTTGCCCTCCCTCCCTCCCTCCCTCCCTCTGTTGACGGCTACAGTCGCTCTTGCTGTTGATGCTGGATTTCTTAGGTAGCCTTTCATCTTTCGCTGAGACAGCCGAGAATCCGGGAAAACTCCTGCGTGGCTGCTTTGAGACTTCAGAGAGAGATGGGCAACATCACAGCAAGCTCTAAGTTCACCCTCATAAGCAGAAATATGTGAGAGTCTTTAGTTGCCAGAGGGGGGGCTTTAAAAAAAAAAAAAAAAAAGATATATTTCTTTCCAAGTGGCTGGCTATGCGGTATTCTCACTAACAAAGAGTTGCAACAGAACAGATCAGCGGTCTTCAAATGAAATCAGCGTTCACTGCTGGGTCTCCAGTGAAGGCACCCGGCAGCTCGGGGTGCATCAGGATGCCGCCCCGTTTTGGGGCCGGAAACGGCAGGAGGCAGATCAGGCCGGGCCGCGGAGGCAGAGCGAACGCTAATTCGCACCCAGCCACACGTGAAATGAGCTCCGGATCTAACCCCCCCGAGCTGACAGCAGCTACCCGCCGTGCCACCGCATCCGGGAGGACAAACGAAAAGATCCTCCGGGGCTGTCGGCCTGTTTCTCCCCCCCCCCCCCCCCGAAGGTCTGATGGAGAAAAAAACGTCCGCTGTGGGGCATCTTCCTGCCTTCTGCGTGCAGCTATGCTAGGTGAGAGATTACACAAAAACCCACATCTTTATTGCCAGGCAACAGCGGAAAGTGAGAGCGGCCCTGGATTTTGGCTCATTTTGCCGGTAACCCACCCACGGCATTGAATTTGTAATTACCAGATGTTCTGGGACTTATCAAAGCCTTGTCGGTCCCTTGCTGAGCATATTTCTTCTCTTTTTCTTTTTTTTTCAGTGTACCTGCAACTGCAGTTAAACGTGAGCAGTCCTGTTTCCCGTTGACGTTTTTCTAATTTGGTTTGGAGGGGAGATGGAAGGAGAAAAAAAAGGAGCCGTGTCTGATTATTGGGCCACTTGATCTGTGGCCACTAAGTGATGAGGTGAGTGAACATTTTTCCTCCCACAAACGTTGGCCACCTGGCAGTGGCTGCTGGCCACTGCCGCGCAGCTGGCCCTCCTCTTCCCCGCGGCGTCCTCGCCAGAGTCCCGCTGCGAAAGCAAGCTGGCAATCTGCAAGACAACTTCACTCCGCACGGAAGCTGTGGCCTTGGCACGTGTCCCGGCACCCATTACGCCGATCCAAACAACGTCCGTCAACATCTGGACCGAGATGTACCCCCCCGTACACATGTTCTCCACATATGCAATCAGACTCCAACAGCACCGTGTTCTTGGCGCTATAAAGCCGCAAAGGGAGCGGTACATCCCCCAACGGGAGGGTTTAAAGATTAAGCCAAATCCCTACAGAGGGGCGAGGAAGCAAGGAGAAAGTGTCATTGCTATATCTTCAGGGGTAACAAGTCTTAGACTATATTTCTACTTTTTTCCTGTTTTGTCTTCATATGAAACGATGAAAAGGAAAACCGCACGTACTCACACAAACAAACAACACACATTTTCCAATCTTTGGATACAACTACCCTCCAGTCTCATGTATGATCTTTTAGTTCAGCTGGTAGTTTAAGTGGATGTATGATCTTCTTCTAACATACCTCGGAGTGCTTGGATTTGCTATGTGCAATTAATAATTTTGTGGGTTCACTTTGCGACACAACAGGAGGTAAACAATTTGAGGGCAGCGGAAAAGCTCATTATCCTTTGAGGGCGACTGGCAACAGTTGGCCACCCGCTCTGAGCGTGATGTATGAGGCTTCAACAAGGCTCACCTGTGCACTGTCCAAAGTGTTGCACCGTAATGTTCTGGTCCTGCCTGCAGGCTATGGTCATCAGCTGGCACTGGTCAGCGTAGGTCACGCCATCTGAGCCACACACCTGCTCCACAGCGACAGAGATAGAGAGACGGGCAAAATGTAACACATGTTGACCCCCGTGGGCCAACAAAGCAAAGGCTCGAGCTTGTTTTTTCCCTCCTACAAACAGACTAAAAACCCACCTTAGTTTTATTCTTCAAGTCGCAGTCGGGCGAGGGGCACTCACAGTGGGCTTGCCCGTTGACCACTGTGCATGTTGCTCCGTAACTGCACACCAAATCGTCACAAGATTTAGGGGCATCGGGTCCTGTTAAAGAAATGGGTTGGTGTGATTACTCATTCTGCACACCCCCCGTAATCACAGTTTCAATAATGGAGAGTATTTGGCTTATAAATGTGGCACCCGTTTGAACACATAGTCCTAATTTACAAGCACAGATCTCATTCATGTTTAATTATTCTTATTTCTTTTTGAAAACGAAAAAGTTCTTCTTGTTCAAAATCAAAAATCCATCCATTGAAAAATAAAGAGTAGGATTTGTTTGGAGCTTCGCCGCATAATTGAACAGACAGCAGAAAGTTGCTGAAGCCTTTGGAGGTTTTTCATGATTGCACCAATAATTCATGGAATTCCTGACAAAAGAAAATAGCGTTGGACTAGTGGTTGTAAAATCACATTCAGGATCATATTAGAAAACCCAACAGTTGTTTTGATCAAAAATTTCCATCTGACCGATTTAATTTAATTTAGACTTTATTTGACATGTGACATGTTGCTTTTTCCAGCGACATGGCAGCAGTCAAAGGTCATTGTTAGCACATGGCTAATTAGCATATCCACTCAGGTATAACTGAAGCTGCTGTAGATGTATTCAAAGTCAACACAGCATGTATTGTTCTAAAAAAAATGAATCCATTTTGATGATTAGATATGAAGGTAAGATATGCAGCACAGCTGTTTTTAACTGAAGCGCGCTGTGCTCTGAGTGATGGAGAATTAAAACGTTGCATTTAATGTCACTGTAGAATAAAATTTGATACTCCCTATTTCAACGGTTGATAACGGTTGTATCACACACACACACAAACACATACATATGCATAGTTGTTTTCAATATGGGGATTAGTTCTACTTATTCCCTCCAAAGATTTAAAAGTTTCTTTGAGGCCTTACTGAGTTGCAGGGTGTAGCATCTCCCACAAGGCTGCAAGTGAGGGGTCTTTGCATTATTGTCTCATCAAAGAGGCTTAAAGCTCCCCCTCCACTTGGATCCTGCCGCACCCTCTGAGTACCTTGTCTTTGTATCTGACAGTGTGTGTGGCGGAGTGTCTCACCACTGTGCCGGGACTGCTGGCTTCATTACGCGTTTGACTTCCAGTCGATATCAGACGGTGCATCTTAATCAAGGAGCTGCAGGCCCCGCAGCATGGGCCAACCTTTCCTTCAACTATTTTTTTCCCCCTGTTTTTTTAGTTTATGCCGTCACTGGGGCGGTTTTCATTATTCATCAAAAGTAATCAATCGCCCTTTTGCAGAGTTAGAAACATCCACATAAATATACTGAATCGTTAAAGAAAAAAAAAAGTAGGAGGGGATTCAGAGAAATAAAAAAATATCAACAGGTTTGGGACAAAGCACATGTCCTTTGTACACACTGCCATTTGCTTAATCACTATTGATCTTCTCTCATGCAGCCACTTCCTTCTCTGCCAATAAACTTGATGGATGTGAGGAAGAAATGAGGAAAGAGGTGGCTGCCACAGAATGAGCCCCATCTGCTAATCAGATAAGTAAAAGAAGGGCACTTAGGAATGATAAAGAGAAGCACGGAGGAAAGATGCATGTGTGTGTGTGTGTGAGTGAGTGTGCGTTTATGTGGTAAAAGCTCCACTCAGAGCCCTGGTACTCCCTCTTATTACCGTTGTCACAGCCATTCATGCCCATCTTGCTTCCATCTGGGCACACGTTGCACTTTAAACCCCTCACTCCCGTCTTGCAGGAGCACAGACCCGACATCTGCTCGCAATCATCCCGGACCGAGCCCACAGGATCGCAGCTGCATGCTGCCAGGAAGAGGCAGAGGGGAAAAACAGGGGAAAGAAGAATGATTAGGGAGGGGGAAAAAAAAGCCAACTAAAGACAATGACATTTAGAGGGATATGAGCAGCTCTGCCTTTAGAGCACGCAGCGGGCGTGACGTAACCTCAACCTGTTTACCTGCGTAAGATACATCTTTGTTTAGAGTCGAAGAGTTCAGCTAGCCTCAGGGGCCGCAGTGGGAGAAGAAGAGGGGAGGAAAATGAGTATGTAACACAAACTCAAAAAAACAACCCCAGGGAAGGACATCAACCCCATCGTGTTCCTAGAATCAATGATGTAGTTTTTTTTTTTTTTCTCCTCCTCTCCTGCTGAATGTGGTATTGGTGTTCAGTGTGCTGTCTGCTTGCTTTGGGTAAACCTTGTTAAGGTCAGACCACGGGTGAGACACCTGCGAGCTTTCCTGCTGCTAGCTGAAGCGGCTTTCTGGCTTTGGGAGCGTATGTTCTGCTGGACCTTAGCGGCAGAACACAAGCTGGTCAGTATATTGGATTACACCAAGACAAACACGGGATTCTGACCCGTCTCCCATCCCGAATACAGAGAAATGCTCGTTCAATATCATTTTGATAGGGCTAAAGGAAACCATAAGAATTCAATCAGGAGAATTTAATTAGAAAAGAACCTGCTTGTCAACACAGATTTAGTAGATTTTCAGTTTTGTGCGTTTATCTGCCTGAGAAATGTATCCAGCATGATTTTATAGCTGTTTCGGTAAAAAATGGGTTCTTGTTTACCTGATGATGTCTGGATCTGAGATCACAGTGAGATGATGTGTGTGACATTATGTCAAAGAGATCCACTAAAAAGTTTGAAATTCAGCACTGATGAGTCAAGCCATGGTCACAGCTTGACCTGGCCATTTGACTGGACCTTAATCCATTCACCATTCCCACTGTAGCAGCTCAAAGCATTTCCCCTTTCCCCTGTTTGAATGAGACATGTGTCATGACCACATGTCACCTGACAAGATGACCATTCAGTGTGTGCTGGACGGCACTAAACTGTGTTAGGAGCTACCAGAGTGGAGGCTAAAATCTGCTGGACGTCCTGAATATTGTCTCACATCCCAGAGTGACACACTTCATTCCCACGCATGCATTGTTGGACAGTACTTGTTTAGTCTGCTGGATTCTAAGCTGGCTGATCAGATGCTCGCCAAGGCTCATTTGAGTCTAACCGAGTGTGCAGACACAGCGTGATTCAATCTCCAGCTGCATTTTCTGTCTAAGTCTTGACTTTTTATTCAGTATACGTTTAAATGAAAAGATTTACATGAATTTCAAATGTTGTGTCATGAAGTGAAAGATTAGTTTTCTCCGGCGCCATGTAAAAAATGCACATTTGTTTGACCTGACAGCAATTTTAATCTCTGTGAGAGACTTTTTTGTTTAAAAGTGAGCGATTTACGGGGTATTGAAGACAGCAGAGCACCGTTTCAGTCTGAAGCCGTTTCTTTACTTAACCTGAGGGATGTTTTTGTAATTGAGCAGTTTTTTTTCTGGACAGAAGTTGGACAAATGCCATTTGTTACTTAAGGGGGAAGTAAGAACAAAGCACGGCACAAACAGCTCGATGACAGGATCCCTTACGCGTGCAGCCGCTGGTGTTCTCTGTTACGATGCCGCGGAAATTCCAGAAGCCCGGCTCACAGCGGTCACACTTCTGCCCCCCGACTCCGGGCTTACAGGAGCACTGTCCAGTGGTTGGGTCACACGTCCCCTTGTAGGAGCCATACACATTACACTGGCAGGTACCTGAGGAACACAAAGAGCAGCATGAATGTTACCAAGTTCAGCTCATTGCAGTTGTTTCTCCTTCTCTTAACTCCTCAGCATCGCACTTTAAGTCACACAAACCAAGACAAACGGTCCAGGACTATAATATAGGCTTGATGTTACAGGTATATAAAAAGGCTCAACGCTTTCAAAAACACTCCATACGAGTGGTTGGTAGAGTGTGGTTAACTGAATTTCTTATTTAGTTAATCTTCGTATATCTTCATTTCTAAATCTGCTATTTTCTCCACCCAGACGGAATCCTCTGGCTTACAGCTTGATGCAGCATTTCCTCCTCCATCTGTGCGCTATCATTCGTCTAGATCTTTCAGATGAAGAGATTTTTCTGGTGATACAGTGCCGCATTATCATAATTATTCCTTGGATTAAGATGAAACGCTTCAGTTCTCCAACTTCAGTACGGTAATTGCAGTCAAAGACAATAAGTCCGGGATGCTGGGGCGGTCGGACGGTATCTACTGTACCATGTCTACGATTGCACACAACAACAAAAAACTGGAGGCCAAAAGACAAAGCGGAGGACTCACTGGGACATCCGGCCTGCCCGACTCCTAAGGCGGCCGTCACGTTGTCGGAGCAGCAGCCGTACAGCGACAGGCCGCAGTGCTGGGGCGCCGTCAGCGCAGTCGGAGTCACGGCTGAGAGTGCTGATTGGGCGGAAGGAAACCGAGGGGAGATGGAAGATGGCACAACGAGAGAAAAGAAGAACACATGAGTGATTACTGTAGGGTAGGGTCTGCCGGTTGGTGGGAGTGGGAGAAGGGATTAAACAACACAATCGCTGAGCAACATGTAACTTTTTTTTGTTGCCAACAATAAGCCGGGCTTGAGGGGCAGAGGTGGAGAGGCTGGCAGCCGGCTTCAAGATAACAATTCTATTTGCGACTTTCCCCCCACAATGGCTCAAAATCAGGGGTAAAATGATGCTATTACCTCCAGTGAAAACAAACAATGGCATTTCTGGTGAATGTACGGTAGCTGACATTTACCACCTACTAGCAGGCATGTTCTCTTCATTTGTTCTTGTCTAACGTTACGGAATTGCGCTGCCGCCCTACAACCTTCCTGACAACAAAAAAAAGGAAGAAAGAAAGAAAGAAAAAACATAATGTGGAAAGTAACTCAGGGTTTCTGCCTGTGCACAGTGTGCAGAAAGCTCTTTTGTCTGAGCAATGCAGCAGCAGCCAAACTGAATTCAGAACCTAAAAACAAATGTGTTCCTAAACCCGGTGCTTCCCCAGAAACTGGAAGACATCAACAAAACACACAATTGGAGGAAAAAGGGATTTGTTAAAGGCCTGGAGGGGGGAAGAATCTCATCATTCAAATTCCCTCTAAGCTTTCAAGTGAAAAGCAAAGCTGTTGATAGAAAAGAAAAATCTTTCCGTCCTATTTCTCTGTTCCTCACCTGATCTCCTTCCCTTGTGTTGCTCATTTAGAGTTTGGAGGCTGGAGATACAGGGGCCATAAATCACACTGTTACTGGTGTGGATATGAGCCTCAGTCTAATGGTGATGACTCGGCTCTCGCTCTTTTTCCAGCGCTTTCCCACTCCAGAGATGGGCTTTGGACACAGTTCATTTAACTTGCCACTTTCTAGCGCTCCATTCAGCTATCTGTACTGAGCCTATTAGGAGAAGGAGAACTTTTAATTTCATATGTTCTTCCACCCTTCAAGGGTTTTTTCCCCTTCAGTAGCTATTGTCCAGCACAATGCAGCTCACTGTGATGTGCTATATCACTTTCACATTTCCAGGGTCTGGTGCTTCCCTTTTCCCCGCAAAAGTCTTTGACATTACTCATATTTAATCTTCTAACAGACCGATAAATATTTTGGAGTTTTAATGATATTCCTTACTCGTAAGGAATTTGCCGGCAGCTACAAAACGTGGTTCGACATTCATCATGGGCAAAGCACTAATGTGCACATTGCAACCTCAGCACCTCCAAAAACAACACAATGCTGTCACAAATTGGGGGTCGAATCAAGTTTCTCCCAACAAAGCTAACGTAGAGGACAGCGAAATTCCCAGAGATCAAACTTTTTTTCATCTACCAATCAGCACCGAGAGCCCCGAGGCCTTTTACCCATAGAGGGCTCTTCAAAAAGGGATTGATTATCCACGGAAGGTAGAGAAGCGTGACAGTCAGTGCCCAAGGAGGCCAGCTTAGGAAGGAGAAGAATCTGCAGGGCTGTGAAAAAACACAAGCAGATCCCTTCTTCTTGCTCTCCTGAACTCCCTCCGCACTCCTCTCTTTTAGACAGAGGGGGGGGAATAAAATGGGCCGGAATGATCACACAGAATCCCCAAAGTGCCTTTTGCCCCGCTCCCCCCGGCCTGCGCCGGTAAAAGCTCATCATCTGACCGCGCCGTGCAGAGGAGGGCCGTTAACCTTTGCTGCTCAGCCGCTGATCAGTCTGGCTGATAAATGTCATTCTGTGCATGCAGAGAGGGGGCTGTTTACGTTGAAGCATGTGAGGCAGCGCGGTTTCCTGAGGGGTTATGAAGCAAGCGCAAGTTTAATGGTTTCAATCGCAAGAACGTGGGGATGGAAAAAAGTGACTCGTTATTGCGATCGGTACGTATATGCGGCTGTGAAAGAGATTTGAATTCTGAATGTGAGCATGGGCCCCGAGGAGGGGTCAGTCTCACGGTATGAATTAAAAACACAGCCGAAACATGTGTCGAGTCCACTCTCTTTCAGATAATGACTCAGACAGATGCGAGATGTTTAAGACCGACTGTCATCATTTCTTTTGCTTTTGGCTACATTGGTCACACTGTGGAGCACAGAGCAGCTTTCTGGATTCTATCCGCCCAGAGGTAACTGTAACCCCCACCCATGGATGAGTATGCGTGGAGAAATGGGATGACTGGGACAGTGAGTCTGAATGAGGGTTCACCCATGCGCTGAAATGCCATTAAAGCTAATTGGAAATGTAAATGTAAATGAAGCACCGACCTGCACAAGGTCCCTGACTCTGGATCAACAAGTGCTCCTGTTTCTCACATCTGGCTTTCTTCAGCTCGCACTCGTTGCTGTAGTTCTTTCCATCGGAGCCACAAACCTGCAAAAGAATTGCAGAAAGCTTCGACCCAAAGGCTTTTCTGGCATAGGTACATGTCATGACGGGGCTCAGTGGAGTGAAGTTTGTAGCCTTTTCAAACTTTGGTTAAGCAAAACAATGCAAAACAAGGACATAATCACTTTATTACTTAATATCAGCATGGACGTTGATTCAACAGGTAATAAACTGCTTATTGATATTAGCAATAACAGCAAATCCTCCATCATTAGATAATACATTCTATTTAATATAAGAAGTTCTGATCACATAAAACATCCTGAAATAAGGCTTCCAGAATACTATAAATCAGTTGTCTGCATTTAAAGTGGAATGTTGCTTGTCTATGTCGGATCTGTTTTTATTAATCTCTCGATTAATTTTATTGGGTCCTTAAGCTAGTTTTTGAATGAGATTTGGGGAACAAGCAGCAAAGTTAATTTGAACTGTCGTTACACTGTAAGGCTTGTTTGATACTGTAATTGTTTATCATTCAGGAGCCAAGCTGACTAAGGGTTTGGCCTAACTGGAAACGAAAACGATCACGTCTCTGAGAGGTGGCTCTTACCAGGTTGTGCGGCACACTCCCGCAGCTGAAGTCACACACGCAGCGGTCGTCCTCCGCGTCCTCGTCCCACGAGCCTCCGAAGGTGCGGCAGCGGTCCTGCTCGCAGGTCTCCGCCCCCGAGCCCGACCCCCCGGAGCCGCAGTCTGCACGCAAGCACACCGGCGATACGCAGCCCATTATCAGCTGCAGGCAGGGCTGCGTTTTTTTTTATTCGCGCTCGACGCAAATTTACACACAAGAAGCACATCAAAGTTGGGATTATTTACACTTCCCTTGTTCTGGTGGCGTTGAGAGGGATCCAAAGGCGATGCTGCGAGTCCAAGATAATGACCCACTGCAGCAAAGGCTTTAGTCTGACTAAATAAATTAGACATCTTTGCACCACCAATGAGGCATCCTTTTCATTTCAATTAAATCAAAATTAAAAAAGCGAGTGAAACCCTGGCCTCTGAGTGCACAGAGAATTGATGGTAAGGCTGGCTTTCTGGGCTCCTGCCTTCCTGACACGGGAATCCAACTAATTGCAAAGTGCTCTGTAAAATCTAATTATATCTTGAGAACTAAAAGGAAGTTGTCACAGCATCTCTTTTAACTGTGACCCTGAGAAGCCGCTCGCTTGTTGTAAAAAGATGCACTCTGTGAAAAAAGAGAGGGGGGAGGGTCGCTGTTTATGATTCGTCAATTTACAAAACAGCTCCAAAGAAGCACAGAGAGGACGGGGGAAGAAAAACATATCAGAGAGGATGCTGTTTGGAGCTTCATTAAAGAAGAACAACTCATGCGTGAGGAGAAACTGGGAGGAGCCTGTTTGGAAGTTGCTAAATTTTACCAGCATTCAAAGATTAGGTGAATGTGCATGAAGGCTGGCAGAAAGTTCATTTGAAAGAAATGTATTATTTAGAAATGGAATGGAGTCCAACTAAAAATCTCCCAACGCAGCCAATACACCACAAACGCCTTCAGCAGTCGTGGTGTCCCCCCCCCCCCCCCCGTCTTCTTGTCTTCCTTCAGGGCTCATCCAACTCTCGTCTATCGATGCGCCTCCTCTAATGGTGAAATCAATGTCCTAGTGATGGAAGCACCACTTAGCATAACCCATCTTCCAAAGTAGATTATGGAGAAGGTCAGGGAGCCGGGGAGGGGCCGCGCAGACGAGGCCCGGGCCGTTCTTTGATATGGGTCATCTGAATTAGGCTGTGAGAGCTTTCGGTGGTCGATACAGCGGACCATCCCTGATTCATTATATGTGGGCAAAACTGGGGAGCTGAAGTGGTGCGCGGCCTTTTGAGTAACCGCATCCCCCACAGAACATCGGCTCTAGTTAAGGATTCACTCCAGGATTCGATTTGAAGCCCACATAACATAAAGCCCTAATCCTTTTACATGATTATCCCGGAGTTGAACGGTATCGATCGCGAACCGCCGTTTGAGTTTAACATAACATTTTGGGACTGTCGTGACGGGCTACATAACGGCTCGCAACAGTTATGTTATTGCAGGCATGTGGCTTGAGACGACATCTGTAAAGAGGAGAGATCAGAAGGCGAATGAGCTCTCGGGCCCTGATGGCTGGCTTCCTGCATCTGTTTACTGTACGCCAGCTCAGCAAGACGCAGGAAGAGTGGAAATGTAGTCAATTCATATTCCACCCAGGCCCCCTTACGGCGGCAAGATAAATAAATAAAAGAGGTAAGACATTAGAAATGAATAAATAAAAGTGAAAGGCAAAGGGGGGGCTAATTAGCAGTTGTACTTTGATGTGTCCGCCACCTGTGCTGCCTATGAACCTTTCAATTAATATATCCCCAGCTAAGATGGCTGCATCAGCTATTCTCTCTGCGCTGCCCATCCGCTCCGTTTTACTCAATCATGTCAAAGGCCCGAGTCTATTTAGCCGAGGGAGCTCTATTAAGAAGACAGAATTCAGCAGCGGAGAGGAGAAAAGACGTGGACGGCATAAGAATAACCTCCGAGAAACATACAGAAGATTTGACTTCGAAAAAACATTAGAAGCGAAGGACACGACTCTATTGTCGAAGCCGCCTGGTACCGTGTGTTAAACGAGATAGACGGATGAAGAAAAGAGGGCAGAACAAAGGTAAATAATGGAAGCGGCACACAATGTGTGAGACGTTACCGTGACTCTGGCAGACCACAGCGCTCAGGACTGGATGGTTTTAATACGCTTCCCCGGTACCGCTCGCCCGAGTTTTTGTGGCGGCCGAGATCAAAATGACATTTTTGACAGAGAGCGGAGCAATTTGCCTCAGTTTCTCGTCCCATCTATCAGTCCCTTGTAGGGCCCTGATGGATGTGACAGTGTGTTACTCCGAATAAAGTTCCCAGAAGACAGATGGATGCTAAGTCGCACCTGTTGGGGTGGAAGGATGGGATGCTGGGAAATGGCCGAGGGCGGAGAGAAGTTGAGTTAGATCAACAGAAGGTTACACGGTCCGATCGGTGGAGGACGAGATGGATGGAGCGTGGTGGAAAAATGTGCTGATCTGGCGATCAAAAGCGGGGCTGTGGGCTTTGCTTTGTTTACAATTGCCTTTCGGAGCATTTTACAGCTTGATCGGATCTGTGCAGGAGGAGGAGCAGGATGTGGGCAGGACAAGGACATCGCTGAGCCATCCTCCACTTATAATCTTATTTATTTAATGCCTATTCAATTAAAAAGGGCCTGGCCTGCTGTAGGTGATGCACCGCTCTCAGTTACCACTTTGTCAGTGTCAGGAAAGGGAGCTGAGGCCAGGCCTACCCGAGTGTGAAATTAAACAGGTGATAAATTTCCCTGTATGGCCAACAGTGAGAACATTGTCATTTTTCATTACTGCTAAATAAAAGGCAGAAGAAAACAACTTCCATTTTTATGCTGTGTGCTCTGCAACCCCCCCCCACCGACAAGACTAATGAGGATGGTTTTTAAGGGCAGGTCTACGTAACCAAATAAATCACATGTTCGCTTCCTCTCAAGGCTTATCTTTGATTTCATGCCGGTGATGCAGAGCTACAAAGTACAATATTCCATTTTGCGGCTCCGAAAGAAAATATATACTCCTAATTTTGCCAAAACCTAGCTCTCCAACATGGAAGGCAGGGGCGGATTTATCAAACAAAGCTCCGTAAGGCGCGTAGCGAGGGAAAAGAAGCAAGGAAAAACCACCAGTTTGTTTTACCAGCTACGCAGTCCCACCACTCATCCTGTGGAGGATGTGGAGCTGATTTGAGGGGGAACTAAAATAATCTGGAGAAGTGCGTGGGGAAGAAGACAGAACTAACCGAACTGGAAGTTTCCCCCGGGGTGAAATTTATCGATTTTTGACAATCCCATCTTCCACTCCCATCCGCAAAGGCATTGGTGGCTCTTTTTGTCAAATGGCACGATTTTGATGGAGAACAGTGCAAAACGCAGAAAGACATGAGTGGGTGGGACAGCAGGGAGTGATGGGGAGTGTGCGGAGAAAAAAAAAATCCATTGTGTAAGCCTGATGGTCTTCTCTGAATCAAAATGAGCAAGAGATGGAAAAGGCACCATATTCAGAGACTCCCCTGGGGAGGAAGATGAGAGCATTTTTATCTGATACCAGACAACGAACTGTCAATGGAGAGCGTGTGGCGGTGACAGTAAGTCTGCGTGGAGGGCACAGAGCTCCACGTTTCCTCACGCGCTGTACACAAAAAGGTCACACATCTCAGTCAATGAAACGATGTTAAGTACTGTGGGAGTTTTGGCGACATGATTTGCCTCACAGGCCCAAGACAGGCACAAAAAAAAAGAAAGAAAGAAGGAAAACGAAAAGAAAGAAGCGCCCTGGGGTTACTAATCAAATCGGGGGCTGATTCTCCTCATCTGTTGATTCAGTCATCTATCTACCCACTCGTCTTCTCTCCAGCCATCCCTCCCGCTGACAGGTGTAATCTGCTCCCCTTCACACCTTGTCAGAGGATGACTACGCTCACTGAGACTACCAACTAGCCACAGGGGGAAAGGCATTGTCGCTATCTGAGGGGACGGCATGTCGCTCCCTTCCGAGTTGCCTCCACGACGGGCTTCGAGATACAAACCGCGTGTTAAATGAGCTGAAGGCACGGAAACCAGAGACTTCTTCCACACGCTTATAAATCCTGATTTGCCAGGAGGGCCTCATAAAATCGTTTTTGTCTGTCGTAATACCGCAAAACCAGGATCTTCTGTTAACAAAAGCCACAGACATTCCTTCAAAAATCCTTTCAGTGACATGTAAATGGAAGCGCTATGTGACTGACCATCATGGGGAGTTTTTGGGAATGGATGTTATGCTGTTTAGGGAGGGGGGCACTCCAAAAAAAGTTAAATCACTTGAGATTTATGTACACCATTTCATGCATGTTATGTAGAGTAGACAACGCGTTTGAGACAAAAGATTTGCAGCATTTTGTTTGCTTCCTGTTTGTCTTTGAACCGGCAATAATTGGATTTCCTTACGTATTTGTTTACTTACACAACAAAGCCTCCACTTGTAATGCACTTTCTGGCAGTTCCAGTGCTGAATGCAATGTGGAAAATGCACTCCAAATGTTCAGACTCGGTTCCTCGGCGGGGGTCGCAGTTTTTTAAAAATAATGAAATAGTTAAAGCGTCGAGAGCCGTAAACAAAAAAATAACAGCTACAGAAACAAATGAGAAAGTGAGGCGATACTGAACACAAACACGGGCTTAATCACCCAACGGTAACTGCAGCGGTCCAACGGTTTGTGTTTACAGACACACGCCAACACTTTTCAGAGCAGTTTTTTTTTTTTCTTTGGGTGTCAGATTATTGGCATGCTGCTGAAGGCGCAGCACACTATTATGAAAACCCACAGATGACTAAACACTGCAGCACAGGTCAGCTGGTAAAGATAATTACACCACTTCAATGGCCGATTGGTTAACATAATTACAACATTTCAAAGTCCATTTCCTACCTTCATCACAGCTGCCGGGCTTCGCCACATCAATTCTCCTCTCCCGCAGGCAGGAGGACCTGCGCAGCTCGCACTCGTTGTCGTAGGTGTTGCCGTCGCTCCCGCACACCGGGGAGAAGCCCTCGCCAGGACACTGTGGGCACTCACACCTATTCTGGACACACACGGTGCCCCAGGGACACACCGAGCCGCCACATGTTTCTGTATGACACACAACAGAAGGATGGGGTCAGAGCGCTATGGCGGCTTTTTAAAGTCAAATAAATTAAGCCGATTTGATGGATATCATAAGTACGTGATTTAAAACGTTTGACGATTAGAAATTGACACCGAAGTTAAATCCCATTCGGCGTCTGCCTGCCTGGACTTGTAATAGCCTCCTTTTGGGCTTATATTTTACATATCATTTCCACCTTTGATGTAAATCAAGTGGGGAAAATAAATGCGTTTTAACTGTGATTGTCATGTTATTGTCCTTGCAATCAAACTCTAATCACTCAGGATTCATGGCCTAGACACATCACGTTGTAACTTTTGTGCATTTAAAAATAACAAGTGTGACAAACGGCAGCCACCGACTGCATAAATGTTTATGGTACTCACTGCACTCTCCCTGGCTGACCACCCGCAGGTCCATCTGTTCTAGGCAGGCCTTCACGTGCAGCTCGCACTCGCTGTCGTATGTGGCGCCGTCACTGCCGCACACCGGTTGGTTGGACTCCACACACTCAGACGGACAGACGCACTGTCTGCTTTGGGCATCGCAGATTGCCCCGAAGGAGCAGTTGGAGCAGGCCTCATCTGAAAAATGGGGGGTGAGACTTAGCATGGGTGGTCAAAATGAAAGTCTACTATACTTTACTATATGCTTCAAATGAATCAGTTTTTATCTTATATCACTGTAGCTGCGACACAGATCTTTTCTGATCAACATCCATTTTGACATAACATTATTAATTTACTTATGTTAATATATAATAAGGAAACTTTATTTCCAAGGACACATGGTAGGCTCCATTTTTCAGGTATTTCACATAACTGACAAAGGAAAAAAACTGTCAAAAAGTGAGAGTATAAGGAAATTTGTTGGGTTTTATCACAAATGAAAAGAAGCTAAGAGAAGGACAACCGTCCCCACAGTGGTCCATAAACCAGGACTTTGTTGGAGAGTGGTCAGAAAAGGAGGCTGCTACCCCTGTGTGAAAGCCATCAAAGAGCCTCGCTGCAGTTTGCCAAATGACACTTAAAGCGTTCTGAGAGCATGAAGGAAAATATTGTCTGGACGGGTGAGAAAGGAATTGAGTGTTGTGGTCTGATTGCCAATAGCTGTATCAACTGAAAAACCGGGCTCCGCTCATCACCTGGCTGCTACAGCGCCGCGGGGAAGAGTTTTGCCAGCAAAGGCTTCCGTGGAATGGGGAAAAATCGTCAAAAATAAATCGTGAAAGTTACACTCTCTGGGTTGTACTTTGCAACGTTATCTGCCTTGGGGTTATGCCATATTTCCATCCCACTTCGTTCGGATCCAGGTGGATGATGACTGTTTTTCCCAACAAAGGACAGCACACCCGAAAGGATACCCTAAAGGCTCAGAGGGCTTTAGAGTCCTCCCGTATGAGTGGATAAGTTTCTCCCTTGAGAACTTTTTTACATCCAGAGGCAAATTTTCCCCTCGACGATATAAGTGAGACGCTGACGAATATGAGCTGTGAGGCCTTGAAGATAAATGTAAAACATCTCCCTCTGACACCAGTTCCACCAGCAGGATCAGAACAGCTCACTATCACATTCAATTAGCGGCAGTCTAACAACCTCTGCTGATTTAGCACTAATTGAGAGAAGCGAGGCTGCTAACTGGGACCTTTCACGGTGTTAATCTGTTTATTACTTCTTTAGAGCCCTGCGTTTCTTTCATCCCTCCAATCTGCAGCTGGAACCCACTCATTTATTGACTTAACTTGGCCCTGAGCGGAGCAATGTTTGGCCCTTAACATACTCCGTACTGGCAATGGAAGCTTGCAGAGAAAAGTGTGTAAAGGTCAGTAAACCTTAGCGAGGATGCATCTGAAATGTTAAGCAGGATATGCAGGACCTGTTTGTTTTATTTAAGAACAAATGGGCCACAGAGCGCTAACAACAGGCCTTACTATGGCCCTTGTTTGCTGGATGGGAGCAAACGGGTCTCAAATCCTTATGAAATGTGAGAGGCCAGCTACACTTCTTTTTCAAAATCACAATGAAATATTATGATAGGATAAATCACTTGAATCTTTTAAGTCACATTCTGTCTGAGTATATTTTATGACCCAAACTGAAAAAAAAGTCTTTCCACCCTCTATCTCACTGTCACAGGTAGGTTTGACAGTTTGGGATGAAAAAGATCATGGACAAAAGAGCTCATATCCTCAGTTTTTTTGTGTCAAAAATAAATAAACATGAAACATAAGTGTGTTAAATGGGGTTGCTGTGGTCATGGCTCTTCTGAGGCTGCGGCTGTTATAAATCAAGAAGCAGCTGTGGCGAGTGTTGTCCTTTATCAGGCTTTGTGTCCTGATAGCAGCCTCGCTTCTTTATCAACTCCTGCCATTTGTGCCCGGCTCTCTGCACAGCTTGATCCTCCACACAACATGCACCCAGACGGAAAAGAGGAGTGAAGCTGCAGTTCAAAGCCAAGAGGAGCAGGCGAATTGTCGTCATTACCGATAATGTTCTCAAGTCAAATTTTTGTTCCCTGATTCAATAATCTTAAAGTCTGCCATGATTTATTTTGAGTTTCAGTAAAGAACCCACTGAATGAGGAGCTTGCTACAGTTGAAAATGAATCTATTACATCAGGCATTTAGATAGGCATTTTTTTTTGCATGTTGTGTATTCAATGCCACTTCGTACTAAATGGATATCTAAAATTACCCCAGCAGTGAATCATGAAATGCATAAAAAAAAGCCAATCCAGGTACCCCAGCGTTACATTCAAGCTGGAGGCTCCCGGTCTGCATAGCCTCGAGCCAGAAAAAGGCTGCCAGGCCGGATATATTTTAGGACTGTAGATACAACAGTGAGCATTGGACGCTTTTACCGTAGATACATTTGAGGAAACACTGAGCCAGCACCCACATCATTGAAGTTGGAATGGCACTTGTGCACCATTCATCTCAAGTCTAGGATGAGCCTGAGGATTTTTGCTGGGAGATTGGAAAACCATTTTGATACCTGTGAAATCTATCCGTCTAAATTGTCTCCTACCACTGTTGCAATATGAGGGCTAGAAAACTGAGAATGACAAACATCATAGGGAAGTTTGTTTGAAAGAAATATTCTCATATTTCTCAACCTCTCTCTTACTTTATCACCTCATTATTTTGGGTGTCTGGGATGGTGCTAGAATCTGCTCCCCCCTTTGATGTCCCCTGGACCTGAAGGTGCTTTTTGCACTGAGGCGGCTTCTGTTGTTGTGCTTAGTGTCAGCGTTTGTGAATTTTGAATCGGGGATGACGAATAGGTGCGGCCCGGTGTAAAAAGTGCCCTTGAAAGCACGAGGGACTGGTTCAGAGGAGAGCGGAAAAAAAAAGCAAAAGAAAAACAGAGACCCTCCAGCTTTACAACATTTTGTCGACATCCTTATGGGGTGCGAGAAAGAAAAAGTTAATTAGAGCCGAGGGGGTCTGGGCAAAGTATTACCTCAGGATTAAGCAGGAAAAAAGCAGGCTTGTTTGTGCTTTGAAGGCTTGTGAGCATGGCTGCGTGATAACAACTCCCCTGTTGACGCCTGCCCAGCCAGTTCACTATTAACTCACCCCCCCCCCCCCCCCCCCCCCCCCCTCCCCCCCCCCTCCCCTTTTTTCCCCCCCCCCCCCCCCCGTCTGCCCCAATCTCTTCGCACTTGCTCATCTTATTCACCTTCATCTCCTCCCCCACCCAACATTTATCACTTTCCCCTCTCCCATTCCTCTGTCCTCTTCCCACTGTCTCTCACAAACCTCTCACGCTGCCGGTGTGACCTACATTTTTTTCTCTTTTAACTCAACTGAGAATATCAAACACCGGTGGGGGGAAAAAAAAAAAAAAAGGGGAGTTGTTATTTTCTTTTCTCAAATGATTCAGGCATCTCTGCTCTCATCTGTTTTGTGGTAAAGCCATATAAACCTCCCTTTTTTCTGCGGCGACTGATATCCAGCTGGGGGTCCATTAACCAAGTGAATCTATGGCTGCCCGCCGTACAAGGACACCCAGCACTCAAAACGCAAGAGGAGGGAAAATCTCAGAATAATAACAAATGTCACTCATATTGCTATCAGGTTGCACCTGAGCCATATAGATAACCACTATTTTTCTAGCCCGCAGGGAAGGAAATGAAATTATGTCTGAACCCAAGAGAGGCTGCCGAAAGCCACACACACCCACACAGACACACACACACTCACACAGTTAAGTACCCATGTACAGTTACTTTCCTTTTTCTGGCACATCTTAGTCTATTCTCCCTTTGGTCCATCTCCTTATTTCTGATCTTAGCTGTTGAAGGTGCAAATATGACAGCTCTCCCATTATAGAGCATTTGGGTGCCACTAACAAACGGCGGCTGGAAATGGAGCACGGCTTCTTTGATGATGATTCAGGAAATTACACATTAAGAAACATCGAGAAAAGTGAGAAAATTTCTTAATAATACAGGTGCTGAAATTCTAACTCTGTTCCATTTCTCACGTCTGTAACGACACCTGCGGCGAGCGTGTGTTTTGTCCCTCATCCTTCGTGCGCCATATAAAATGTGCGCTGTATTAGTGGTGGAAATAGCCCGTGATAATTAGGTGAGATAATGGCTTAAGTCAGTCAGTTGTTATGGTGCTGAATAAAACCCGGTAAAGCTGTGCAAACAGCCCAGAAATAACCCACATTATCATCACCATCATTTCTATGCTGGCTTGCGCTTGGCAAGCTGATGCCTTTGCTTTTTTTTTATTTTTATGGCACCATTGCACTGAAGCAGGCCCGTTCCTCTGGGAGCCAAGCGCTATCCACAGTGCTGGATATCAAACAGGGCACCTCCACTCAGCCAGCTCGCTCTGCCTCTCGCTTTTTAGAATAAAGACTATTCATTACCGCGGAGGGACCCCAAGCAGACAGATCTACCTGGGGTAGATCGGCACCAAAATTGACTCAGCCAGCCTGCACACGGACCAAACACTGCTCTCGCTCCATTTCTCGCTGGCATACATCCTTACACGCTGTGTTTCAATTTAGAGAGATCTTGGATGGAAAGAGGCCCGATTCGACACACGGGCAGGCAGGGAGTCCACGGAGGAACTCCACAACAGCTAACTCTGTCAGATGCTCAAAGTGCTATTAAGATCAGTTCACACAGTCAAGCTAAGCTGCTATATTGATTACCTTGCTAATCATGCAGCTCTTCCACAGGTAGAGCACTGATTTTAAGTCTTGTGATCTCCAAACGAGGCGGACCAGAGCAAATCTAATGCTGTAAAACTGTGCGGCTGTTGAAGATGAGGGAGCTGGACTAAAGGGGCTAATAGCAGCTGTGCCTCTGCCCTGTGTGGAACAGCGAGCAGCTTGATTGTATAAACAGAACAAAAAAAAAACTACATCATTTGAGTCCACGGGAAAATTGGCCCCGCAATATAACATCAAGCCATCAAGTGGGTTTACCAAGCAGTAAAAAGCTGTCTATATGGCTGTGTGCCTGCATAGTAGATACAGAGATATTTTTAACACTTGAAGCTCTGCTGTTGCTGGTGCACTAATGACTATCTGGCACTCCAACACTGCAAGACAAAGCCAAGTGATTCATGTAGCCAATTACAGACAAGTATGCTTCACACTTCATTGTTAAAGTGCATCCTTACTTATAAGCCAAAATAAGGCAAACTAGAGTCTTGCTGCTGGTCAAATGAGCAGACGAATACTTGAAGAGCAATGGACCATGGATCAGGAATCTCCACAGTCTATGAGACCCCAGGGGGCTCACATAATAAATATGTCTATGTATGTATATGTCATTTAAAAAAAATGTTTCTGTTCATTGTAATTTAGATAGATAGATAGATAGATAGATAGATAGATAGATAGATAGATAGATAGATAGAGACAGACAGACAGACAGACAGACAGACAGACAGACAGACAGACAGACAGGCAGGCATTTTGACAATTAAAATGTTCGCAATTAGTCATACAAAAACATCAGCGAACAAATATTAATATGTTATCGTATGTTTTTTGTTGTGATGATGACTGGTGAGGCTCTGCCTCCCCTGACCGCACGTCCCATGAATATGTATACACAGCTATACAATTGCAGTCTGTGTGGCTGTGCAAGTTGAAAACCTTGGAAAAGAATAATTTTGCTCAGATTATTTCGGATGTTGGCACTCGGCATCCCCTAGCGGTAGCCCCCTACTGGACCCCGGCTCCGGCCCCGGTAGCCCCCTACCGGCTAGCTAGCTAGCTAGACTCTAGTTTGCTAGCTAGCTAGCCAGCCAGCCAGCCAGCCAGCCAGCCAGCCAGCCAGACAGACAGACATAGATGTAAACATTAGCCAGACTGGAAAATCAGGCTATAGAAACGTATATGCAAACATTATATTGGCGATATGCAGCGATACCCCCCCCCCCCCCAGCAGCTCCGTACCGTTTTTCGTCCGTTGCAGCGATATGTCAACGAGTCCGCCATCTTGGATGTGGCAGAACTGCCCGTAAACTATTCAAATAAAACGGACTGAACTCCATAAAGCGCCTTTCTACAAAGCGCTTTAAGTTAATGCACCTTATTCACCCATTCACACAGACACTACATTTTCTATTATTTTCTATTTGGGAATGAAGTGGAACAAAGCAGAACCTTACCGGTAGCCCCCCTCCGGCCCCCGGTAGCTCTGTTCGTCCCTTGCAGCGATATGTCAACAAGTCCGCCATCTTGGATTTGGCAAAACTGCCCGTAAACTAATAAAATAAAACGGACTGAATTCCATAAAGCGCCTTTCTACAAAATGCTTTGAGTTAATGCACCTTATTCACCCATTCACTCAGACACTACATTTTTTTATTATTTTCTATTTTGGGATGAAGCAGAACAAAGAAAAAAGCTATTTTCTTTATCAAAATGGTGGTATAATTAGTAATTAGTCCAGTTCTGTGATTTAAGCCTACAATGTTTGACTGTGATAAGTGTCACTGGGTACCTCAGAACATGTGGTCTCCAAATCTGTGCAATAAGCACACACCTATAACAATATCATATGTTGTCTGCTTCAAGCGTGTGTAGAGTGAATAAACACATTTGGATGTATTGACACGTGTGTGTGTGTGTGTCAGCCTTTGGCGGCACTTACCATGCATGAGCTCCACAAAAACACACAAAGCTCTCCACAGTTAGTCACTGCGACAGTAAATGTCAACAGCAGGGTAACAGCCCACTTTTACCACATTCATCTGTGGACAGGCCTGTTGAGAGTAAACTCCACCCACGCCGTCGAGTCAATGTCACAGACATTTTTTTTTATTTAACCAAAATCTTCTCAAAATCCAGAACAATGCTGCTCATTGTGTATAATGTCCATGAGGCCTAAAGAAGAATGTTTGAGAATCCACCGGCTTTATGTTTACTTGCAGGACGTGAATGAGATATCAGTACGCCTGATTTCGTGTGGGTTTGTGGTGTTTTGTTAGGGCAGTAACTCACGGCAGGGTCCTTTGTGTCTGATGTGGATGGCCTTCTGCAGAGCACAGCTTATCGCTCTCATCTCGCAGGGGCTGGTGTAGCTGCGCCCGTCCGATCCGCACACGGGGTCGCTGGTTGGCGGGCACACCTCGGGGCACTCGCACACCGGCTCATCATTTTTGACCACGCACACCGCCCCATGGTCGCACACCTTATCCAAGCAGGGGCTCGGCACGTTGAGATCTGAAGGCCGACCGGCCGAGAAATAAGAGAGCGGAGTTAGAGGGGGGGGGGCGGGGAAATAGGAGGGGGGGGTGGGGGGGGGGGGGAACAGTATAAAACACGGATTGGAGAAAAAGTCTGGGGTTGGAGAGGGCATAGGCAGCAGTGAGGCAGCACAAGGCTACACAGAGAACAGAAGATTGTTGTGTTAGAGAAGGTTTGGGGGAGAACAAAAAGAAGATGGAATTTGTAGTACAGCCACACTCCTGCGACAACTCTACTTCCTCAGCTTCCCACGTCATTTTTTTCATCTTTTCTAATGTATCCAGAATTTTTGATGAACCCACCGAATCTGGTGGCATGCGGGCAGCGGATAAAAAAAACATGGCCTATAGCACAATAGAGATGAAACAGCCCCCTAACAATAGTTGCGCGGCTCTTTTTCCTTTTTTTTTTTTTTTTTTTGCAGGCGGGTAAACGACTGGATTAATTGACGTTCCCACTGTGCTCCTTCAAAGGCAGACATTTGCATCTCAGTGAGAGCCAGTGTTTCAGCCAAAGCTAGCTGAACTGACATAGAGGAGCAAGAAAAAGGAAGCGTACACGGGAAAGTGTGTGCATGAGAGAGACGGAGAGAATGTAGAGAACGGAAGGGAGAAAAAAGGAATAGGCAAAGAGAAGAAAGGCCCAACTGCTTAATAATTCAAAAAAGCCAAGCTCCTGGGCAGAGGCAGATATGAAATGCGAACATCAGAGAGAGGTGTCTGCTTCAGTCTCTCCCGCTCACGCACAAACTCCAGCATGACTTCATTAAAACGAAGGCTGGATTTTGTGCCTATGATTCTCAGCGGCGGCAGATGGGTGTAGGCTGGGCTGATATAACACGACTCGATCGGGAGAGCGTGGAAAGCCGGAAAAAAAAAAAAAAAAAAGCGGTGCCAACGAGGCTTTGATCACAGCTTCCCCTCCTGACTCAATCAGCTCTTCGTAGGTTTATGTATCAATGAAAATATTACACGGCATAGTGTACACAAAAGTGGGCTGTAAGGGTGATAATCAGGGCTGTTTGTGGATTGATGAGTCGTTCGTGTGGGACAGAGTAACCTCAAGTGAGGACAGGCTGGCTGTTTGGTCATTTTTATCTGGAAAGTTTAAGGCCTGAATGACGGATCATTTAGCTGAATTCGATGTGTCCGCAGATCAGAGATTATCCAATGACTCGGATGAGAAGTGCCGAAAGAGCTGCACTCACAAATAAAATTAAACAAGACCTGTTTTGGGTTTCGATATACTTGGACGGATGGAGATGCTGTCATGGAAACTGCCCCTTTTAATGACACCACCCATGGCTCCATCATTACTGTGACCATTATGGGATTAGATGGCAACAGAGGGGGTCCGACTTTATGTGCTTGAAGCCCCATGATTCATTTATCAGCTCATAGACATTCAGACTCGACTCATGGCGCTAATGCAGGGTTAAATTATCAACTGATAACACAGACGGGGGCAATTAGTTTGTTTCACTCTGATTAAGGCAACAGGGGGTGAGGGCTGGGGGAGGTGAATGGGGGAGGCAGACAGATAACGATCAAAGTCGGGTAAACATCCAGATACCGAGCTGACACATCGAAATAGTAAAAAAAAGTGAGTCGACATTGTGGATTTTGGTCCGACTCCTGGCTGTAACCGAGCAAAACCCCGAGCAAGGACAGCCTCCATTTCCTAAAGTGAATGTTTCAGATTAGGAGGCGGAACGCTGCTGCTATTGATCTCTGTGTTTCGATGCCAAGCTGCTGTTTTCGACGAGAGCTAGGAGGTGCCACATAAATATGCAAGCAGCTCAATGCCGCTTAATTTGGTGCCGCTTCAGAAACAATTGATTCCCCGTGATCTCATTTCAGTGCCGTGTGTATGTGTGTGTGTGTGTCTGCGAGTGTGTGTGTGTGCGTGGAACAGCTGTAAGTGTGTGATCCAGGCTTAACTGTACAACCTTGGCCTTCATAGAAGTTCATCAGTCCACTTCCAGAGGACGGGATCTTAAAGCACAGCCCCCTGCAGCCTCCGATAATGCCTCTCTCCTAGCCTCTCTGCTTCGCTCCCTGAGATGTGACGAAAGAATTTGCCTCCAATTTGTTTCTTCTTCTTTTAATCATTCACTACCTATGGGGCCAAGAAATCTGACTGATTTATAAACTGAAGGCAGTGTAGAAGAAAAAAAAAAAGAAAAGAAGAAAGAACAATCTCTCCAAGTGCATAAATCTCGTGACACTTTTAAAAACTGACGCTGTCTTTTTATTTACTCTTGGATGCAGCGAGAGGCTTTGAAATGGCAGCTTGTTAAAACGAAGGCTACTGGGAGAGTGCTCACAACCTTTTCCCAGCATTGCCTCTCTCCCCGGTCCTTTCTGAAACGCTTAAATCCAACTTTATGCACGTGTCATTTTTCTGTCGGGCATGTCCGGAAAAAAAGGGAAGGGGGTTTAAACCTTGGCTATTTATACGCGAAAATGAACTTGACAACTGAATAGGAACATCTGCAGTATAGAGCACATAAATCACGACCCAAGGCACAGTGGCTGAACAAGTGCAATGACTTATCTGCTGCGATAGCGGGGAGAAAAAGAAGTCTCTCAAACACCGAGGGATGAAAGAAAATCAAGGATTTAGCTTTGTATTGATTCCGGTCGGGCAGACTTTACATTCGGAGCGTCACCTCTTCTGTATCCTCCGCTGCCATTCCTGGTATAACTTTCCATTTTAATTAGCCAGGTAGTTTAATGGTGCGGCCCCACTTTCAGACTCGAGGAGGATTACGGCAGGTTAGGCCGTGGTGTCAGTTCTGCTCGGCACTGAGACGCCGACGCCGGCGTGGAATATTGATAGAACGCTTTTCCTCTGTTTGCCTGATATCTGCTAACCTTTCATCTTGAGATATTATTGCTGCCACTTTAAATGTGTTACCCCGCAGATAAATTGGTGCCACTGAGTCATTTTCTAAAGCTTAACAGGGCCTTGGTACGTTGGCAGGATGGCACGGCGAACCCCAGCAGGACTCTGCTGGCCACGGAGAGTAGGCCTACCCTGTTAACCTCCCCATAACATGTTGGGCGAAATGCTGGGAGATTACACTCCCTCCCATCTCTGCTCGGCTCATGCATATGTTAATTGGACTTTTTTTTTTTCCCTCCCTTTGGGTTTGTGTGCGGTTCCAAATCGCTCCCCGTTATTATGCAGGGCAGCAAATCAGCGTAATCCAGGTGAAACCGGCGCCGGCCAATTGGCAGAGAGAGAATTACCTGCGAGAGCGACCCGGCGAAAGCGCGGGGGCTCCAAAACCCCGCCTTCTGTTTTCATCACCTCCAGGGGCTTTGATCCGACTCCCTTCGGCTCCCTCTCGCATTAAAAACATTTATGTATCATATTAGTAAAGGGAAAAGGCGGTGCGGAGAACAGGCCTTATTTGCATACGGCAAAAGGCATACCCGGAGGCTGTGTGTGTCTGTCTGCCACAGAATACTTATCACAAGCAGGAGGCAAGCCGAGGCCTCTTTATCTAGAACCGAGAACATGCTCCTCTTCAAAATGGTGACAA